AGCCTGCCCCAGGTGCAGCCTGTCTGAATCGGCGCTCCACGGCGCGTGACACCTCCCGGATGACCTCCTTGTCAAACACACGTGGCCGGTACAGCCATCCCCCTCCATCCACCACCAAGGTTGCTCCGTTCACATACTTCCCTGGCAGGTGCAGGAAGGGAGAGGCGGAGGGAAGGGGAATGGAGGGGGTTGGGGGAGGGGAAGAGGGAGAAAAGAAGGGGTAAGTGATTTAGCAGCAGCAGCAGCAGCAGCAGCAGCAGCAGGTACAGCCTGCCCCAGGTGCAGCCTGTCTGAATCGGCGCTCCACGGCGCGCGACACCTCCCAGATGACCTCCTTGTCAAACACACGTGGCCGGTACAGCCATCCCCCTCCATCCACCACCAAGGTTGCTCCGTTCACATACTTCCCTGGCAGGTGCAGGAAGGGAGAGGCGGAGGGAAGGGGAATGGAGGGGGTTGGGGGAGGGGAAGAGGGAGAAAAGAAGGGGTAAGTGATTTAGCAGCAGCAGCAGGTACAGCCTGCCCCAGGTGCAGCCTGTCTGAATCGGCGCTCCATGGTGCACGACACCTCCCAGATGACCTTCAAACACACGCGGCCGATACAGCCAACCCCCTCCGTCCACCACCAGTGTTGCCCCGTTCACATACTTCCCTGAGTGGTGCAAAGCGGGGTGGGAGGAAGGCGGGGGGGGGGGGGGGGGGGGGGGAATTGGATCCTGAGGTGATATGCAATGGTTTATCAAACAGGCCAAAAAAGAGTTGCCACAGCCAGCCCCCTTTGTCCACCACCCCTCAAGAGCAACTGTATCAACAAAACTGTTTACCCGCTAGGAGCCAAACAATCACCTGTATCAGCACGTGGGACTAGTATTCAGCCTTTCCTATCCCTTTCCGTTATGGGTGTCCCCGTGAGGTAGAGCGCAGCCATGGCTGTGTCCCACGAGTTCCCCATCCTCTGCATTGGGTTGAGCTCCCCGGCATCGATGCCCAGCTGTACGCACCCACACAACCCCTCAAGAACCACTGTGTCAGCCGAACTGCTTACCTGCTATGAGCCAAACAACTCACCTGTATCAGCAGTGAGGTAGACGGCAGCCATGGCGATGTCCCACACATCCCCCATCCTCTGCATGGGGTTGAGCTCCCCGGCATCGATGCCCAGCTCGGACGGCGCCAGCTTCGCCATGCCTGGCGTCGAGCCTATCGGCCCCGGAGCTATCGCGTTGGTTCGGATGCCGTAGTCTGTGGCCCACTCCAGGGCTAAGGAGCGTGTGGTGGCATCCACTGCTGCCTGGGGAGGGGGGTGGGAGAGGAAGAGGGTAGTGTGTGGCCCAGGGGTGCAAATGACTTTCATTGCGGCCTCAACTAGGGCTGGTTCAGATGCCGTAGTCTGTGGCCCACTCCAGGGCCCAGGAGCGTGTGATGGCACCTGCTGCAGCCTGAAGAGGGGGGCTTGAGTGAAGACTGATTCAGAAAAGATACATTGAAGAAGTCTGAAACAGGAGTCAACAGCACTTGTCAAGCCGAAAAATGACCAACCCACAACCCACTCAGGCCTTCTCATCTCGATATCTACGGGTGCAAGTGGGCGGACAACGTGTGTGCAACGATCTACGGTGAAGGTTGAACTATCACCTTCTGCGGCCACACTCACAAGAGCCACTCCCCTGGTCAAGGTTGAGGTCCGGATCAGTTCGAGTGTCCCTTGAGGTGTTTTTTTTAGGGGCACCTGACCTGACAGGAACCTCAACCTCAACCAAGGGAATAGCTCTTGTAAGTGTGCCGGCAGGAGGTGATACTTCAATTTTCACCATAGATCGTCGCCTACATGTTGTCCACCCACTTGCATCCATTGATATCAAGATTAAACGGCTTCAAACGCTTTCTCATTAGGACGGTCGTTGTGTTTTTGTCACTTCATGGCTTGACAAGTGCTGCTGTACAATGATTCCTTGAAGAAGCCTGAGACAGGATCCGTTTTGATGCTTAGTCTGTTGCCCACTCCAGGGCTATGGACCGAGTGGTACCACCTACTGCAGCCTGGGAGGGGATGGTGGTGGAGAGGAGTGGAAGATGGTATGAATGGAAGATGCCGTAGTCTGTTGCCCACTCCAGCGCTAAGGACCGAGTGGTAGCATCTACTGCAGCCTGAGATGAGGAGTGGGAGCGGCAGGGAGGGTGAGGGAGTGTGGGAGTGGAAAAGTGGGGGATGTATGCCCAGGGTTTGTGCTAGGAAAGCATGAAAGCCTTGAAGGCTTCTTTGGCAAGCTTCCTTTGCCCTGACACGTACCTATTGACACAACTCAAAGTCTCCTTGTATGTGCGCTCTCACCTTACCCCACTCTCACCTTAGCAGCCATGACGTGCACTTGGTACCACGCAGCAGTGTAATGCAGAGTAGCGCTGATGTTTATAATGGATCCGCCGCCCTCCTCCTTCTCTCTACCACGCGCCCCCCTCTGCAAGAACGGTCTAGCAGCCAGACACATGTTGAACGTGCCCACTGCGTCTATGTCTAGGACTGGGAGGGAGGATCAGAGGGAAGGGAATGGGAAGAACAGGATAGGGAGGTGCCAAGAGGGGTGGATGTGGCAGGAACGGCCGAGCAGCCAGGCACATGTTGAACGTGCCCGCTGCGTCTATGTCAAGCACTGGGAGCAGTAGAAAAAGGGAGGAATGGGATAGTCAGCCTCCTCCTCCGCCCTGCCAGTCTAGCAACCAGGCACATGTTGAACGTGCCCACGGCTTCTATGTCAAGGACGGGAAGGGTAAGCTGTAGAAAATGGGAGGAAATAGACAGTAAACAAACAGTAAGCCTCCTCCCCCGCCCTGCCTCGCGCCCCTCTCTGCAGGAACGGTCTAGCAGCCAGACACATGTTGAACATGCCCACGGCATATATGTCAAGGACTGGCTTGGAGAGAGATAAGGAAAGGGAGGGAGAGGGAGATAGGGAAGGGAAGGAGAAGAACAGGATATAGACGGTCAAAAGGGGGGGATGGGTGGGAGGGTCGCAGAGAGAAAGGAGGAAAGGGGGCGAAGGGAAGGGAAGAATTGGAGACGAAATGGTTGCAGTTAGCCAGAGAAAGAGGTAAGAGAGGGGACGGGGAAGTATGATGAAAGGGACAGGGAGGGGAAGGGAAGGGAAGGGAAGGGAAGGGAAGGGAAGGGAAGGGAAGGGAAGGGAAGGGAAGGGAAGGGAAGGGAAGGGGAGGGGAGAGGAGCAGAGAACCGGAAACAACATGCACTATGCCTCTCTAAGACTCTCTACGCCTCATTTCGCCTCCTCATGCTTCTCTTCTCTCTTTGCACCTCCCTGCCCCTCTCTGCATCTCTCTGCCCCTCTCTGCCCCTCTCTGCATCTCTCTGCCCCTCTCTGCCCCTCTCTGCATCTCTCTGCCCCTCTCTGCCCCTCTCTGCATCTCTCTGCCCCTCTCTGCCCCTCTCTGCATCTCTCTGCCCCTCTCTGCCCCTCTCTGCATCTCTCTGCCCCTCTCTGCCCCTCTCTGCATCTCTCTGCCCCTCTCTGCCCCTCTCTGCATCTCTCTGCCCCTCTCTGCCCCTCTCTGCATCTCTCTGCCCCTCTCTGCCCCTCTCTGCATCTCTCTGCCCCTCTCTGCCCCTCTCTGCACCTCTCTGCCCCTCCCTGCCCCTCTCTGCACCTCTCTACTCCTCTACACCTGCCTACCTGTTCGAAAGCCGTTCACAGATAGGTCTTCCGCAGCTGCCAGGAAGTTTCCAGCCGCGCCATTGATGAGAACGTCCAGGCGGCCGTATCTCTCCACTGTAGCAGCCACAACGCTGTGTGCGTCCTCCTTTCGCCTCACATCGCCCATGACAGGCAAGGCCTGAGACGAGAAGTGGAAGGTCGGACCAATAAGGGGACGTTAGGAGTGTGTTAAGACAGCCGTATCTCTGCACTGTAGCAGCCGCAGCACCGTGTGCGTCCTCCTTTCGCCTCACATCGCCCATGATAGGCAAGGCCTGCAGAATGGGTGGCACATTGAACAAGAGGAAGTTTTCAGCCGCGCCATTGATGAGAACGTCCAGGCGGCCGTATCTTTTTGAAGCTCCTAAAAACGAAAACCTGCAGAATGAGTGGTACAACAAGGAACAAGGGAGAAGTTTTCAGCCGCGCCATTGATGAGAACGTCTAGTCGACGCTATCTCTCCACTGTAGCAGCCACGGCACTGTGTGCGTCTTCTTCTCGCCACACATCGCCCATGACAGGCAAGGCCTGAGAAAAAAGGAGACGGTAGTAGACAGGTGAGCGGCTTTGAGAGTCTGAGTTTTGAGACGCTGCGAACCACAACAACACTCTGCATCATCCTTTTGCCTCACGTCTGCTGTGACAGGCAAGGGCTGAAGCATGGGTTGTTATACGGACTAGTCACTAGGGAAAGCTGAGCCTGAGCCATCACTGAGCGGTAGACAATCTCTGAGGAAACCTCTCCACAGTAATAGCCATCGCACTCTGAACGACTTTTGAGTTTTGAGGCGCCTCAAAAGCTGACCCTGAGCCATCACTGAGCAGTAGACTACCTCTGGGGGTATCTCTCCAGGGTCGTAGCCATCGCACTCTGAACGCCCACATATCTTGGACCCATACCTGCGAAAAAGCCTAGTTCTTACATGCCTCAAAAAGATGCGAGCAAATCCCATAGCTGGCTAACGCTGTTCTTTCCCTCAGAAATTTGCCTGCTGCTCCTCGTCATGCCGCCCTAAAGGCGATTCTAACTCCAAGACGCCGCCAGAATATCAAGCCAGAGCTGGTTACCTGGATACCTTCCTTCGCCAAGTTGTCTGCTGCTGCTCGCAGCACCGCCTCCCTCCCACCCATAACCAGAAGCGAACATAGCTTCAACACGCCTCAAAAATATGAGATTGAATCACATAGATAATTACCTCGATTCCCTCCTTGGCGAGCTCGTCTGCTGCTGCTTTTAGCACCGCCTCCCTCCGACCCATAATCGCGAGCCTAGCGCCGTGCCTGCCGAACTGCCTGGAGATTTCCAAGCCTATTCCTGAACCACCACCTGAAAGCCACAACGGTCGCATTGTCAGCAGTAGCATTGAAATAAACGCCAACAGTCTTGGAGAATTGCCAGGAATATTTGCGAGAATTCTCAAAAATCTGTTGTGAATTCTCTCGAGTCACACGGGTCGCATAGTCAGCAACAGCACTGAAGTGAACGACAGCAGCAATCTCGGAAAATCGCCAGCAAGGAGATTGGCAGTAGCACGGTGAGTTCCTTAGACAATCAGCAAGGAGGAGAATAAACAGAGACGAGTTCGGAAGCGACAGCGGATCAACAAGGGAAGCTATGGAGACAGTGGGTCGCGTTGGGGCACGGAGTAGGAACACAATTGGGAGGCGAGCGATTTCAATCGGCTAAGGGAGTGAACCAGGCTGATTCCGCTGATCATCAGCAGATGCTGGAATGAAGCAGCATCATGCCGGAGGTGCTGTAGACATGACGGCTAATCTGAAGGCTTTTAAGGCGCACCAAAAGAGCCGCTGGCGGAGTTTTGAGGCGCCTAAAAAGTCATCAGCGGGTGCTGGAATGAAGCAGCGTCATGCCTGAGGTGCTGTAGACATGAAGGGTAATCTGAAGGCTTTTAAGGCGCACCAAAAGAGCCGCTGGCGGAGTTTTGAGGCGCCTAAAAAGTCATCAGCGGGTGCTGGCATGAAGCAGCGTCATGCTGGAGGTGCTGTAGACATGAAGGGTAATCTGAAAGGCTCACCCGTGATCAAAACGACTTTCCCTTGGAGAACATTGGGTTTAAACGGACTCTCATGAGACTCGTTATACCCAGTAACGGGAGGCCCCATATCGAAGCAACAAGCAGCCTGAAATCAAGGGTAATCTGAAAGGCTCACCCGTGATCAAAACGACTTTCCCTTGGAGAACATTGGGTTTGAACGGACTTTCCTGAGGCCCCATATCGAAGCAGCAAGCGGCCTAATCAACTTAATTCTAAACAGGACGTCGTGTCCTGGAAAGAAGGGGAATTCCCCCTTCTGCTGCAGCCGGGGGCTGAATGCTTCTTTATGAAATACTTTGGCGAAGTATGCGAGCAAGTAGAAGCAAGGGAACAACCCAATGATGCTCATACCAACAAAGATGCAAGAAGTTGATCACGGGTCGAACACGGTGTTATAGGATGCAGAACGATTTAGTGTGGTGGGGAAACTCGAATTAAGCAGATGGCCTCCCAATGAGATGTATGATGGAGCTGAGGGATGTCCTCGATACTGCCGAAAGTTGCGTCCAATAACATCCACTCCACTCTCTATGTTCTGAGATATAAAAGATAGTGACCAGAAAGTGAGGGCACCATAGCATCCTCACACAAATTGCATCCATGGATGAGTGAGGTTCTATGAAACTAGAATATATGATTTGTGAGGCATAGATACTACCGATACTTATTAGACCAAATGAATTAAGAAATGTAGTACGTGACATAGGTATCAATTTCAGAGATTCTTCAATTTCCTTTCAAACTTGAGTTTGAAAGGACTTTGAGTGTGCTGCTAGTGCATCATTCGCAACCACTCATTATCGAAGCGTTTTTGTCGGACGCAGCAGCGGGTCCGACGCACCACTTATTGCCTCCAAATACCTATTCCGTGTGTCCCTTTCGCTCCTAGCTACGTTTGGCTTTTTGTCGACCATTCCTTCTCACGCGGCGTCATACGGCGTCAGGAAAGCTATTCGTAGCAACGCGTCACGGTCCCCAATATCATTCGCTGCATACCTTCAAGAGGCTCCTAACGGCAGCGCAGCTAGCACTGTATCCTGTACGGTCTTTTCTCGCCGTGTTCGTGCATAACTAGCGCAGCGCTTCGCAGTTTGTTTCTAAGAGATTGGAGCGCGTAGTTTAAAGTAAGCGTTACTAGTCAGTTGGGTTTCGCTACCTTACTCCATGGCAGGTCCTTCGGGTAAACGTAAGTTCGAGGGCGAAGAGAAGGTAGCTTCTGATACCGGTGACAACCAGGAACCACCGCAACCGGCAACAGAATCGAATCCAGAATCGAATCCGAATCCCGGACTAGATTCGGACGGAAAGCCCGCAGGTTCGAAGCCTAAAGCATCTCCAGCCGAGTCGCATCCAGCAAAGCAGACAGAAAAAACGTGTGTTCATGACGTCGCGCTTCCTCCGGATTTCACGGCCTCTCTCGACCAATCAGTGCACGGGACGATCGATTCGCCGGTGTACAAGGGTCCGATGGCGAAAACGTACCCATTTGAGTTGGACCCGTTTCAAGCAACCTCGATAGCGTGCTTGGAGCGGCGGGAGTCCGTGCTCGTGGCAGCGCACACGTCGGCGGGAAAGACGGCTGTTGCGGAATATGCAATCGCGATGGCGTTTCGCGACAAGCAGAGGGTCATTTACACGTCGCCTCTCAAGGTAGGTCTGTTCTAAGGTTGGTTGCTTTTTAGGTTAAATCCCCTGAGGCAGGCTATTTTCTAAAAGAGGGGACTTGTGATTCTGTTGCAGAATCGGGGTTTATTTCTGTTAAGTTCCAGGTTTGAAGTTCTAGGGTTTCGGGTTTCGGGTTGAGGGGGTTGAGGGTTGAGTGTTGAGGGCCTTACTGTGGTGGAGAGCACCGACCTCCTCTTTCCCCGTCCAGTTCCCCTCTTTGTCCCCTCCACCCTTCTCCATTTCCTTCCCATTTCCTTCCAGTTCCTTCTCCACTTTGGTGTCCCCAAGACTTCCTGGGCATTCACAAGTACTGGGCGCTCATTTGAACCCTTCTCCTTTTCTCACCCCTCCCTCCCCTCCTCTCCTCTCGCTCCTCTCTCTCCCCCTCTACACACCAGGCTCTGAGCAACCAGAAGAAGATGATTCGGGAGCTGAGTGAAGAGTTCAGCAACGTGGGGCTGATGACAGCTGATCCCCCTAACACTTCTGTCCATTGTCCCCCTCCCCCCTCCCCCCCCCCCCCACCCCTCTCAAAGGGGTGAGCTTAGAGTGAGGAGTTCAGTGACGTGGGGGTGTCGACAGGTCACCCCATTAACATTCCTGTCGAGTGTCGTCTCCCCCTCCCCATCCCCTCCCCATCCCCTCCCCATCCCCTCCCCATCCCCTCCCCCTCCCCATCCCCTCCCCCTCCCCCTCCCCCACCCACGTCAGGCGCTGAGCAACCAGAAGTATCGGGAGCTGAGCGAAGAATTTAGCGACGTGGGGCTGATGACGGGTGAACGTTGCAATCACTCTCTCTTCCCTTACTCCCCCACCTCCCTGCCTCCCCCTTCCCTGCTCTCCACACAACAGGCTCTGAGCAACCAGAAGTATCGGGAGCTGAGTGAGGAGTTCAGTGACGTCGGTCTAATGACGGGTGACGTCACCATCGCCCCCAACGCCGCTTGCATCGTCATGACCACCGAGATCCTCCGATCCATGCTTTACCGAGGCTCGGAGGTGCTTCGGGAGGTGGCTTGGGTAATTTTCGACGAGATTCACTACATGCGGGATCGCGAACGGGGCGTGGTGTGGGAAGAGAGTATTATTTTCCTTCCGCCAGATGTTAAGATGGTGTTTTTGTCGGCTACGCTGTCGAACGCGCGGGAGTTTGTCGAGTGGATTACTTATCTGCATAAGCAGCCATGTCACGTGGTGTACACGGATTACCGGCCGACTCCCTTGCAGCATTTCGCGTTTCCTTATGGCGGGGATGGGCTGTACCTGATGGTGAACGAGCAGGGGAAGTTTATCGAGAAGAATTTCAATCGCTTAGCTAAGAGTTTCGCTAAAGCGAACGGCGGCGGAGGCGATCCCAGAAGCTGCTGGGTTTGCTGGGAGAGGGAAAGGGAGGGGGGGGAGGGGAGGGAGAGGAGGAAGGGGAGGGAGAGGAGGGGAAGGAGGGAGAGGCGCAGGTGGAGGGCCTTCGGATATTTACAAGATAGTGAAGGTGAGTCTTTCTCCTTACCTGAGTCCCCGTTTCCCTCCTTTTGCCTCTTATTAGCCTGCTCCTTCTGAGGCGGAGGGCCATCGGATATCTACAAGATCATGAAGGTGTTCTTTCTCCTTACCTGAGTCCCCATTCCTCTTTCCCTTCCCTGTGTCTTTCCTCTCCTCTCCGATCCTCTCTTCTCCGATCCTCTCCTCTCCGATCCTCTCCTCATCCGATCCTCTCTTCTCCGATCCTCTCCTCATCCGATCGTCTCCTCATCCGATCCTCTCCTCATCCGATCCTCTCCTCATCCGATCCTCTCCTCATCCGATCATCTCCTCATCCGATCCTCTCTTCTCCGATCCTCTCCTCATCCGATCCTCTCCTCATCCGATTCTCTCCTCATCCGATCCTCTCCTCATCCGATCCTCTCCTCATCCGATCCTCTCCTCACCCGATCCTCTCCTCATCCGATCCTCTCCTCATCCGATCCTCTCTTCTCCGATCCTCTCCTCATCTGATCCTCTCCTCATCCGATCCTCTCCTCTCCCATCCTCTCCTCTGCGATCGTCTCCTCATTATCCCCCGCGTTTTCTGCTCGGATCTGAGTCTGTATCTCCCTGCGCTCCTTCCCTCCCGTCCCATAAACCCCAAAAACCCTTCAATGCAGACCTGTTCCGAGCTGGATTTCCACCCCATGATTGTGTTCAGCTTCCGGCGCCGCGAATGTGAGGCGTACGCCATGCAGCTGAGCAAGCTGGACTTCAACAGCGAGGAGGAGAGCAAGATGGTCAAGGAGGTGAGTAGCGGTGCAAAGAGGTGATGAGGGGTGATGGCAGGTTCTTCTAGGTACGACTGGGTAGTGGTAGTAGGGCAGCACACAAGACCAGGACCTCCCAGATGCTGCCTTCCCTTCCCTGTACTGGGACCATTGCCGTTCCTGCAACCCCACAATTCCCCTAACCCCGCCGACTTTTGAGGCACCTCAAAAGATGCTGCCTTCCCTTCCCTGTACTGGGGCCATTACCGTTCCTGCAACCCCACAATTCCCCCCAACCCCGCCGTCCCCTCTACTCTCAGGTGTTCAACAACGCTATCTCCGTGCTCCCCACTGAAGACCAGGACCTGCCAGCAGTGTGGCAGATGCTCCCTTTGCTGCAGAGGGGCGTGGGACTGCACCACTCGGGGCTGCTGCTGCTGCTGCTGCTGCTGCTGCCTTCCCACCACTTCCTCTCTTGCACCCAACCCCCCTTCCTTCCACAGGTGTTTAACAATGCCATATCTGTTCTCCCCACTGAAGACCAGGACCTGCCAGCGGGCGGTGCGCCAGATGCTGCTGCTGCTCCAGAGGGGCGTGGGAGTGCACCATTCGGGGCTGCTGCTGCCGCCTTACTCACAGGACCTCTGTTGCCTTCCCTGCCTTACCTCCTTTCCTCATTCAGGTGTTTAACAACGCTATCTCCGTGCTTCCCACTGAAGACCAGGACCTGCCAGCGGTGCGCCAGATGCTGCCGCTGCTCCAGAGGGGCGTGGGAGTGCACCACTTGGGGCTGCTGCTTCCCTTACTCATTCACTCCCCCCCTCTTGCACCCAACCCCCCTTCCTTCCCCAGGTGTTTAACAACGCTATCTCTGTGCTTCCCACTGAAGATCAAGACCTGCCAGCTGTGAGGCAGATGCTTCCCTTGCTGCAGAGGGGCGTGGGAGTGCACCACTCGGGGCTGCTGCCCATCCTCAAGGAGCTCATCGAGATTCTCTTCCAGGAGGGGCTTCTCAAAGTGCTCTTTGCCACTGAAACGGTGAGGAGCTGCTGGTGTGTTGTGTCGCTGCTTCTTGCTGGGCGGGGAGTGGAAGGGGAGTGCACCACTCGGGGCTGCTACCCATCCTAAAGGAGCTCATCGAAATTCTCTTCCAAGAAGGGCTGCTTAAAGTGCTCTTTGCCACTGAAACGGTGAGTTTGTGTGTCGTGGTGTGTGGTTGCTGAATGCTGGTAGAGTGTGGGTGGGGTGGGCTTGGGAGGGGCGTGGAAGTGAGTGCACCAGTCGGGGCTACTACCGGCTATATTGAAATCACTTTTGAGAATTCTCAAAAGGGGCGTGGAAGTGAGTGCACCACTCGGGGCTACTACCGGATGTTTTCCTGGTGTTGGTTGGTTCTGTCTGTCTGTGGATGCTCCACTTGGTTCTTGTGGTTGTGCCGGCCTCCTCTGCCCATCCCATCCTCAAGGGGTTCATTGAGCCCGTCCCCATGTGTGCCCATCCCGAGACGCGGGACTCCTCAAACTTTGACATTGAGGCTCAAAGTAAACATGGGCAAAAGACGAGTCGAGTCGAGTAAAAATTGACTCGTTTTGGCGAGTTTTCTTAGGCCGGTTGAGAGTCGAGTTTAACTTGACGCGTTTTTTGGAGCAAAAACCGAACCCTTGCCCACCCATCCCCACCCCCCTGAACCGCTTTGCAGTTCGCCATGGGCCTGAACATGCCAGCACGCACCGTGGTCTTCACAGCCACGCACAAGTGGGATGGAGAGGCCAACCGAGCCATGCACTCGGGGGAGTATATCCAGGTGGGTGTTGGGGTGTGTGTCTCATTCAACCCAGTTTGTACGACGTGTACGTGAAATCACTTTCACTCCACCGTGGTCTTCACAGCCACACACAATTGGGATGGAGAGGCCAACCGAGCCATGCACTCGGGGGAGTATATCCAGGTGGGTGTAGGGGTGTGTGTCTCATTCAACCCAGTTTGTACGGCGTGTACGTGAAATCACTTTCACTCCACCGTGGTCTTCACAGCCACACACAAGTGGGATGGAGAGGCCAACCGAGCCATGCACTCGGGGGAGTATATCCAGGTGGGTGTAGGGGTGTGTGTCTCATTCAACCCAGTTTGTACGGCGTGTACGTGAAATCACTTTCACTCCACCGTGGTCTTCACAGCCACACACAAGTGGGATGGAGAGGCCAACCGAGCCATGCACTCGGGGGAGAATATCCAGGTGGGTGTAGGTGTGTGTGTGTGGGGGGGGGGGGGGGGGGGACTGACACCCGCCCCCCTCCGCCCCCCCCAACCTGTCTAGAAAGTCAAGTGAGTGTGCTTATGCTCGTCACAGCCACGCACAAGTGGGATGGCGAGGCCAACCGAGCCATGCACTCGGGGGAGTATATCCAGGTGGGTGTGCTGCTTGATGTGTCTATGTGTCCGTGTGTCTCTGTGTGTACCTGTGTGTGCCTGTGAGTTTCTGAGATGAGTACAATAACGCGTTCACCCCCTCTTTCCAATTCCCCCTCACCCAACCATCAGATGAGCGGTCGGGCAACTTCTGAGACTTCTGAGACTTTTAAGACTTTTGAGACTTTTGAGACTTATAAGACTTTTGAGACTTCTCAAAAGCCCTCTTTCCAATTTCCCCTCACCCACCCAACCGTCAGATGAGCGGTCGGGCAGGGCGGCGAGGGAAGGACAGCAAAGGAATTGTCATTGTGATGGTGAATGAGGAGGTGAGGATGGGTGATGGGGGGTGGAGATGGGTGGTGATGGGAGGCGAGGGAAAGATAGCAAAGGGATTGTCATCGTGATGGTGAATGAGGAGGTGAGGAGGGGTGATAAGGAGTGCGGCGAGGTGGGAAGGGGTGATGGGGGAGTGTTGGGAGGCGTGAGAAGGGGTGATGGGAGGTGGAGAACAGTGCTGTGCGTTGTCACCATGCACGTGATATCTTACTGCATGCATGAATGGTTTATTATGCTCACCAGACTTGTAGGTTGTTAGACACATGCGTTCTGTGACATGTAGAACGCATGCGATCAGAGACGTGTAGGTTGTTGGACACATGCGTTCTGTACCTTTTTGAAGCGTTTCTGATCTGAACACGTCTGTCTCTTGAGGTGCCTGAAAGAAGTGTATGTTATTTGGGAATCACTTTTGAGAACTCTCAAAAAACATACACTGAAAGAAGTGCCTTTCTTGTGCTACATGTGGTCTGTCTCACTGCTTCCTTCCGTCCTCCCACTCTCATCCCTCCCACCCCTGATGACCATGGAAGCGTGCAAGGAGATGATGCTGGGGAAGCCCGCGCCCTTGGAGAGCTCCTAGTGCATCCTCCCCCATCCTACCCCTCCCTAGTGCGGAGGTGGGGGTAGGGTGGGAGCTCCTAGTGCATCCTCCCCGTCCTCCCCGTCCTCCGCTCCCCCACCCTACCCCTACCCCTCTCCCCCAGATGACCATGGAGGCGTGCAAGGAGATGATGCTGGGGAAGCCAGCCCCCTTGGAGAGCTCCTTCCGCCTGGCGTACTACGCGCTGCTCAACCTCATGGCTCGAGCCGAGATGCTCCTTCCTCCCACTCTCATCCCTCCCGCCCCAGATGACCATGGAAGCTTGTAAAGAGATGATGCTGGGAAAGCCCGCACCCTTGGAGAGCTCCTTCCGCCTGACGTACTACGCACTGCTGAACCTCATGGCTCGAGCCGAGGGGCAGTTCAATGCAGAGCATGTGATTGCACACTCCTTCCACCAGTTTCAACACGACAGGGTACGTGTGTGCGTGTGTGTGTATGGTGTGAGTCCCTTTTCGCCCCTTCTCTTGCTATACCTCCCCTTTCTTCCCTTATCGTCCCCTCGATATCATCCCCACCAGCAAGTACCAGCGGTGAAGAAGAGGGTCGAATTAAGCAGCCACACGCAGAGGCAGACGCGCTTGCAGCTGCCAAATGTATGTTTCTCACTTGTGTCGCCGCGTTCTTTTCCTTTTCTTCCCCTCATCCCCTTCGCATTTTCTCCACCAGCAAGTACCAGAGGTGGAGAAGAGGATCAAGCAGCTACAGGCTGAGGCAGATGCACTGGAGGCTGGGACTGAGGTGAGGCTGTGCTGAATCGAATGAGGAAGAGTGAGCGAGTGTTGCACGGGTCGAGGAGTGAAGGAGTTGGGGAGGATGAAGCAGCTACAGGCAGAGGCAGGTGCGCTGGAGGCAGGGACTGAGGTGAGAGCTTGAGTGTTAGAGAGGGAGGCGGATTAAGGGAACAGTGAGAAGTTGAGAGAAGGGATGTGAGTGAGGGATGCGATGCAGAGGAGTGTGGGAGTAGGGGAGATGATCGAGCAGCTGGAAGCTGGGACTGAGGTGAGGGCTAGAGTGTGAGAGAGGGAGGTGAGTGCTGCAACGTTAGAGGAGTGAGGGAGCAGGGGTCGATTATCGTGCCGATGAAGGCCTAAAAAGCCGAAACGCGCGTACGTTCTCTGAACCACTTGTAATCTACCGATTTAATACTACTACGTTTACCAACGCGTGTTCTCGCCTAGTACTCAGTAAGATTAGTACCTTTTAGATTAGTCATTACCGGTCGGTCAAACCGAGCTTGCAGCTTTCCACCCGTTTCTCAGTTTGAGAGGTTAGAGGAGTGAGGGAGCAGGGGTCGATTATGCAGCTACATGCAGAAACAGACGCGTTGGAGGTAGGGACTGAGGTGAGACCTTGAGGGATTGGGTGAGGATGAGGACTTTTGAGACGTCTCAAAAGGGATTGGGCGAGGATGAGGTTGTGACGATAGAGGAGTGAGGCAGAGAGGAGTGGGGGAGAGAAGCTTGAGGGAGGAAAGGGCAGTCAGGAAAAGTCTAACAGGTTTGTGGAATAGCAGTAAGAACCATAAGTACCACACAAGCGAGCCCCCCTGTCAGTTTACGGTAAACTGTTTACCCGCGCAACATGGAGCTCCGCTTTTCCACACTCTGGGCTGGAGTGCCTACCTACCCAATGGCTCCAACACCTCGTGCTCCTCCGTGTTCCCCTTTCGACTTTTGAGTCGACTCATAAGTCATCTCGCTTTCCAGCCTACCCACACACTGGCTCTAACTATGTTGGCAGATACGCCTTGGGAAGGGGGGCGTACCATACGCTTGCGTATGTATGCAGTACGCAAATACGCTCGAGATGCGCGCTGGCCTTACGCACCCTATTTTGAAACACTCTCATTTAGTACCACACCAAGGGAAATCCTAAGCTGTGCAGACTTTGTGACAGGCAGTTCGAGGGCGGCACCAATCGCTGCGCAATTCACCTCGCCACATGGAAAGGGCAGGGGAAACGCGATGTTAAGATATGCAAGAAGGTGCCCACGGTCGTCCGCGATGCCTTCTGTGCCATGTACGAGGAGAAGGCGTAACAGCAGGAGCTGAAACGAGGGGCAACCGCTACAGCTCTTGACTCCGCATTTGACGCGGTCACTGGTTATTCAGAGAAGAGGGGGAAGATTGCTGATTTCTTCGGCGATCAGGCGGCGTGCGCCAAGGAGGACGCAGGTAACGCAATTTGCCTCATGTTTTCGACGCTGCGACTTCCGGAGCGCATCTTTGATGATCCGGTCTTCCGCCATGCAGTGGCGTGCATTTCGTGCGCTGGACCGACGTACGTCCCCCCCAAGAGGCGCTACATTGGAGGGGCGGTCTTGAAGAAGTGTCGGCAGAATATGCAGCCCGCGCTCGCACCCGTTGCCGCGAGCTGGAAGCAGGACAGTGTATCCGTGTCGTCGAACTTGATGACCGATTGATGTGGCTGCCCGGAGGCCAACATTCTCCTTGTCAACGACTCAGGTGCAGTTTTCGAGCAGTTGGTGGACTGCCGCATGGAGTCGAAGACAGGGGGGTATATCGCTAGCATTCTCCGCCCCGTCATAGATAAGATGGGGCCGGAGAATGTGGTGGTGGTTTGCACTGATGGCGGCAGCAACGATGCAGCGGCAGTCAAGAAGATCGCGACAACATGGCCGCACATTGAGCATGTGCCATGTGCGACGCGTGTTCTGGACCTGATGATGGAAGATGTGGGAAAAATGGCATGGGTGAAGGTGGTCGTGAAGGAGGCAGGGGAAATGATTAACTTCGTGCGCAACCACTTCGGGTGGTTTTTGTTACTGTTACTTGTTGGCACCTTTGACCCAACATATGTCAAGGCATCAAACACTTTGGATAATCGCTGCACTTTTGTATGTGGGATCCGACTTTTTCTTTAATGCAGGGATCACGGCTCTGAACTTTCGTCGTCTCGCAACTTCATGATCGGCGTCAATAGACTCGGTGTGAGGGTCAAAAATATGATCTGCTTTTTTTGGCAGGTCATATTTTTGACACTCACACCGAGTGTATTGATGCCGATGATGAAGTTGCGAGACGACGAATGTTCAGAGCAGTTGATCCCTTCTATAAAGAAAATGTCGGATTCACATAAGAAAGCGCAATGATTATCCAAAGTGTTTTATGCCTTGCCATGTTCTGGGTGAAAAGTGCCTGCAAGTATTACCTTCCCACCCAGCGTATTTTAGCGTATTTGCAGTACGGGAACAATGGCGTACGTACGCAAGCGTATGATATGCGAAACGCGTATCTGCCAACTTAGGGCTCTAACACCTCGTCCCCCTCCGTGTTCCCCTTTCGACTTTTGGGTCGACTCAAAGTCATCTTGCTTTCCATCCTACCCACACACTGGCTCTAACAACACCTCGTCCCCCTCCGTGTTCCCCTTTCGACTTTTGGGTCGACTCAAAGTCATCTTGCTTTCCATCCCACACACTGGCTCTAACAACACCTCGTCCCCCTCCTTGTTCCCCTTTCGACTTTTGGGTCGGCTCAAAGTCATCTTGCTTTCCATCCTACCCACACACTGGCTCTGACAACACCTCGTCCCCCTGCGTGTTCCCCTTTCCATTCCCTCTGACAGGATGAGATCCGCGAGTACCACGCACTACGTCTGTCACTAGCTGAGAAGGAGAGACGGCTGAAAGCAGAGGTGCTGCGTCCTGACAGATGCCTGCACTTCCTGCAGCCAGGCCGACTGGTGAGAATCGGGCAGGGCAGGGCAGACTGGTGCGAGTGTTTAGTGAATGGAGTCCGTAGGTTACTCAAGGCGGAGGTACTGCGTCCTGACAGATGCCTGCACTTCCTGCAGCCAGGCCGACTGGTGAGTTGATTTCCAGGTGAATCGAAGCATCACCAGGTATGTGGGTTGTTTTGGTGGACCAAGGAGAGTTTCCAGTTCGCCCCTCCACTCACCCCTCCACTCGCCCCTCCACTCGCCCCTCCACTCGCCCCATTCTCTCTTGCCAATCCGATCTTGCCCTGCCCAGTGGCCCGCATTTTGGCCTTTCAACTCGCTCATTCAAACTCCTTACCGTCACCTACATTCGTGCAGATCCGCGTATTAGACGGTCTAGACGACTGGGGGTGGGGAGTGATAGTCAACGTGATGAAGCAGCCATCATGTGTCCTCGTCCCTTTTCCTTCCCACCCATCCTTCCTCCTGCAGATCCGAGTGGTGGATGGCCTAGACGACTGGGGGTGGGGGGTGATCGTGAACGTGATGAAGCAGCCCTCTCAAAACAACTCCAAATCAGCCGTCATCGCCCCCTCACCCACGGCCACTGCTGCTGCCGCTGCACCGCTCTCCACCACGGCATACCTGGTGGACACGCTGCTGCTGTGCTCTCCTGTGGTGGACAGTGGAGGAGCGGACGGCTCCACTGCTCAGCTTGTGCCACGCCCGTGCGCCCTAGACGGGAACGGGGAAATGCATGTGGTGAGTGAGTGGCTTGTGAGTGGCACGCGTGGGGCTTGTGCGTGGTGAGAGGGTGCCTCTGCTTCTACTCCACTTGTGCCACGCCCGTGCATTTCCACCTAGACGGGAATGGGGAAATGCATGTGGTAAGTCGCATTTTCGCTGTCCTCCTTTCCCGAACCCCCTCTTTCTTTCTCTCTGCACCCGTGTGCGCTGGAAGGGAATGGGGCGATACACATAGTGAGTGGGTTGTGTGTGGCTTCGTCTTCTGAGAATTCTAAAAAACGGGGAGATGCACGTAGTGAGTGGGTTGTGTTGTGTGTGGCTTCGTCCCTCGCCTCGCTCTCTCTCCCTTCTGCTTACTTACCACTACGGCATACCTGGTGGACGCACTGCTGCTGTGCTCTCTTCTTTCCTTCCTTTGCTCTCCGCCACTGCTGTTGGCTCTGCTCCCACTGATGCACCGCTCTCCACCACGGCATACCTGGTGGACTTGCTGCTGCTGTGCTCTCCCGTGGTGGACAGTGGAGGAGCGGAGGGCGTGGTGGGCTCCACTGCTCACCTTGTGCCGCGCCCGTGCCGCCTGAAGGGAGCGGGGAGATGCACGTGGTGAGTGAATGGTTTGGCTTCGTCCCTCCCTCCCTCCCTCCCTCCCTCTCCCTCCCTCATCTCTCCCTCCCTCATCTCTCCCTCCCTCCTTTATCTTCCCGCCGTCCCTCCCATCCGCCCCAGATCCCAGTGAAACTCCCAGCAGTGGCGCGCATAGGGGCGCTCAGAATCGCCCTGCCCACGGATCTTCGCCCTAAGGAGGCCCGGCAGGCAGTGCTGGTCACACTGAGGGACGTCACCCAGCGGTTCCCTGATGGGCTGCCCATCCTAGACCCTGTGGAGGTGAGAGGGATAGTGAATAAGTGAGCGTGTGGGTGTGTGTGAGTGGGCTGCCTGTTGGAGACTTCTCATAAACCAGACACCAGCCAGGCCGTGCTGGTCACACTGAAGGACGTCACCCAGCGGTTCCCTGACGGGCTGCCCATCCTAGACCCTGTGGAGGTGAGGGAGGAAGGGAGTGAATGAATGGTGTGTTGTTTGAGTCGTTTCAACCCTTTCTCCGTTCGTCTTGATTGAATTCCATTTCTCTGTCTCCGTTTGGCTGTCTCCGTTTGGCTGTCTCCGTTTGGCTGTCTCCGTTTGGCTGTCTCCGTTTGGCTGTCTCCGTTTGGTGTATCTGTCTCTCTCTCTCTGCTTCTCAGGACATGGGCATCACAGACGAGTCGTTTCTGGACCTGGTACATTCCATCGACCAGGACGAGAGCAAGCTGGCCAAGCATCCCCTTTTTAAGGTGCTTCACTAGCAAATCGGGTTACACTAACAGGTTAGGCTGTTACAGTTGTGGAGTCAGCCGAGTGAATTACGTTGCACAGGTCATTGAATTGTGAATTGCAATCAGGTTACACTAAAAGGTTTCGTGAATTGCATTGCACAGTGCACAAGCTGAAGAGGTTGGCATTCCCCCCTCCCACCCCTTTTCACCCACTCCCACCCACTCCCACCCCCTCCCACCCCCTCCCACCCCCTCCCACCTCCTCCCACCCCCTCCCATCCCCCCGCCCCCATTCTCTCTCTTCCACTCCTCGTCCATTCTCCCCTTCCAGGCAGAAATCGCAGAGCAGAAGCTTGAAGTGCTGAAGAGGCGAGGGCAGCTGCACATGCAGGCTCAGGGTTGAGGGTTTGTGCTCAAGGGTGCACTTGCCCTTCCCCCCCTCTCCCCTTCACTGTACACCTCCCCTAGGCTGAGATAGCAGAGCAGAAGCTGGAGGTGCTGAAGAGGCGAGGGCAGCTGCTGGTCGTGTAGCCTGCAGCTGAGCATACCTTCCTCTCTCCCCCCTTATTGAGCTCCCTTCTTTCTTCCTCCCGTGCACCTGATGCACAGGCGGAGATAGCAGAGCAGAAGCTGGAGGTGCTGAAGAGGCGAGGGCAGCTGCTGGTCGTGTAGCCTGCAGCTGAGCATACCTTCCTCTCTCCCCCCTTATTGAGCTCCCTTCTTTCTTCCTCCTGTGCACCTGATGCACAGGCGGAGATAGCAGAGCAGAAGCTGGAGGTGCTGAAGAAGCGAGGGCAGCTGCTGGCAGAAGCACAGCGGCTCAAGATGAAAACCAGGGAGTCCCAGGTATGTTTGGAGGAGTGATGAGCGGTGGGAACGTCTGTGATGCAGTGAGGACGTCTGTGATGTGGTGAGGAGTTGAACAGAGGATTTGATAAGGGAATAGATAGGGAGGGGAGTGTGTGCTTGTGAATGCTTCTCTTCTCTTCACCTTGTCCCACCCTTGTTTCCTCCCACTCTTTCTTTCTTTCCTCCCACTCTTTCTTTCTTTCCTCCCACTCTTTCTTTCTTTCCTCCTCCCCAGCTCTCTCTCTTCAAATCCAAGCTCAGGAACCGCTCACGAGTTTTGAAACGGCTGGGCCACATCGACTCGGACGGGGTGGTGCAGCTCAAGGGGCACTAGTTTTGAGGCGCCTCAAAACCAGCTCAAGGGGCTCTCACCTGCTCACTCTTTCCAATCTCCCCCCCTGCTCCACCTCCACCCTTCCCTCCACTCTCACCTCCACATCGACTCGGACGGGGTGGTGCAGCTCACGGGGTGGTGCAGCTCACGGGGTGGTGCAGCTCACGGGGTGGTGCAGGCAGCTCAAGGGGCACTCACCTACTCACTCCTTCCAATCTCCCCCCCTGCTCCACCTCCACCCTTCCCTCCACCTTTCCTCCTCCCCAGCTCTCGCTCTTCAAATCCGAGCTCAGGAACCATTCACGAGTTTTGAAATGTCTCGGCCACATCGACTCAGATGGAGTGGTGCAGCTCAAGGCCGGGCGGCGTGCGTCGGTTCCTCATACGTGCCCAATTCCCCACCCCACCTCTCCCTCTCCTGCCTCTCTTCCCCTGCAGCTTTCTTTGTTCAAATCCGAGCTCAGGAATCGCTCCAGGGTACTGAAACGACTGGGCCACATCGACTCAGATGGGGTGGTGCAGCTCAAGGGCCGGGCGGCGTGCGTTGTCACGACAGGCGATGAGCTGCTGGTGACGGAGCTGATGCTGGAGGGGGCTTTTAATTCCATGGACCCGCACCAGTTGGTTGCTGTTGCCAGCTGCTTCTTGCCTTCCGAAAAGTCAAATGAGGAGCAGGTGAGTGTCTGCTTCAGGCCAGACCATGAGGATCAGGAGAGCCTTTTTTTGGCCTAAGTTTGGAGGCCATTGCATGGAATCTTTGTAGCTCACGACAGAAGATGAGCTGCTGGTGACGGAGCTGGCGCTGGAGGGGGCATTCAACTCCATGGACCCCCACCAGCTGGTTGCTGTGGCCAGCTGTTTCCTGCCCTTGGAGGAGTCGAATGAAGAGCAGGCAAGTTCCTTATCCAACTCTGACAGTCGACGGAGCTGATGCTGCAGGGGGTGTTCAACTCCATGGACCCCCACCAGCTGGTTGCCATGGCTAACTGCTTTCTTCCATCAGAGAAATCGAATGAGGAGCACACAGGTGGGGGAGCTGATGCTGGAGGGGGTGTTCAACTCCATGGACCCCCACCAGCTGGTTGCCATGGCTAACTGCTTTCTTCCATCAGAGAAATCGAATGAGGAGCACACAGGTGGGGGAGCTGATGCTGGAGGGGGTGTTCAACTCCATGGACCCCCACCAGCTGGTTGCTGTGGCTAACTGCTTTCTTCCATCAGAGAAATCGAATGAGGAGCACACAGGTGGGGGAGCTGATGCTGGAGGGGGTGTTCAACTCCATGGACCCCCACCAGCTGGTTGCTTGGGCTAACTGCTTTCTTCCATCAGAGAAATCGAATGAGGAGCACACAGGTGGGGGAGCTGATGCTGGAGGGGGTGTTCAACTCCATGGACCCGCACCAGCTCGTGGCTGTGGCTAGTTGTTTTTGCCTTCCGAAAATTCCAACGAGGAGCAGGTCGGTGAGTGAGTGAGTGAGTGAAGGAGTGAACAAGACTTTCTCAGGTCAAGCTATGAGGAACAATGAGTGAGCCTTGTTCTGGCTGGCTTTGGGCTCATTCTTGTTGCTCTTCTACCTCATCTCCTCTTGCCTCCCTCCTCCCCTACCCTCCTGCAGCCTGTGGCAGCGGACTTAAAGCCGCATTACAATGCTCTAAGAGAAGCAGCGCAGCACATAGCTGAAGTGAAATTTTGAGTCGACTCAAACAGCTGAAGTGAAGCTCTGTGGTTTCCCCTCTTCCTTCTCTGCACCTCTACCCTCCCTCCCGCGCTCCCTCCCTCCTGCAGCCCGTGGCAGCAGACTTAAAGCCGCATTACAATGTTCTGAGGGAAGCAGCGCAGCACATAGCGCGGGTGCAAATAGAGGAGAAAATAGAGGTGGACGAGGAGGAGTACGTGGATCAATTCCGGCCGACGCTTATGAACGTGTTCTACCAGTGGTCCAAGGTGAGGAAGGATGGTGCGGGATTGAGTGCGGTACAGAGGCGAGAAGGAGTGGTTGAGTGTGATGGCAGTGTGATTAAATGCTTTTATAGGAGAAGATAGAGGTGAACAAGGAGTACGTGGATCAATTCCGGCCCATGCTTATGAACGTGTTTTACCAGTGGTCTAAGGTGAGGGGTTCAGTGTGGTACAGAGGTAAAAAAGAGGACTTCGGTCCGGTACCAAGGTGTTTCAGTGCAGAGTGAGGAGAAGATAGAGGTGAACAGGAAGAGTGCATGGATCAATTCCGGCCCACGCTCATGAACGTGTACTATCAGTGGTTCAAGGTAAGGGATATGGTGGTGCGGGATTGAGTGCGGTACGGAGGTGAGAACAAGTAGTTGAGTGTGGTTCCAGTGTGATTCGAGTTCAGATTGAGGAGAAAATAGAGGTGGACGAGGAGGAGTACGTGGATCAATTCCGGCCGACGCTCATGAACGTGTTTTACCAGTGGTCCAAGGTTATGAGGGATTCAGTGCGGTACCAAGGTGACGAAGAGAGGTGAAGTGAGATACCAAGATGACTCAGTGCAAAAAGAGAAGATAGAGGTGGACGAGGAAGAGTGCGTGAAATCCGGCGGACACTCATGAACGTGTTTTACCAGTGGTCCAAGGCGAGGAAGACGAGTTGGGGAGGATTGAGTGTGGTACGAAGGTGTAGAAGAGAAGTTGAGTGCGGTAACAAGGTGATTGAGTGCAGATGGAGGAGAAGTTAGAGCTGGACAAGGAGGAATGTGAGGATCAATTCTGGTTAACGCTCACGTGTTCTTCCAATGGTGTAAGCTGGGATTGTGATGCCAAGGGTTTAAGGTGAGAGAAGGTGATGGGTGTGTTTGAAGAAGTGTTTTGAGACGTCTCAAAACACGTGTTTGAAGAAGTGTTTTGAGACGTCTCAAAACACTTCTTCAAACACGGGAAGGTGATGGGTGTGTTTGAAGAAGTGTTTTGAGACGTCTCAAAACACTTCTTCAAACACGGGAAGGTGATGGGCGTGTTCTTCCAATGGTGTAAGCTGGGATTGTGATGCCAAGGGTATAAGGTGAGGGAAGGTGATGGGATGTGGATGGAAGGATAGCGGATCAGAAGGCAAGGAACAAGCACTGCAGGTTCTATTCTCAGGTTTGGCCTTGCTCATTTCGCTAATAACGTTTCTTTCTGCTTTCAATTCGTGCTTCATGCGATTTTCGTATTGGTGACTGCAGGGCGAGTCGTTCGGCAAGGTCATTGACAGCACAGATGTTTTCGAGGGGACGATCGTGCGCGTGGCTAGACGGCTTGATGAGCTTTTAAACGAGGTGGGTTGTTCTCGGTACCGGTTCACTTGAGTCGCTTCTGTTTGCTTCTGCCAGGTATTTGATTCGTTAAATTTTATTATTTTTATTATTATTATTTTCCCCTCTCCCCCCACCACCTGCAGATGAAGCTTGCAGCTCAAGCCATTGGAGAGCAAGCTCTTGTAGATAAGTTCACAAAGGCTAGCGAGAGCATTCGCAGAGGCATTATGTTTGCCAATTCGTTGTATGTTGAGTGACATGGTTGGATTGGGGTTCATACAAAATCATCTGCACGTCAGTAGGCTTCCCTGAGCACAAACTAGCATGGATGTAAATACCGTCATACCCCGGATATACCCCCATGGGGGGCAATAATAAAACAGGTTTTTTTTGGGGGGGTGGGCTTATAATCGGGTAAATTTATAAGCGCCGGCGTTTATAAAACGACATATATATTTTATATATGTTTTAACACCAAGCTGTAGATCTCGTGCTAGCCTTTTTCAATCGAGTCGAAGTTCTGTGAAATTTCTCGCGCGCGCTGGAGATACACCTACTCTGACAGCTCCTGACAGCTTCTGACAGCTTCTGACAGCTCCTGACTGCTCCTGCTGACTGGTCCCGCATCCAGTGCAGGGTCCGAATGTGAAGGGAAGCGAATCTGCAACACATCCCCCTGCTGAAGTAGAAATCGTTACAGTGTTTCGAACACAATTCAAAATTTAAAGTTTACGTGCGCTTATAATAAAACAAGTTTTTTCAGGGGGGTGCGCTTATAATCGAGCACCGGATATAAGCGCCGGGCGCCGATTAAAAGCGCCAGGCGCTTATCCGCAAGTGGCGGTTATATCCGGGGTATGACGGTAGTCTATATGAGGAAACCATTTACATTGTATGTTTTAGGGCGTATCCAGGTTCGGGTCATGAGCACTGTTCTGGCTACTGTTCGGGTCATGCGGAATTTGCGCATGACCCGAAGTGGGCTGCCGAGCCGCGCGCGGCCCCAGCTTTGGGTCAATGTGCAGGTGTTGGGCGACTGACGTGCACGAGCCACCCACAACCAATCACCTGGTTGCACGATTGTGGTGTCACTGCCATCTTTTTGTCAATCGGCAGTCTAGTGTCACACGTGGGCAGTGTCCCACGTCTCACCTCTGCACCCAACCACTCGGCAAATTGACCCCGAGTGTGTCTAAAATTTCTCGCGTCGCGCTCCCAACATTTGGGAATTCGCTTCGGGAATTTTGACGGTTGTGTTTTCTCAGTGAGTGTCGCGTGGTTTTGCGTGGGTCTCGCTAATGACCTTTCTAAATGTTCTGGTATCCCTCCATTGGATGCGATTGTTGTGGGGAGCTGGATTTTGGCGAAAAAACCCTTGCGGCAATTTGTGGAACATGCGTTTTATGTTGTTCGGGTCATCCGCAAATCGCGCATGCCCGGAACAGTGCTGATGACCCGAACCTGGATACGCCCTCACAGCCGTTAGAAATTGGGGTCTGTGTAAAGGAGGTATCTGGCCAGAAATTCGGAACAAATCCGTTACGCGATCCGGTTGGACGTAGGTGCTACCGACCACCAGCGAGGTGCTGGGGAATTCTCCCGGACGAAGTTACTTTTCCCCCATTGCGAACTTCGCTGTGGGTTGTGCGGAACAAGGTTACTAAGTTCAAGGCTTCGCCAGTGCTTGTAAGCAAAAACACCAGACTAGTTCGATTTCTGAACTCAGATGCAAGTCCCTTGGGAGGACCGTCGATTAGTTGAATCGGACGGTTCGAAGCACCGCATAGCTTGGAATCAACGTGGGACATCGGACGTGCGCGACTGATTGTCCCTCTCACCGCAACGATTCGAGCGCTTTCCCCACAACGACCTGCCACTAGACCGACTCAAAAATTAGTTCCCGTCGAACATTTCGCTATTTCGGCCAGCCAGCCATCCCGCAGCGGGGAGGCGAGCTCTCTCTTCCAGCCGTCGCAGGCGAGATCTCTCCTCCTGCTGCCGGATGCTCGCTGACATTGCATATATCATGGTTCTGACGCGTTCTAAAAAGCACGTTGAGATTTTTCTGAACGTACGTTGAGACCCTACTACTTCTAGTCTCGAACGCCACGTCACGCATCACTGGCGATGACAACCCTCATACCTTGTTGACATCCAGCTTCCAGCTGAGTAGTCCGAGACATGCGATGCGCTCGGTCTAGCTGTCGCAACTTCCCGAAGTCGTTCCCTGGAGCTAATCCATAGCTTTTCAAGAGCCGCATTTAGGTCAATCCAGGGTTGATTGAGCTCAAGTGTCTCAAATCTTTTGTCCCCCGTACCATCGTTAGCGGGGAGTAAGGAGCATATGTAGACATCTCGAATCGGGCAAAGCCCTTCGTGCGATAGCCGGTTAATATCGGGTTAGCACGTTGCGATCTCAAGGTGCGTTTTCCAGCCGTCGATTGTGGCCTGCGATTGCGATTGTTTACCGGCGATTCTCAGCCGTTAATCTTTATTCGGCAATTTGCAGTGTCATTCTCTGCCGTCAATTCTCAGCCCGCGACACTAGTACTTGCGATTCTTAGCCTGCCGCGTTCTCAGCCGGCGATTCTCAATCGCTACTCTCAGCCGACGACCCTGCGACTCGTGCGACTCCTGCGACCCGTGCGACTCCTTCCGCTCGTGCATACACATCACCACTGCTTCCTTCCTCATCCGAGCGACGGTGTTCGATCATGACAATGCCACTATCCGCGCTAAAACCGTCCGCGTTACACAGTTCCTCGCCACCACATTACGACAAATCTACTACAACTACTCATCTGCGCCGTTCGCCCTGCTGCCTTCCCCATCTCTCTTGCTTCCTCCTCCCCCACCTCCTCCCCCTCCTCCCCCTCCTCCTCCTCCTTCTCTTCCTCCACCCTATCGGGCCACACTCAGCCGCCGCCGCCGCAGCAGCCGCCGCAGCAAACCCGTTCCTTCTTTCAACTCACACCACCGGAAGCAACCGAAGCACAAATCCGTCGCAAAATGCTGCCCGTGTTGCATTTACGAGCGGCTACGAAGGGGGGACTATTGGAGGAGGTGTGGGTGTAGACACGGCCGCGCGAAGAGTCTTAACGGAGGCGCCTGTAGCGAATCTGACGCCGAGAGTCTTAACGGAGGCGTCTGTAGCGAGTCTGACCCCGGCAAACGAGATCCTGCAAGTGTGCCGAACCGCAGGCCCCGCCACCATCGCCATTGCTCCCGATCTCAATGGACAGACGTGGCGAGGCTGGGGCACGTCGCTTGCATGGTGAGTCACTCAACGCCGTTGCTTCAGCACGGCTCTTCATGATGCATTTCTCAATAACCTACTCCCCAGGCCCCGCCACCATCGCCATTGCTCCCGATCTCAACGGACAGCCCTGGCGAGGCTGGGGCACGTCGCTTGCTTGGTGAGTGTCTCCTTGGTGCATTCCCAATAACCTCTATTTCCTATGACCCGCCACCATCGCCATTGCTCCCGATCTCAACGGACAGCCCTGGCGAGGCTGGGGCACGTCGCTTGCTTGGTGAGTGTCTCCTTGGTGCATTCCCAATAACCTCTATTTCCTATGACCCGCCACCATCGCCATTGCTCCCGATCTCAACGGACAGCCCTGGCGAGGCTGGGGCACGTCGCTTGCTTGGTGAGTGTCTCCTTGGTGCATTCCCTATAACCTCTATTTCCTATGACCCGCCACCATCGCCATTGCTCCCGATCTCAACGGACAGCCCTGGCGAGGCTGGGGCACGTTGCTTGCTTGGTAAGTCACTCACCAAGAACGGTTCTTTATGTTGCATTTTCTAATAACCTAATCATTGTCCTAATCTTCGATCCATCCTTCACCCCTCTTCACCGCATCCAACCCCCCCAACCCCAACCCCACCAGGTTTGCCAACTATATCGGCAAGCTCCCACCGGACCAGCTGAACCAAATCCTTGACCTAATCTTTGATCCATCCTCCGGGATGGGGCTCAACCTCGCGCGCTACCTGATCGGCGGCAGCTACAATCTCACCAACAGCCCCCGATTCGACACTGCGGACTGGGAATCCCGGGCAATTCCGGGTTATAGACCTTCGAGAACCGGGCCGTATGATTGGACGAGAGACTGGCGGCAGCGGAAGGTTCTGGAAGGGGCTATAGCGAGGGGAGTGGATGAGGTGGATGCGATTGCGTACTCTCCCCCTTGGTGGATGACTATAACGGGGGATACCTCTGGGAATGCGGAAGACGAGACAAATCTTCGGCCGGACGCGTACGGAGCTTACGCGGATTATATGGCTGATGTGGTCGGCAGGTTTCGGAGCCATTGGAACGTTACATTCTCGACGATGAATCCGGCGAATGAGCCGCTGGAAGGGTGGTGGGTGAAAGGGGGGCGGCAGGAAGGGTGTAACTTTAAACCGGACCAGCTTGAGAAGCTGGTGTGGGCTGTGTCAGCGGCTCTTAAAAGGCGGAATCTGCGGACGGCTGTGGCGGGTTTTGACAGTTTTGTCGGGGCTACAGTAAGGTTTCGACACAAGTTTACCGCGAGGGTAAAATCCATCTTGAAACGGATTAATGTGCATCAGTACGTCCCTCCACCCTCCAATACATCCGATGCTCGGCAGTATGTCGAAGGACTATATGTGAGTATGGCGAGGATGGCGATTGGTTTAGGGAAGGAGGTTTGGGTGTCGGAGGTGGGTCCGATGTGGGTGGGAGGAGGTCAAATTGACGTGGCGTTGTTCTTGGCTCGATCGGCCATTCAATCGATCAACATCATGGGAGCATCTGCTTGGATTTACTGGCAAGCGATCAACGGCGCATCAGTAACAAACGTAAATGCGATCAAATGGGGCATCTTCACTATCCCGTTTAATCGGTTGAGCAACGAGACAGCCCCGCCACTGGATATAGTCCTTACGAAGAAGTTTTATGTGTTGAAGCAGCTAGCGCAGGCTTCTCCCAGAGACAGTCTGCCTTTGCAGATTGATTCAAGTGACGGGTGCCATCACTGCGTCGCTGCTTTCTACCACCCCACCAAGCACTTCATTTCGATCTTCATCGTCGATCAACAAGATAGCTCGTACGACCTCACCTTTACATTTACAGCGTTCGGGCTCTTTGACCCGCTAAGTCCATGCAAAATGGAGATGTGGCGGACCTCTACGGCTGAAGATGCTTCACCGGTTGCATCGCAGACCTTTGCAGACGTGCCTGCTTCATTTGCTGTTACGGCTGAAGGGCTTAGTATGACGTCTATTGTGTTTTCTAATGTCTCCTGGTTGTAAAAGCGCTTGCTGTATTCATTTGCTTCACATGTTGTGAAATTAGGTTCCCTTATACCGCATGCTCCATTGACGGTGGCGCAGCATGTCTGATCGCAGGGAGTTGCAGTCGGTCCGGAGGGATGTGTACGGCGTTGTAAATGGTACGGATAGTTACGCCGAGATAAAAAACGGTACTTATCCGAAGGTTTGTGTAATCTTGACCTTGGTCAACCTCCAACGGTCAATAGGCGATGGATGCATTGATCGCGAAAATATTTTAGTGCTTTCTGATTGGCCAATTCACGCGGTTGCAGTCAGCCGATTGGTTGTCCTGTGAAAAATGGGCAGCGAATATTCGAGGGTACAATACTTTTCTCGAGACTCCCCCGCTGCTTAGTAATCACCATAAACTGTCAGACACTGCCATTTGCACATATTGGCTGCAGTGTCCGCTGGACATCTCGTTCTTTCATAGAACTGACATTAATAGTCGCTCGGGCAGTCGTACTGGTCATGGGTTTTCTCTAGACGGGATTTCCTCTTATCCAGGCCGTTCTATTCATCGTTCAGTCTAACTCACTCGCCTGGCCAACGTTGCCGCCATGGATTCCCTGTTCACCCTGCCTTTTCGCAACGTTCCGACCATTTCTTCTTCAATATTGGAAGCAAAATGTCGTGACATCTGGTTGGGTGTATCGCATCCAATCAGAGCATCTTCGTTGCTGCAGCAGAATTCATTGCAGCGAATAACTTTCGCAACTCGCCGTCACGCGCTTCGTTCTACAGTTTCCGTCATTAACCGACAACCTTTCTCTCCCTCCTCTAGCGTTAATTCGGCAAGCAGGGTGGTTCGGGCTGCGAGTGCTACTGACGCGGATGGAGGGGAAACTATCGAAGCAGCAGCGCGTGACGTGGCGGGTGATCCTGCCGCCGTGGCAGCTCAGATGGCATTGAGCGTCTCGGAAGAGGCGCTTCCAGACGGTGACGTGGACGAGGCGCGCGCCGCAGCCGCCGCTGCGCTTCTCGAGAGCGAGCTCCTCCAAAAATCGCCGGAAAACGCGGCGGGTGATGCGGCTGGGGAGTCGGGGAAGGGAGGAGCGGAAGAGAGCAGTATCGGAGCAGCAAGCGCTGCGTCTGCAGCTGTCGCTGAGCCGCTGGAGAGCGTGACAGTAACGAAGGGGACAAAAAGCGGAATAACAGTCAAGGGAAAAAAAGTGAGAGTAGGGGGAAGAGCAGGAGGGGGAGAAAAGGCTTGGAGCGGATCAGAGGGGGAAGGCGACGGCAGCGGGAGCGAGAGTGACAGTGGCAGTGGTAGCGATAGTGGAGGAGAGGAGGTGTTTCATGTGGTGTGGTCGTCCAGGGACAGCAAAATAGACTATCTTGGAGAGAGCACTAAGGGGGATATGGTGCTTCCGGATCTGCCTGTCGACCTCGGTAAGTGAAGATAAACAATATGTGATCTGGAATTGCAGGCGGACGAGGGGCCGATAGAGGAGCTCGCAAAGGCAGTGGCTGATGAGACCGTTTCTTCCCACCCACCCCCATTCTTCCCCTTATCTCCCCCCCACACCAGAGAACGAGGGGCGGCGGGCGTTCGATCTGGAATTACAAGCAGACGAGGGGCCGATAGAGGAGCTCGCCAAGGCAGAGGCGTCTTGACGAGGACACTCCTCCTTACCATTTCCCCCTTCCCATTACCTCCCGCACACACCAGAGAACGAGGGGCGGCGCGCCTTTGACCTGGAATTACAAGCAGACGAGGGGCCGATAGAGGAGCTCGCCAAGGCAGAGGCTGACGAGGCGGAGATGCTGCTGGAGCAGCTGGGCGTGCCTGTGAGTAACTGTGACTGTGGGTCATTGTGACTGTAAGGAACCACGGTAGTGTGTGTGACTGTTTGAGGAGCTTGCTAAGGCAGAGGCTGACGAGGCGGAGATGCTGCTGGAGCAGCTGGGTGTGCCTGTGAGTGGCTGTGTGTCTGTGGGTTAATGTTTGGTCTTTGGAAAAAACAGAGTGATTGTAAGGCAGTGTGTATGATTGTACGAGGGGCTTGTTACGGGAGAGGCTGATGAGGCTGAGATGCTGCTGGAGCAGCTGGGCGTGCCTGTGAGTGACCGTGGCTGTGAGTGACTGTGACTGTGAGTGACTGTGACTATGACAATGAGTGACTGTGACCGCAGGCAGTGCGTCCTGTCCGTGAAAAAGAATGACTGCACAAAGAGCTTGCCAAGGCGGAGGCAGATGAGGCGGAGATGCTGCTGGAGCAGCTGGGCGTGCCTGTGAGTGACCGTGGCTGTGAGTGACTGTGACTGTGAGTGGCTGTGTGTCTGTGGGTCGTGCCAGTCAGACAGTGTGACTGTAAGACATTGTGCGTGTGACTGTATGGAGAGCTCGCCAAGACGAAGGCGGATTAGGGAGGCAGATCTGCTTCTTAAGCAGCTGGGTGTGCCTGTGAGTGACTGTGACTGTGCCATTGTGAGTGAAGGTCATTGTTGCAGGTGACTGTAAAGCAGTGTGACTGTATGAGGATGTTGCCAAGGCGAGGGCAAACGAGTTTAAGATGCTGCACATATCCCTTCACATACCCCTCCCATATCCCTTCCATATCCTCTATCGAAAATCACCTCGCACATCCCGTCACGTACCCATTCCCGCACTCTCCCCATTCCCCGTCCCTGCTGCACTCATCTCTCCATCCATCCCATTACCCCTTCCCTCTCTGTTCCTCTGTCTCCCTGTCTCTGCTCATTCCTCTGCGTCCGTCCCCCTTCCCCCCTCCCCTCCCTCTGTTTTCCTCTCCAGCCCCAGTTCCCCCATGGGCTGGCATCGCGCGGCATCTTCTGCAGCCGCACCCTCAATCTGCGATCGATCACGACCATCGGATATGACATGGACTACACTCTGATTCACTATAACGTCAACGTAAGCACTCTTATTGAGTATGACATGGACTACACTCTGATTCACTATAACGTCAATGTAAGCACTCTTATTGCGTATGACATGGGCTACACTCTGATTCATTATAACGTCAACGTAAGTATTCGTGCTGCTGGATACGACATTCATTTGCTATAACAAGGCAAGGCAAGTACAATAAAAATAAGACAGACTACACCCTGATATATACTAGAAAAATAAGACTCTGTGTACATCCCCTTTTCTCCCACCAGTAATCCGGACTAATTGAAGCAAGGCCTTTGCTTCTCTTCTGAACCTCTTTCCCCGTCCAGGCCTGGGAGGGCCGAGCCTACGACTACGCTATGGAGAACCTCCGAGCCAAGGGGTACCCGACCGAGGGGCTCAGGTTCGACCCGGACCTGGTGATCCGAGGGTTGGTGATGGACAAGGCGAGTGGCAACCTGGTGAAGTGCGACCGGTTCGGGTTCGTCAAGCGAGCCATGCACGGCACAGAAATGCTCTCCAATAAGGCCATCAGGTGAGTGACTGAGGCACGCAGTTAGGTCAGGAAGGCAAGTGGGGTGTGCTCTGCTGACTTACCAGGGCTGTTGTGTCAAGAGAGCCACGCATGGCACTGAGATGCTCTCCAACAAGGCCATCAGGTGTGACACTGAGATGCATTCAAACAGGGATTGTTAGGTGCAATTTTCTCAACAGCAACCTGTACTGCAGAGAGCTAGTGGACTTAAGGAATGAAGGCCGCTGGGAGTTTCTCAACACGCTCTTCAGTGTGAGTGAGGCAGTGGTCTACATGCAGATGATCGACCGCCTTGACCTCTCTTTCCCTCCCCACCTCTCTCCAGCAAGCTTTACGGCCGGGAGTTGGTCGACTTGAGAAATGAAGGCCGCTGGGAGTTTCTCAACACGCTCTTCAGTGTGAGCGAGGCGGTGGTGTATATGCAGATGGTTGACTGCCTTGACTGCAGATTGTAGAACTGCATGCTCTTTGCTTTCTCGATTTCCGTTCTGCCTCCTCCCATATACCTGTCAACAGCAAGCTGTATGGCAGGGAATTAGTGGATCTAAGAAACGAAGGCAGGTGGGAGTTTCTGAACACGCTCTTCAGTGTGAGCGAGGCGGTGGTCTACATGCAGATGGTTGACCGCCTTGACCAGGGGCTATTGCCTGCCGAGGTGGCTCCTGGGGATTACAAGACTCTTTATAAGGTGACTCTTTATAGACGCCCTATCTTATGTGTAAGGTACCTCTCCATAAGGTGGTGTATATGCAGATGGTTGACCGCCTTGACCAGGGGCTACTGCCTGCTGAGGTGGCTCCTGGGGACTACAAGACCCTCTATAAGGTGATTCGTTATAGGGTGATTCACTGTGCGGCCTTTTTTATTTATTTTTTTTTCCGCTCTGAGCGGTCTCGCTGTTGTTGTTGACACTATAGAAGAAGGCTCAGTGTGTGAAATGCCCTGCTGCAAAAGCCCTCTGTTTCGCCTCAATCGAATCCCCTGCTCCCGAGACTAAAGCCATCTCTCCTTCCTCTCGTCCTCACTCTTCTCCACCACTCGTCCCCTTCAGGTCGTGGCAAGAGCTCTCTTCCGAGCCCACGTGGAGGGGCAGCTCAAGGTATGGGGGGGTGGGTGCAGGAGGAGGGTTGGGAGCGGAAGGTATGGTACGAACGCAGTGCCCCTTCAGGTGATGGTCAGAGCTCTCTTCCGAGCCCACGTGGAGGGGCAGCTCAAGGTACGGCAAGCGAAGGGGCATGAGGGGGTGGAACAAGGATGGGGAGTGGAGTGATGGAGGAAGGAAGGGAGAAGGCATACAACACAACACAGTACCCCTTCAGGTCGTGGCAAGAGCTCTCTTCCGAGCCCACGTGGAGGGGCAGCTCAAGGAACGGGGGGTGAGGCATGAGGAGGTATGGGTAGGGGGGGCTTGAGGGTGTGGGGCGTGAGGGAGTGGGGCGTGAGGGAGTGGGGCGTGAGGGTGTGGGCCGTGAGGGTGTGGGCCGTGAGGGTGTGGGCCGTGAGGGTGTGGGGCGTGAGGGGTTTAGTGGCTCTTTTCCCACAAAACGCCCCACACATGTGAAGGGCGTTTCGAGGTGTGAGATTTTTTAAAAAGGATGTCTTTTAGATTTTTTTTAACTAGAGTTGTTTCTAACCCAACCTCTCCCCTTCTCAATCCCCTGATCCCGTTCCCCACAGGCTGGGATCATCAACTTGCCAGAAAACTAAACCCAGAGCTGTCTCTAACTCTCCTAAACCAGAACCACATCTGAGCCCATTTGAATCCATTCATGCATGCCCATGCCTCCCCTTCCCCTTTCCCCCACAGGCAGAGATTAACAATTCGCCGGAGAAGTTCGAGGAGTTAGACCCGGAGCTGCCCTTCGCCCTGCTGGACCAGTAGCACGTCTTAACCTGTCTGAACCCATCTGAACTCATCTGAATCCCATCCAAAACAAACCTTCTTCCCCCCTCCCCTCTCCCCTCACCGTCCATCCACCCCTTTCCCCCACAGGCTGAAATTATCAACTCACCGGAGAAGACCCGTCCATCAAGTTTGTGGAGTTAGACCCGGAGCTGCCCCTCGCCCTGCTGGACCAGAACAATGTCTGAACCCATCTGAACCCATCTGAACCCACCTCTCCCACAGGCGGAGATCATCAATTCGCCCAAGAAGTTTGTGGAGCTGGACCCGGAGCTGCCACTGGCTCTGTTGGACTGGACCACGTCTGAACCCATCTCAACCCATCTGAACACGTCTTGCTCATACCTCCCCACTTCCCACAGGCAGAGATTATCAACTCACCAGAGAAGTTTGTGGAGCTGGACCCGGAGCTGCCACTGGCTCTCTTCGACCAGAAGCACGTGTGAAGCCCTCAAACATCCTCCCCCACCCGCTCCCCTTCCCCCTTCAGGCGGAGACCATCAACTCACCAGAGAAGTTCGTAGGGCTGGACCCGGAACTTCCCTTGGCTTTGCTGGACCAAAAGCTGGCAGGGAAGCGGCTGCTGCTCATCACCAACTCGCAACTTGCATACCTGCCTCCTTTTCACCTCACCCTACGCTTCCCCCTCCACCCTGTCTATCCTCCCCCTCCTCTACAGGCGGAGATCATCAACTTACCTGAGAAGTTTGTGGAGCTAGACCCGGAGCTGCCTCTGGCTCTCTTAGACCAGAAGCTGGCAGGGAAGCTGCTGCTGCTCATCACCAGCTCTCACTCCTGAATATCTTCCTTCCCTTCAGGCCGAAATCATCAACTCGCCGGAGAAGTTTGTAGAGCTGGACCCGGAACTTCCCTTGGCTCTCTTGGACCAGAAGCTGGCAGGGAAGCGGCTGCTGCTGATCACCAACTCGGACTATCAGTACACGCACCGCATGATGACACACGCGTTTGACCGGTTTCTACCAGAGGAGATGACGTGGCGGTCTCTCTTTGACATGGTATGTTCTCCTTCGCTGCAATTCAAGTTGCTGGTGTGAGGTAGAGCTGCTGCTGCTGTTCACTGCAGCTGCTGCGGAAGCGGCTGCTGCTGGTGATGACCAACTCGGTCGGACTATCAGTACACCCACCGCATGATGACACACGCGTTCGACCGCTTCCTACCTGAAGAGATGACCTGGCGGTCTCTTTTCGACATGCTGAGAGGGTATCTTCCCGATTTTTTCTCCATAGCCTCCCCTCCTTTGTTCCCTGTTGCCCATTTCTCTTGTCCATCGTTCCCCCCCACCCCTCCCATGTGATAGTGTCGGCTCGCAAGCCCGAGTTCTTCTCCATGGCTCACCCCCTGTATGAGATTTTGACACCTGACAAACTCTGACCCTGCTTCTGTCACCACCTCACGCCCATCCCTCATTCGCATCCCCCATCACCCCTTACCCCTCCCAAGTGATAGTCTCCACTCGCGAGCCCGAGTTCTTCTCCATGGCCCACCCGCTGTATGAGATAGTGACGCTTGATGGACTCATGCGACCATACTTCTGTCACTCCCTCTCTGCCTTCTCGCATCACCCATCATCTATCCCTCCCCCCCCCCCCCCCCAGGTGATCGTCTCGGCTCGTAAGCCCGAGTTCTTCTCAATGGCTCACCCGCTGTACGAGATCGTGACACCTGATGGGCTCATGCGGCCGTGCTTCAAGGCCAATCCCGGTACGTGTGTTCTTCAAGGCCAATCCCGGTACCAGCCTGCTCAAAAGTCAATCATAATAGATGAATCTTGATAAAAGTAGCAGTAGTTAGGAAAATATGAACCTTGTTTCTCTTGTTGCATTCGGCGCTGCCCGTTCGAGTGTTCATGCAGCTGCGCCACTCAATCCAACATTTCTTGTGGCACCGGCTCCTTCCCGCGCTGATGTGGCTCAATCTGAGCTGTACGCACCAAGGCATTCCACTTGTTCTGACTTGTGCAAAGGGTTTTTGAGACAGTGATATAAAAAAAGGAGATGACGCACATGAAAGGGAGTAAAACGACACAAGTGTGAAAAGGAGCTTGTCAAATGAGCTCCGAGGAAATTGGAACTCGTATATGCAGAAGGTAGTCATGTGAAAAGTGTCTGTACATACGAGTTCCAACTTCCACGGAGCTCATTTGACGAGCTCTTTTTCACACCTGTGTCGTTTCACTCTCTTTGATGTGTATCATCCCTTTTCTTCATATCACCGCCTCAAAAGCCATTGCACACGTGAAAACAAGTGGAACGCTCTGGTGCGTACGACTCAGATCGAGTTCACATCGGCTCAGGAGGGAGCTGGTGTCGCAGGAGCTGTTGGATCGAGTGGAGCAGCTGCATGGGTACTGGGAAGGGCAGTGCAGAACCCAACAAGAGGAACAAGGCTCATAACTTCCTAAATACTGCTACTTTTATGAAGAGACATGTATTATAATTGCACTTTGAGGCTCCACAAAAATTCAAGGACCATTTTAGGTTTGTGCTGTGATATGATGGTGGTGTGCCGCACATAGAACATCAATGTGTGATATAGTGCTCAGATGATTCACTGGTTGAACCCTAGGTTTTCCACATTTATCTTTCCCCTCCTCCTGTCCTTTATTTCTCTTTCAATCTCCTTCCAGAAGGTCTGTACTGCGGAGGGAGCTTTCAAATGGTCAACAGGCTTTAGGATTCGTTGAGATGCTGCGTGGACCCTCGTTCACTCCCCTTCTCCCCTCTGTCATTCCCCTCTTCCCAACAGGTCTAGATTATGGGGGCAGCGCCTCAGATGGTTGAGAAAGCCCTGGGATTCGTGGGAGACGAGACGCTGTATGTGGGTGATCACATCTACACAAACCCTTTCGTTCACCCCTCTCCTCCCCCACTTTCATTCTCTGCTTTCCTTCTCCTTCGTTTTCCTTGTTGATCCTCCTCTCAGGGGGCTTGTACTGCGGGGGAAGTGCTCTGATGGTTGAGAAAGCCCTGGGATTCGCGAAGGACGAGATCATGTACGTGGGCGATCACATTTACACAGACACCTCTATTCCCCTCCTCCTTCCATTCCTTTTTTCTGTGGCTTTACAGGAGGCCTGTACTGTGGTGGCAGTGCTCAGATGGTTGAGAAAGCCCTGGGATTCGCGGGGGACGAAACATTATATGTGGGCGATCACATCTACACAGACGTGTCGCAGTCCAAGCTGCACCTGCGCTGGCGCACGTGCCTTGTCTGTCGGGAGCTGGAACAAGAGGTAGGTGTGTGTGTGACCGAGAGTGGTTCTCAGGGGTTCACAGCGGTTCAAAGAGACAAAACATTCTATGTGGGAGATTACATCTACACAGACGTGTCGCAGTCCAAGCTGCACCTGCGCTGGCGCACGTGCCTTGTCTGTCGCGAGCTCGAGCAAGAGGTATGTGTGCTTGTGTATGTGTCTTTGGGGTTCACAGGGGTTCACAGGAAATCACAGGGGTTCACAGGAAATCACAGGGGTTCGCAGGGGTTCACAAGGGGCGACGAGACTCGGTCGTGGGAGATCACATCTACACGGATGTGTCGCAGTCCAAGCTGCACCTGCGCTGGCGCACCTGCCTTGTCTATTGGGAGCTTGAGCAAGAGGTGTGAGCGAGTGAGGGAGAGCAAGAGGTGTGAGCGAGTGAGGGAGAGCAAGAGGTGTGAGCGAGTGAGGGAGAGCAAGAGGTGTGAGCGAGTGAGGGAGAGCAAGAGGTGTGAGCGAGTGAGGGAGAGCAAGAGGTGTGAGCGAGTGAGGGAGAGCAAGAGGTGTGAGCGAGTGAGGGAGAGCAAGAGGTGTGAGCGAGTGAGGGAGAGCAAGAGGTGTGAGCGAGTGAGGGAGAGCAAGAGGTGTGAGCGAGTGAGGGAGAGCAAGAGGTGTGAGCGAGTGAGGGAGAGCAAGAGGTGTGAGCGAGTGAGGGAGAGCAAGAGGTGTGAGCGAGTGAGGGAGAGCAAGAGGTGTGAGCGAGTGAGGGAGAGCAAGAGGTGTGAGCGATTGAGGGAGAGCAAGAGGTGTGAGCGAGTGAGGGAGAGCAAGAGGTGTGAGCGATTGAGGGAGAGCAAGAGGTGTGAGCGATTGAGGGAGAGCAAGAGGTGTGAGCGATTGAGGGAGAGCAAGAGGTGTGAGCGAGTGAGGGAGGGCAAGAGGTGTGAGCGAGTGATGGGGGAGTGTGTGTATGTGGGTGTCGGTGCGGGTGCGGGTGCGGGTGCGGGTGCGGGTGCGGGTGTGGGTGTGGGTGTGGGTGTGATATGTGTATACATGCTTCAACCAGCACAGGCTGGCCCTGCAGCAGAGCTTAGGCAATGGCTCTTGAGCTCGTATCAACCCATCCCCTTCTGTGTGCACTTCCCCAGGTGGAGGCTCTGATGACACGAGGCTGAGACTGATCGACCTGATGGCGCAAAAGGGCCGTGAGGGGGACTGCTTCATCCAGCTGAGGCTCTTGTGGGCCACCCTCTCCAGCTGAGTCACACTTATGGCTATGGCACCCTCTCCTCCTTCGCAGGTTCAGGCACTAATCCAAGGGCATGACACAAGGCTGAGACTCAGAGATTTGATGGCTCAGAAGGGCCGCGAGGGGGACTGGTTCATCCAGCGGAGAATCGCCCTGCAGAGAGGCCTGTAGGAAGTAACTATCAAGCCTTTACCCTCTCGTCCCTTCGCTTGCCCACTTCCCGAGGTGGAGGCTCTGATTCAAGGCCATGACGCGAGGCTTGGGCTGATAGATCTTATGGCTCAGAAGGACCGCGTAGGAGACTGCTTCAACCAGCTGAGGCTCGTGTGCAGAGGCTGTCGGGGGAGATGATGATGCTTATGACTGTTGTACCCCTCCTCCTTCCTTGCAGGTTCAGGCTCTGATTCAAGGGCATGACACGAGGCTGAGGCTGATAGACCTGATGGCTCAGAAGGACAGAGTGGGAGACTGCTTCAACCAGCTGAGGCTCGCCCTGCAGAGGCGCACGCAGGGGCAGGCGGCGCAGACAGCAGCGGTGGGGGAGATGGAGGATGGGGAGCTGGTGAGGAGCATGCAGCGGCTGCTGTGGATCATGGCAAGGCTTGATGGGGAGATTGCTCCCTTGCTGGAGACGGACGGGGCTGCTTTCAATGACAGGTGGGTGTGTGCAGCTGGGTTCAGTGCGGTGCAAAGGTGTAGTAATTCTGTTTGGGGAGCTGGTGAGGAGCATGCAGCGGCTGCTGTGGATAATGGCGAGGCTTGATGGGGAGATTGCCCCCTTGCTCGAGACGGACGGGGCTGCGTTCAACGATAGGTGAGTGTGCTGCTGGGTTCAGTGCGATGTAGAGGGGTAGTAGTAGGTGCTATTCCGCCCCTGGTATAAGGAGCTGGTGAGGAGCATGCAGCGGCTGCTGTGGATCATGGCGAGGCTTGATGGGGAGATTGCTCCCTTGCTGGAGACGTCAAGATGTTTTCCTTTTAAGACGTCTCATTGTTTTCCCTCTCTTTTCCTTCATACTTCAACCTTTCTGACTGTGTGTGTTCAGATGGGGATACCTCTCTCGAGCTGGACTTTGGGATAAGAGCCACATTACCCGGCAAATAGAGAAGTGAGTTGGTAGATTATCCTGCAAGATACTAGAAGTGCATCACTTCCATTCTGTTTTCATAAGTGCATCATACTCGTGTTGCTTCCTTTCCTTTTACTGTTTTATGCTCTTTTGTAATTTCTACTTGTGCACTTTTCCTGCGTCAGATATGCTGACATCTACACCTCAAGAGTTTCCAACTTCTTGCGCTACACCCCGTTCATGTACTTCCGAGCACAAGGGCAGGTACAGTGTTGACCCTTAAACAGCTTGCTATTGCATCCCAGTCCTCTTTGTTCTTTTTTTTTCATCCCTCACACTTGCATTTTATCGTTCTGGTGAATGTTCTTTTTTATTCTAATAAGTATTTCTCCGTTTCCTGTGCGTTTGGTTCATCCAGTCTTGTGCACATGATGTTTCAGACACATGGCCTATGACCAGTTTGCAGCCGTTCTCATCTTCCGAAGATGATTTGCAATAACACAAACAGAAATGCTGTAACGTGAGGATTGATGTTGGGGGGGGTGGGAGTGGTGGTGGTGGCGGTGGTGTACAATGGTGTTAAGAGTAGACCAGCGGAATGACGGACTATGACGAGATGGGTACAAGTATGCAAAAATAGAAAGTGTTGTACCCTATATGATGCAACCAGTGTTCTTGTTATCAGACCAATTTGGTCTGTTCATCTAGATTTCAAACTCACTTTTCTTTGGTCATACCGTAATACCCTGGATAAAAGACCCGGGGGTATGCTTACACACACATTTACAACTAATGAATCATAAGGCACAGTTCCAAAAGCACAGAAAAAATTTTGACAACACATGAAATGAAGAGCAGCATACACCGATGGTGAAAAATGAAGCTCCCTCTATAAACCCTGATCTTCGGACTGGGGGGTTGAATAACCAGATGTCTTCAACGCCTGAATTTTAATTCAATAGCTTCTTTAGCTTTGCCCTCGCAGATGAGCCCATCATGGCACGATGCGAGGCCCAGACTCTCCCTTAGATACCCTATGTGGCGTGAGAACGTTGACCGTTGGGTAGTCATTGTAACCATGGCGTGCGCTGCCACTAGCTTATCCACCATTGCTAGCTGACCTGGTTGAATATTCAGCTCCTTAGGCAATCTGACTACCACAATCGACCATGCGTACCCCCTCGCCCTAGCAATCGATCCTTGCGACTGTAACAGCTCCTTGAGAACTTCCAGTTCCTCATCAGAAGCATCCGAGGAAACGAAAAGATTGGTCACGTTCAACTGCACCATTTTCGATGCAGTACACTCCGCCACAGCCTGTAACGGCCAGTACTGTAGACCCACCTGGCGGCTGTAGTCAAGAAAATCCGTCCGCCGAAGGTGCATAGAAGCATAATTCACCCCGAGGTACTCCTTTATGAACGCTGAAGCTTGGTTAAGCACATGCTGGGGAGGCCGGAAAAGCAGCTCACACGAGGTGTTGAAGAATCGACTAGGCCAGAAGAATGTAGAATCAATAGGATCATTATCATTGAAGAATGAGTAGAAAAGGTCGCCAAGGGAAAGCACAGGAACGTTGGCAGTTGCAGCTGCGATCTTTGGAGCCAGGTCAAACAGATTCTTACCCTTCTCCTCGCTGACGATCTCTTTCTCTGAGAGCTTTATTTCTTTCGCCTCGCCGCAGCTGCTATCTATGAAGTGACAGCTGTTCTTCACCTGGCCGCAGAGGACTTTATCAACTACTAATTCGCTTCCCTTACCGCCATTTGATTTAAGAAAATCTGATCCTGTTATCACCTTGCGGACAGGCTGTGCTCCGTTTCCCGGACTTGGCCGCTCCCCGAAGCACTGGGACAAGTAGCCAATGTCTATAATTTCAGAATACACCACCGGCCGGCCGAGAGTGGCGGGGAGACAGAGAGGAACCTCGGGAACAAGCAGCGTGCGGTTAAGGAGAATCGCTGCCAGAATGGTCTTCTGAAAGCATAAGAGGCGATTCGTGCTTCTGCCGTTGGTGCATGAAACCATAAGGTACCGGTTGGGTAGTGGAATCCATTCCGGTGCTGCAGTAAGAGGTTCGGATGTGGATGATGATGAATGGGGGAGTCGGACGCCAATGGGAGCGGCACACGTGTCATTTGGGAGTTGCTCACTTGGGGATGAATTCAGTAGTCTCGGACTGACGGTTTGCTGTAGCTCGATCAATGTGCTTGTATCGAGACTGGAAGCATCCGCTTGAGAAAAATCCCGTGACTGAGAATACTCGGAACGACCAGCCGGCTGAGGAGCTAAAGCGGCCGAACGAGGGGAGTAGGCTGCGAGGTACCCGATCATGAACGTAACCGCGGCGACGAGGAGGAGGTGGTAGGGAAGCTGGTGAAGCTGGGTGAGCATAGACCATTGCTGCTGGTGCTCCTGCTGCTGGTGCTGCTGCTGCTGCTGCTGCTGCTGCTGCTTCGGGGGATGCGGTACGCCATCATGGTGTAATGGGAGGGATGCAGGCGACGACGTCATTGCGATGAATCCCACTGAACAATGACGTCTTTATTATAAATCACAAGCAGCAACTACATCAGAACGCTATTTCACGAACATTGACGACGTGAGTTCTGAACCCTAGTGAGGGCGTGACTCTTTTTTGATCCCGACGGTTCGAACCGTGGACCGTCCGAATAGCGAAAACGTTAAAATTTCGTTTTACTTCGCGAAGGGGTTCGCGACGTCGCTAACAGTTCGAACCGTCGCGTCACTTTTCCCCTCCACACAACGGTTCACATTATGAACCTTTGTCAGTTCGAAATGCAAACGGCCAGAAGCACAGTTCTGACACGTGATTGGCGCGCGAACGTAGAGAATAAACTGCACCGAGTCGCATGTTCAATTATTATTGGCGCGCGTCACGGCCCTGAATATTGAACCGACACTACGCCCCCTAGCCCACCAACACTACAAATCCCCCAGCAATCCAAACCGAACCATCAGAATCAGCCCGCAATGGAGCTGTCAAGCGGAAATGACAACTCTCGACCGACCAACACCACACCTAAAACCTCCCTTCCGGGTTCCTCTACCCAACCTCGCCTGTTGTGTAGAGTCCAGTTTTTGAGCATTCGGGGGATGTCGAGCCGCTACCTGTAGTTGCGATTTTGGCGAGGGTGTGTGACTGGGGTTACGATGGTGTACGAGGTAATGCGATGCTACAGTAAATCGGGAATCAGCGATGGGGTGAAAAGTGACAGTTTTGCCTATGGACTGTCCCATGTTCCCATGTCCGATACCCGCTATTGCAACAGTCCGTTTCCATACAAGCGGACAGTCCGCCAAAATACATAAAATAAAAAAAGAGCACGCCCTAAGCGCAACAGCAGCGTGGGCTGGTTGGGAAGATCGCGAGTTGCGGTTCAAAGCTATGAAACAAGCAAAACGCTTTAAAACGCACAGCATAGTTTTCCACCGCCACATCCCAAATTGCGTTTGAGGGGGTTGGTGTACCCAGTCACGCAGTAGGCAAGACGCGTCACCCAATACCGGTCCTACACAGGATCGATTAATAGCGGGGATAAAATGGGGAAAAACGGGATAAAAACGATAAATTGAGTACCCTTGTATATTCTGTGTGTCTCAACGGATGGGATTCCGTCGCTCCCGTTTTGCCCGTGGGAGCGACGGATCCGTCGCTCCCCCAGCGACGGATTGGTGGAACTGAAACCCCGCCAGCTGGGCCTTGTCGGTGTTGGAATAACCGAATGGTTATTATAACACTCCCGAAGGTTCTCTCTTAGCGCATCACTTTATAAAGAAGCAGCGCTACTGTACCAGCACCGCAATAGCTCATACAGAGCATGCGGCAGCTCGAAAGTCACCCGAAGGTCAACAGTTGCTGTTAGTCAACGGTTGCAACTGTTGACCGTCCGGCAACCGCATTAGAGGTTACGCGATGCAACATGGTAACTGTCGAGAAAGGCAATAGGCGCAGTTACTGTAGCTACGCAATACAGTTAATAAGAGAATGTACCATTCATAGTACATGGCTAGCTAGTTTTGCTATTGATATCCTTGTACTCCTATCTTACAATAATCTTGTTTTCTTTTCATTTTTATTAAACAACGTCACTACAAGACTTGATTCTCTTCTTATAACTCACAAGCTTTATCTTGTCCACTACAATTTTTTGGTTATATCAACATGGTATGAGAGCTTGAGTGAATTATAAGATCTGAGAAGTTCCTGTTCTTCCTAGGACAGACCTTTTTATAAACTTATTCATCAAGTCACCTATTACGAGTCTGCATCACTACGGCTCCTGAGGGGAAAGCTACCGCAGACTCTCCGGGCCCACCACCAGCAAGCGGTGACCTCCATCAGCGCCGCCCTCGTTGAGCAGCTAGTCGCTCGCATCTACGCCCTTGAGAGCCATCAAGCTATGTGCATCGATGGCTCAAGCTACGCAAGAAGAGTTGTTGGACTTCCTCCCTGGAGAAGAACGTCGCGTCAACTCCGAGAGATCGTTCGCCTTTTACAATCGTCAAGCTTCAGCCTCTGCGTAAAACAGTCAACAACGCGCACAGTCAGAAACAATTGCAACCATGCAAATGAAATTTGTTTTGACTTCAAAGCTGATGACTTCAATCCCATTTGACGGCAATGACTTCTACACGTGGAGCTTCGAATTTGATCTCCTCGCAACAACAGCGCATATCTGGATGTATTACGACGGGAGCACACCCTTCCCGACGGAAGGAACCATCCAGGAAAAGCATCAGTACTACCACGAGTCCCTCCTCGCATACACTGCTCTTCTGCGAAACCTCTCTCCTGCCGAGCAGCTTGGCATCCGCTCCTACAAATATCCCACCTGACTTCGAACTGCCTCCAAGCACGTCGGAGTCCCCTCCCAGCTTTCCCGCAAGAAGCTACAACGACCTCTCACCGTACTCCGTAGATCTTGACCGCATCGTCACTTCAAAGATTGCCGTCATCGCACGAACATCAAAACTTGGTATCTTGACAGCTGCTGCGGGCAACACATGGTGGGATCACTAACCTTCATTAGCAACTCAAGGTGCTTGCGGCGACCGTGCGAAATCACCGTCGCCAACAACAATCGACTTCGAGCATACGACATCGGAGAAATTTACCTTGAGGCTATGGACACCCGCTTCACCATTCACATCGGAGACGTGCTGGTTGTCCCCGATCTTCAATTTAACCTGCTCTCTGCAGCACAACTCATTAAGTGCGGGGTTGACATTCGAAGCAATTGCAAGGAGAAAAGTTTTGAACTATTCTATAAGAACACTTACATCGGGAAAACAGTCGACAACAATGGAGTCTTTACTAAACTTTACGACATGCGACTCCGAACGGACTCTACTGCTGAAAACAACACCTACTAAGGCACCGACTCTTGGTCACACCCTAAGGAGATGGATCTCGAGCGGCCCGCTTCAGATGGACTCCTTCGTCTGCGCGCCGTTTCGACCGCTTCAAACTCTACTCCCGGTGACACTGGACCTGCAACAATGGAACATGAAGAAGTTAGTGGTAAGTCAGCAACTGCAGAGCAAGCTGACACTGGAGGATGGGAAGCAACAGGACCGGTCTCACCCAGCTGGGCCAATCCTACGACTACCATCGATGCTTGGGGAGTCGTTCAACCACCGGAAGAAGGAGCTTTTACCGGAGGCGGTTGGGGAACCTCAACTTCCATAAGCGGTTGGGGACCCCCAAACCCTCCTTATCCCGAGGCTCCATCACTTCTTCCTGCGGATGTAGCGGCAGTCGACCCATACTGGGCAACATGCGGCACCAGCTGGGGCGGGCCTCCTCTTCAGACCAGTATGCTCTTGAAACACCAGAGGAAACGCAAGAGGAGTCAGAAGAAATAACCTACCAATTCATGGGAGTAGCAGAATTACCTGAACCTACCGAGGAAGCACCGCCGCCGGAACAAGAACCTCAATTGATCCTGGTCGCCGGCGAAGAATACCTTTACTATCGTGTCCCGATGGAGGGACTTCCGAGCTCCGAATGGCCTGAGGCGGCACGACTCCCTCGTCCACTTGGCACCGACGACTCGGTCAACACCGCCGACACGGACGACATTACCGGAATTTCCCGACGTCGTCGCAGAAGATGTGAGCGCCGCCTCCGACAAAGGACCTGACACGGAGCAGCGAGACGAAGCAGAGAGAAACAAAACTTATCAGAGGACGGTCGGCTACCGCGCATAACCAGGCAGACCTGGCAGAAGACGTAGACGCGACGAACATCACACAATTTGACTCCGCCTCCATCATCCCCCCTTATTAGCCCATTTAAGACTCCCACATACATACCCGTTTCTCAATTCGATCCTGACGATACAACTCGTGAAGCTCACAATTACAACAGTACTGTGCGTCGATCCCCTTGTTACTTTCTTGCTTGGGAGTTGTAGCAGCGTGGTCAGCTGCGTCTTGCTTACGTGGCCTCTCGGGCCACCACTATTGATGTCTTCACCAAGGCCCTTGGGTCTGGTGATCATCAGCGTAACTGTACTGCTCTAAGCCTTGTGCCTGCTCTACCTCACCTGCTGGTTGCTTGAATTGTCTTGTACCTGCATGCTTGCTTGCTAGGTTGTGATCACTGTATTGCTTGTGCTTTTATAACTCTGCATGTGACCAGGCCTTGTGGCCGCTTGCTTGTGCTCAGACTGTGTGGTGATCTTGAGATCCACCCTGAGCTTTGCTTTGCTTTGTTCTCTTGCTTGACTGGTCTTGTGACTGTTGATTGTTCTTGTTATCCCCCACTTTGCCCATGGGGGTGTGTCAAACTGTATTCTATATCTGTAGGCTGTAGTGAGGTAGCCTCTACTGAGCACAACACTTTAGGGTTGCATCCTAGTACTTGTACTCATCCTTGTATCCTAGTCAATCATTCCTGCACGTTATTTCTGACAGAACAGTGCTGGAACCATAGTTCTTGTGCAAACAAAAACTTGTGCTCTAGCCATTGCAGGGAGCTGGACTGTTCTCATCGCTAGCGAGTGACTGTTTTCATCGCTCCTCTCTCGTGCAAGAGTTGTTTTGGTACACAAACAGTGTTAATACTAATAATTGCTACTAGCACTTTTTCACAAGGGCGGGGGAGTGCAATCCTAGCTAGATAAAATCGCTTGTGCTTGTAGAGAATTCCGAAGCACACGACACGACCTGGGATTGAACATGATGTTGTGAACTTTCTTTCACGAGAATCGGTGCTTTCCTTCATGAGAATGAGTGGATTAGACTCACATCTTGACAGTTATGTGAGAGAGTGGTGAGCCCAATTGGTGCTGGATTCATGTTCGTCCTCACATTGTGTAGCACGTAGAAGCTTTTCTCTAAAAAGCTATACGACATGTGATGTGGAAACGAAGTTTGTACGGAGATAACCAATCGCGTTTCGTCTTAGCGAGTTACCTCGAACTTTTGAACTGCAAGCGAGCCGTCAGGATATTCGAAGGGTCTCCGCGCCACCTCAGCTCTATCCTTTACAAATCTGACGTGGAAACTAGCTGGCAGAGATGGCGGATGTCAGACCCCAGCTTTTTTCGAACGCCTTGAAGAAGGCATTTTTTCTGGCAGGTGTTCGTCGTTCTCTTTTTCACTCCTGCCCGTGTCTTATGTGGCAATGCGTTGCGAAAACCTGCCACCACAGCTGGTCAGCCGGAAACAAGATACTCGTGGACGTGGCCAACGCTAAATTTGTTAGAGCCACTCATCCACCCACGGATATGGTCGGATGAGGGTGACGGTTTGCCACGTGGCAGGGGCAATGTTAGGCAACAATGGTCTCGCTTTTGCCTCCGCTTCGTGGCTGCTGACGGGGCTTCACCACGAGTGGCACAAGCGTTTTCGCACCCAGTCAGGAAGGAGACACCACCTGCCGGATTCCGTCAGCTCCGTCAGGCTTCTCCGTCAGCCTGATAGAAATCTCGAAGGCTGCAGCTGGTGCTTCCTCCAATTCCTAGGGATCTCCGCCAGCAACAAAAGGAAAGCCGTACCTCGAAATTACTAACTACTCTCCAGGACAATTGAGAAGTCTAACGAGATCAGAGCGCTGCTGATCTCTTGTCCTGTCGCCTAGACCGGCTTATTCACCCTCTCTTATCTCTCAGAACTCCGCTACCATGGAGGCTGTGAGGTGCAATATCGCTCAGGCTGCTTCAGTGGCTCCCGCCCTCCGTGGCGCGGAGACCAAGGCTTCGTTGTCCTCCGTTAAGGCTCCTCTCGGCCTGTACTCCGGCCTGAGGAAGACCTCCTCGGCCAAGGCTTCCAAGAAGAGCCGTGCTGCAGTGAAGGCTCAGATTGCTAAGGTCACGGCCACTGCTGCTGTCGAGGTTGCTGCTAAGACTGATGCCGCTCTCCTTGAGAAGGTACCTAAGACGGCACTGCTGACAACCAAAGTCCTCTGACATAAATCCTTTTTCTGGCATTCATCCTTTCCGCCATCGCTGGTTATTATGCCGTTGGTTTGACTGTTTTCTGTCTTTTTCCTTTTCCCTTCTGATTATCTTGTTAAATAATTTCGCATGCAGGCCATCAACTCTATCAGGTTCCTCGCCATCGATGCCGTCGAGAAGGCGAATTCCGGTCACCCCGGTCTTCCCATGGGCTGTGCTCCCATGGCGTTCGTGCTCTTCGATGAGTTCATGAAGTTCAACCCCAAGGACCCTTACTTTGTCAACCGCGATCGCTTCGTGCTCTCTGCCGGCCACGGATGCATGCTCCAGTATGCCCTGCTCCACCTTTTCGGATACGACAGCGTTCCGGTAAGGTTTTGCCGTAAATCGTGTTTGTGTTTCCATCATAAATTGAAGTTCATGCAGTTTTATTTTGTTTTATTATGAAGTCAATCACCTGACACTGGTGCTTGTTCTAAATGCAGCTTGAAGAGCTCAAGAACTTCCGTCAGTGGGGAAGCAAGGCCCCTGGCCACCCCGAGCACTTCATCACCCCCGGTGTTGAGGTCACCACTGGTCCTCTCGGCCAAGGTATTGCCAACGCTGTCGGTCTGGCTCTTGCGGAGAAGCACCTTGCTGCTCGCTTCAACAAGCCTGGGTTCGACCTCATCGACCACTACACGTGAGTGCTTGAGCCAGTCTTCACCACTCGCGGTCAACCCGCAATTTTAATTTTCGGCTGACTTAGTTATCTTACTTACATTGTCGCTTATTCCTGAGCAGCTATGTTATTCTCGGAGACGGATGCAACATGGAGGGTATCTCCACTGAGGCTGCTTCCCTCGCCGGTCACTGGGGTCTCGGCAAGCTCATCGCTCTGTACGATGACAACCATATCTCCATTGATGGCAACACCGAGATTGCATTCACCGAGGACGTGAGCGCGCGTTTCGACGCTCTCGGCTGGCACACAATCTGGGTGAAGGACGGCAACACCGACCTGGACGCTCTTCGCGCTGCCATTGAGGAGGCCAAGTCCGTCAAGGACAAGCCCACCATGATCAAGGTAATATATCTACTGCAAGTACATTCACAGCAGAAAAAAAAACTACAGTGGAAAGTCCTGTGAATGCCTTACATCTATCGAACCTGAACCCTACAGCTTAGCGTCGTTTCTGTTTCGCGAAGGTGTTTTGACGTGCTAATTACTGGTTTCTCTTGTCATCGTTTTCCAGATCACCACCACCATCGGCTACGGTTCCCCCAACAAGGCCAACTCGTACGCCGTCCACGGTGCTGCTCTCGGTGCCAGCGAGGTTGCTGCTACCAGGGAGAACCTCAACTGGCCGTATGCGCCATTCGAAGTCCCCGCTGAGGTCTACGAGTACGTATATCTCACCCGGAAATTAAAAAAAACGCTTTCCTCTTCGAATGCCCATTTTCGCGTGACTTATTTACCTTTCGTTCATTTCTCCGTTCGTAAACCCTCTACTGTTTAACAGGCACACGCACAAGAAGATTGAGGAGGGTGCCAAGCTCGAGGCTGACTGGAACGCCCTTCTGGCCAAGTACGAAAAGGAGTACCCCAAGGAGGCCGCCGAGTTCAAGCAGCTCATCAGCCTCGAGCTCCCAGAGGGCTGGGAGAAGGCCCTTCCGGTATGTTCCGCACATGTCAATAAATTTTTGCGCATCGTTGCAACATGGTTCTCACTCCCATTCAACTTTGTGCGTGTTTGATTCTCACGTTTTGGCTGCGTTTCGTTTCTAATCTTTACCCTCTTCTGGCAGACCTACACCCCTGACATGCCTGGGGATGCTACCCGCAACCTGTCCCAAGTGATGCTGAACGCCCTGGCCGACGTTCTCCCCGGCCTTGTTGGTGGCTCTGCCGATCTGGCCTCCTCCAACATGACCCTGCTGAAGAAGCACGGTAACTTTCAGAAGGACACCCCTGCTGAGAGGAACATCCGCTTTGGTGTGCGCGAGCACGCCATGGGAGCCATCGCCAACGGTATCCAGCTCCACCACACCGGCCTTATCCCCTACGTCGCCACCTTCTTCATCTTCTCCGACTACATGCGCAACGCCATCCGTATCTCCGCGCTCGGCGAGACTGGTGTCATCCAGGTCATGACCCACGACTCCATCGGTCTCGGCGAGGACGGCCCCACTCACCAGGTAAGATAGTACTCTATGTTTGAATACAAGGCAACAAGCTTTATGTTTGAAGCTCCATCCGTCTTGCACATTGAATGGTTCAAGTTTGCAACATTTGCCATAACCTGTTCAAAGCTAGTAACTGCAGAAATTGGATTTAGTCAGTTTCCAAAGCTAGTGTTGGTTGTCGGAGCATGAGCTGATCAACTCCAAACCTCACATCCCCATCCAGCCTATTGAGCACCTGGCGTCCTTCCGCGCCATGCCCAACCTGCTGATGATGAGGCCTGCTGACGGCAATGAGACTGCGGGGGCGTACAAGGTGGCCGTGCAGAACAGGAAGAGGCCAACTGTGCTCGCTCTCTCCCGCCAAAAGCTGCCCAACCTTGCTGGCACCTCCATCGAGGGCACAGAGAAGGGTGGATACATCATCAGGTAAACTCCTGCATTTATTGGCTTTATACCCTTTCCGTTAATGCTTCAGTTAACCTTCGATTCTTTGATCTCAGTGCTCTCCATTTGACTTGTTTCAACGTTCCTTGTCTCAACCTGTCCTTTTCCCCTTCCCCCTATTCTTTCTCCAGTGACAACTCCACTGACAAGCCTGATGTGATCCTCCTGGCCACTGGCTCTGAGCTGGAGATGGCAGAGAAGGCAGCCAAGATCCTCAGGGACGAGGGCAAGGGCGTGCGTGTTGTCTCCATGGTCTGCTGGGAGCTGTTTGAGGAGCAGCCTGAGGAGTACAGGAAGTCTGTCCTCCCTGATGATGTGCGTGCTCGTGTCTCTGTTGAGGCTGGCTCCACCCTTGGCTGGCACAAGTATGTGGGCGACAAGGGCAAGACCATCGGTGTTGATGAGTTCGGTGCCTCTGCCCCGGCCAACATCCTGTATGAGAAGTATGGCATCACCGTTGATGCTGTTGTAGCTGCTGCCAAGGCTGCCATGGCCTAAAACAGCTGATTCGGCGGTTGGTCTAGGATTTTGAGACCTTTTTGTACTTGGGCTTTCTTGTTTTGCTTGAACTTCATTATTTCCAAATACTGCAAATAATAGGGGTCGCATTATGAACTAGTTTCAGAGCACTGGATGAGCCTCAGTTTATCTGTGATGAGAATCAAAGATTTTAAGAGATGCTGGTAATGTCTCTTCAGATGAGATACGCACTTTTGGGTATTATATCGAAGGTGTTACTATGCTGCTGACTCGATGCAGTGTTCATCGATATGTGCAAACCTGTTACAGGGAACTCTCTGTTGTGTTGTCATTGAACAGATGTGTAACGTTACATATTTTGTGAAGTTTTTTCGCAAGGTCATTCAACCAAAACTATTCCACAGCTTTGACGCAGCCGGATGGGAGTGAAAGGAAACGTCTTGCTATATTGTTGTTACAGCGTTGGTTTAGAAGGTACACATGGAGCAAGATCTACCTACCTGCCTAGAGGAACATTGCTAGAAACCCGTAGTGAATTATGTGCTGGAGCAACCAGCCCACTCAATGACTCAGGCTTGGAAAAAAAGAAGGCTACGGCAAGTGTACGTCCCTATGGCAACAGGCATGGACGCTGCTGCCCTGCCTAGAGGTGCTGGGTCAGATATGGGTGATTATGAATAGCTTGAGGACTCCTTGTGAATGGACAGTCTGACTGTCAGGAGGGATGAGTTGAGGAGATCCCAAATGGGGAAATGGGAGTCGGCCTTCAAGCTATTGCAGCTTGAAAGCTAACTCGAGGCTGCATAGAAGCTGAAGAAGGAAAGTATCGTCGGGAAAGCGAACGCGGCACATCCACACCCAATCGCGCTGCCACGTCTGCAAACGAGCTGACGTCCCTTTTCCACAGCAACGCGCCTCCGCACCCAGCTGCCTTCGCTCCGCCAATGTCGTTCTTCCAGCTGTCGCCCACGTGGACGACTTCATCTGGCCGGACATTGAGCATGTCACACGCCGCGTGGAAAATTTTACCACACGGCTTCTCTGCTCGCACTTCTGCTGAAACCGCGACCGCGTCGAAACAATTCAAGCAGCCCAGCGATTGAAGGACGGACCGGAGCCGCGAGTCGAAGTTTGAAACCACGGCGACTTTGATGCCCGCCTGGCGAATAGCAGCGAAGGCTTCGTGCGCGTGGGGGTCAGACAATCGCCACGCGGTTTGTGTTGCGTAGTAACCGTGTAGCTCCTCCGCGTAACTGGGATTGGAACAACCAGTTGACTCCGATATAATGTGATGCCAGAACGGCAAAGCCTCTCCTTCGTATCGAAGCGCCCCGCGCCACGGTTTACTGTAGGCTGTTCGATACCGCCGCAAAATCTCTTCCGCTGATAACGAGACTCCGTACTTTTGACCCACGGTTTCGTACACCTTATGCTCCGGCTCCGATGTATCGATAAGAGTCCCCATCGCGTCGACGAGCAGCGCACGTGGCTGAAAAGTCTTCGGCTTACGCTGATGGGGCCATTCTTTGGGCCACTGCGGCTGGTGCTGTCCCTCGGGCAGCGCAGCCTGCCCGTTGAACGCGAAAAAATCTTTCTGCAGCTGCTGCGGATCGGCCTGCTGCTCTTGGATATCCTTGAAATGCACCGACCAGCACGAGACGGAAAGAGCCGACGGGGAAACTGCGGCAGCGCCTTGGGAAACTGCGGGAAGACCACGATTCGACACTAGATGATTCGCTTCCGCCGGAGGCAGAGAATCGCCGCAAAGTAGCCAGAAGCGTTGGTGCGGATTAAACGAGTCTTCCTGAAACGGGAGCGCGTCGGGAGGGTCGCCGATCATGCGAGGCGTAGGTGAGAGCGGTAAGGTTGGCTGCGGTCGAATGGTGAGCTCTTGAATAAGCAGATGATTCAGGCCGGCAGCAAAAGCCTGCGTAGTATTACCAGAGACGCTGCTAGCATCGATGCTGCTTGTATCGGTGCTGCTTGTGTCGATGTTCGTGCAAGCGGAGCTAGCACCGCGGCTGGCCTGGCGTTCGGCTTGGCTGGGTTTTGAAGGGTGTTCGTTCGACGCGTTCCGAGAAAGTACAAGATTGGAGGCGGAGCGAGGGGCGCCGCAGGCGACAGCGGCCTGGGTTATTCGCGACGCGACGAGTGGAAGGAGTTTGTGAGCCACGACTCCCGCCATGGCTGACTGGTTCACAAGCGTGAAGGTAAAGTGATCACGATACGAACAGAAGCAGCAAGACAGCTACTTTCGTTTGGCTTTTGGTTTGGCACCAGGCAACGTGAGGGTAATGACAGGATGATGTTGCTTGAGCTGTGTTTTCGCAAGGAAAGGTGAACGCGATTGATGATGCTGTTCGGAGATAGACGATCTGAATGGCTTTGGGTGTTGATCGAGCTGTTTATTTTGGTCGTTCGTGTGGGATATGGGTGGGATGGGATGGGAATGGGGACCCCTATGCAACGAATTTGTTTTTGGCGATTCGGGAAACACGAGGCATATACTGTTGGCGAATGCGATGAAAATGTCTGTCTCTCGAGCCGCTCCCGAAGGATGTGAGCAGTCAGCCCAGCCGGATCGCTCCGCATTGATCGGCTCATCCCCATCATCCCACAGCGAGTCGTTATAGCCTCGCGTCAGCACTTTTGCGATTGGGCCTAGTCAGCACTTAGTCACCATTTCTGGGTCAGGTGCATTTGGCGGTGAATATGGCCAATCAGTGTTTAGAATTCCACGCAAGCAGCTACTGCAGATGGATCGAGCTGACCAGTCAGCGGCGGGAGGATGTCGGTGTGTGGCAGCAGCATGCGAGAGGAGGAGGGGAGGGGACCACAACAACTGAAACGGCGACCTTCAAGCGTGACTGAGGCAGAAGGGCATTCATCTAAAATTCACACTTATCCAAACCGCCGACGTTCAAGGGGTGAGACTGACACTTAAATTCATCATGTGAGGTTTAGTTACTGCTCAACCGTGATCTTGCATCAGTGTGTTGTCCGTCCACCCACATTGGTCTTTCGGTTACAACACAGAAATGAAACCCCCCAGCATCATCTCATCCAGGTCAGCGCCAGCGAACGGATCGGCTCCACCTGAGCCACCCACCTGTCAACTAAAAGCACTGTTGACGGTTCCCTTGATCACTTCACTGCTTTTGCTCGAAGGGATACTGTACCCGCCAGCTGTGCCAAACAAGCACACGCGACCCTCGCCAACAGCTCGTGAGGCCGCCGCAATCGTAACCGTTCGACAGCAGAGCACTGTTGCCGCTTCCAGGTGGGTTTGTCTCTAAATGTGATTGGCTGGACGTGCCTGGCTGGACATCACTGTTGTGGAAGAGTGGTGTGGTGGGTTGTGCACGTCAGCCTTGTCAGGCTTCCCTCACAAGTCCACGGCGCTTTTCGGTTTGAATGGAAATGTGAGGGGTGCAGAGGAAACCTAAAATGCACTAGAAACATACCTCAATAGAAACGAAAAGCACGAGAACTCTCGTACGAGAACTGTTCTTATCGTAGCTTAGCTTTGTATCGAAGCTTTCCACAGCAACACGTCATTCACCCTACCACTGACGCATTCGTGGCTGTTTATCCACATTGAAGCTTTGGATCCAGCAGCGCATGACGTGCTCCTACGTTGAAAATCTGCCGCATTACACACATTCACCCCAGGAAATGCTCTGTGCCTCACATGTGGAATACATATCGGAAATATCGAACCGCGCGTTCCTTTCTTTCGTCCAGACCACTCAACCATACGTGAAGAGGAACTTTCGCCGTCTATTCGGGAGAGTGCCAGCCACCACACGGGCAACTGCACTTCACGGCCGACAATGTGGTGAGACGACGATTGTGGCGTTTTCGAATGAAACACGGTACAGGTGTCGGCTAGTCGGCAGGAGGTGTCGCACAACTCTCCAACTGGTTGCCTCCCCGTTGCGACCAGTGGAACTTGTGTTCCCCTTCCGAATCCCCGCTCGACTCTCACTTGTTGTCGCATCGCCCTCGCATCACACTCAGCACATCAAAACAGCCCCCGTCTGACACACCTCTTCACTTACGTCAACCATCCATTTCTTGTCAGCCCACTCCTAACTACCACCCGCATATGCACTCACGCTTCTCGATTTTGCGTGTCTCCGTGAGCTCGCATGTTTCCCATTCCCCACTGGACTTCCCCTTAGATCGTAATCCAGCTGTCTCACGTCATAGTGCAGAAGCCAATTAGCCCAGTCACTTGCGCGCGCTTCGGGATTTTTTTTTCTCACGATGCCGTCCCTACACTTGCTAGACGCCCCCCTAGGACTTTCTCGCTCCTACATAGCAGTACCTCCTACCAGCAATCACCGGCCTTTTGAGAATTCTCACAAATCGCATACTATGTGCAGTAGCAGAACTACTTGTAGCAATCACCCGTCCCTCGCATGCAAGAACTCTCCTTCCAGCCGCCTTTCGTCGTCGCACGCCGCCAAACCCGCCGCTTTTCCCGGAGTTTTACGGAATTCCGTTGGTGAGAACCGCTGCTCTCCCCGTCGCGCGTCGTTTCCGCATCTCCAAACACGGGCGACGATACTACTCCCATCAGACGGCGACTTAACGGGCGCATCTTCCGCCGCTTCATCCGCCGCTTCATCCGCCACTTCATCCGGCGTTTTCGAAACGAGGCATGCTCCCATTTCGCACGGACGCGTCGATTTTCGCCCTCAACTGTCTACTTCTGTCCAAAAAGGATTCCCTTGTACGCATCTGAGCCAGCAAGAGCATCCCACGGCAATCCAGCAACGAATTGAAGCCAGCCACGTGGCTGAGAAACACTCACATGACGAGCAAATAGCGCCCGTGATTCCGTGGTACGCGCGACACCTCCTCCTGCCGCATCGCGCGGCGGAATTCACGGTCAGGCAGATGCCAGAAGGAGTTGACCCGGAAAGCGTGGAACTTCGAGACGGGCAGCTGAACGGGCAATCGGACGGGCAGGTAAACGGGCAGGAAGCTGCGGAAAAAAAGCAACACAAGCAGCATCAGTGGCCGGACCTTTGGCAGCCAGACCATGGCGAAGCGCACTTAGTAGACAGCAGCGGGAAGCGGTTGCTCGAACCGCGCGCGTTACTAGTAGACGCGTTTGGCACGTTGGTCGAAACGGCGGAGGAGGAGACTATGGTGTACGCTTCTATCGGGCAGAAATTCGGCGTGGAAATTAGTCCAGAGGAGATTGGGAGGCGATATGAAGTGGCTTACAGGAAGCCATGGCTGCAGTCAAAGCTCAGGTAAGCACAAAACATGTCATGTCAGCATGTGTCGGTTCTCTTTCTGACTGTTTTGACTGTTCTGGCTGTGATTTTTTTCGCTCTCTCTGGTAATCCCTCGATTGGTTTCCTACCGGGTGGCATGGTCTGGATAGTTCTGTTGACTCCGTTGACTCCGCTTACTCTGTCTATCTTGTGTTGACTCAGTCCCTCCCTGCCCTCTTCTTTCTGGCTTTGTTGACTCCGTGACTCTGTCTGCCGTGACTGTTTCGACTCGATTTTTCTCTGCCCTTCACTTACTGGCACTGTTGACTCCGTTGACTCTGTTGACTCTTCAACAGGTATGAAGGCGACGCCCTACCCTTCTGGCATCACATCATTTCCGAATCCACCGGCTGCTGTAACACCAGCTACACCCAAGAGCTCCACGGCTACTACATACAAAAACACGCGTGGCGATTCACCGACCCGAACGCGCGGGCCGCGTTCGCCGCGATTCGTCGCGCCGGGATCAAGATCGCGCTCGTGTCGAATTTCGACACGAGGCTCCGGGATCTCCTGCGCGCGCTCGACTGCTACGACTGGTTCGACGCCGTCGCGGTCTCGGCGGAAGTCGAGGCGGAAAAGCCGAGTGCGGAGATTTTCCATGCGGCGTGCGACATGCTGGGGGTGCTGCCGCATGAGGTGGTGCACGTGGGGGACAGCCGGAACAAGGACGTGGCGGGAGCGAGGAGGGCCGGGTGCGGGGCGGCATGGCTTTGGAATGAAGACGTGCATTCGTTCACAGAGGTGAGAGAGTGTGTTGTTTTTGTTTCCATCTTTTTTGTCACAAAAAGGTGAGGTAGAGAGGACGGGAGAATATAAAGGTGGGTTGTGTCATGCTTGGGTGCCACGTGCTGGGGGTGCTGCCGCATGAGGTGGTGCATGTGGGGGACTGTCGGAACACGGACGTGGCGGGAGCGAGGAGGGCCGGGTGTGGTGCGGCGTGGCTTTGGAACGAAGACGTGCATTCGTTTACAGAGGTGAGAGACGGAGCATGGGCCGATGGTGTTGGGACAAGGTGAGACGCGCTGCATTGAATGGAATCCAAGGTCGGGGGCGAGGAGGGCCGGGTGTGGTTCGGCGTGGCTCTGGAATGAAGACGTGCATTCGTTCGCAGAGGTGAGAGAGGGGGTGGGAAAGACATTGGGCGCGAACCGCAACGTGGGAGTGCATTTACGAGAAGGAGCAGGAACAGCATGGGGTATTCTTTCCCCGAGTTGAGTGAGGTTGTGAGGGAGGTTCTTTCAGACATGCGCTCTGTGAGATAAGGGGCCAATAAGGGAGATAGGGGCGAGATGGGGGCGCTGTGTGAGATAGGGAGGTCTTTGAAGCCACCTTGCAGATGTGGGTTTTGAGACGTCTCAAAAGTCAAGTGAGATGATGGGGGAAGGTTCTTTCAGACCTGCTCTGTGTGAGATAGGGAGGCCTTTGAAGCCACCTTGCAGAAGTGGGTTTGGATATACGGAGAAAACATGGGTGGGGATTCGTTTGAGGCGCTTCACGAGGTGTGGACTCTGTTCTTGACAGAGGTGAACGGGAGGGTTTGCACACCCTTTATGGTGTTTTCAAGCACCATCCCACCCGATGTGTGTTTTCAACAACATGGTGGGATGTGTCGCATGTTAGGAGGGGACAAAGACATGCGTTTTCCAACTCGGTGGGAACGAAGTTGGGATATTTTCCTCCGCAGTGGCTAGCATAGTAGATGCAGTGTATGCATTGTGAGACACCTCCGAGATTCTCATTGACGTGAGCAAGGGAAACTCGGAGTGTTTCGCAGTGTTTCGCAGTGGCTGAAAGGGGTTGTTAATCCATGCAGTTTCTTATATAGGTGATGGGTGGGTGATGGGGACTCGCTCACAGGATTCTTTCCCTCTCTCTCTCTTTCCAGATCGTTACGACTTCTGCTTTCACCGTCTCCCCCTCCCCTGCCGACGTTCTCTGCACTTTATATGGCTCACTTTTACATGTACTACCTATGTGTTCGCCCAAACCCTTGCCTTGTTTGCAGGTGGCACAGCGGCTGGGAGTTTCGATTCCAGCAGCGTCACCGAAGGTCGAGCTCCTTCACCTCTCCTGAGCATGTGCTCAGTGCTCACAAATCCTAAACCGTGGCACATAGGCTGTGATTGCACAGGAGGGCAGGTGTGCATATGTTTCTACCACTCTTCCATGGTGTACATATCGCTTTACTAGGTAATGCTTGTACATATTATGAATTGTGTAAATTTTGGATTGTGTATAGTGGTGAGTTTAAATATGTTTTGGGTGGTTTATACGTATTTAAAAGGAGATTTTGACGTTATTTATCCCTACGACGCACTGGATTCAGTGAACAAGGCAGGCTGTGCATCAGAAATAGAATGAACGGATTCAAAGATATACCGTAACATGTTTGCTGGCACTTGATCCTTTTTGAACTGAGGAGGCCCTGTTTTTCATCCTTCTGAAGTCTAGCACTTAATTCTTCTGTACGATATTTATATACTGTATTCCTCTTCAGGGATTTACAAGGCATGCAATACCGCGGGTAGTGCTCCTCGCCGATCACATCCGCGTGTCAGAGCGGAGAAATGCAGGAGCAGAGAAACCCAGACTTCGTGCCATGCCGAAGTGCACAGCAGTCCCCCCTGCCATCCCCCCCACGTCCTGCCCCAATTCCCGCAGCGCCCAGTGCCTGCCTTGGATTTACATGCCGAGTCGCACCCGCGCTCTGTAAGCAAATGTTTATCCACAGCACATTTCCGAAACTGTAAGTGCTCCACCACCCACAATACAGTACTAAATTGTGAATTGTGTTTACTTTTGCCATCGTGAGCGATGAGTCGTGTCGCGTGTGATGTGTCATCCCGACGGCTTTCTTGCTCAACTAAGACGGCACGATCTGTGTGGGATCAGCTGCGCGTAATCTCTCACAAGTCGAACAGATGCTATAGAATGTAAATTCAATGGTACTGATGACTTGACCCAAGCTCCCTGACGAGTGCGCACTGCGCGGCTTAGCTGACATATATGTTGTATCGTGAGCTCAATGTGCATTGGTGACCGCAAGATGTTGATTGCCATCGTCGGTACCTTCTTTAAGATGGTCGTTCATGTTACATCTGACGACTATGACATTCTCAAGGAGCATCTAACGACTAATATTCTATAGACATTCTCACAGAACATGTAAAAGCTTTTCCATAGACATTCTCACGGAGCATCTGACGACGACGTTTTAGACATGCTCACGACTACTGCATCTAACTCAGAAAGTCCGACGCATTACTAGTGCCCCTGCCGTAACTATTATTCGAGGCGCCTCGACGCGTTACTGGTGCCCATGTCGTAGCTCGCGATTATTTTTAGGGCCCAATTTACTGGCCCGAAGCGTAATTCAAATGCAGATACCTTGTCAGTTTTCGGGGAGATAAGAAGGAACAGGGGCAGCAGCATAGGGGCTAGAGGCAATGCATCGGTTGTCCGTCTCCTCATGACGGTTGATCGTACGACAAAGCGTTCAACGGGAAAAGGCACGATGATGATTCAGCGCAGTTGCTGCAACAGTAGACGACGCAGTTTTAGAAACGGTGCATTTTTTTCACATCCGCTCGACCTTAATCATCGTCAATCTCCGTCTACGTTTCCGTCACGCAGCCTCGACCAACGTCAAAGTCCGTTAGCTTTTCCGTCAGGTGCCGCCCTCCTCCTGTCTCTCCTGCTTCTCCACAGCCTCTTAAGCCATGCGGTCAACGTAGCTGATAATATCGCGGATAACGTAGCTGATAATATCGCGGATAACGTAGCTGATAATGCCGCGGATATTGGCGCGTCTCAACCCGCAGTCGTGACCGCACGGCCGGGGAACAATCGACGAGCGCGCTCTTCCCCAGCAAGGAAAAGCCGCGATGGCGGAAGCGTCAACGGCACTGCGCGGGAGGCTCCGCCTGCGCGGAAAGATCTTCCAGCGCGGAAGTCTTCGCCTGCGCGGGGGAAAGATCTTCCCGTGCGGACAACTGTCCCCGCGTCCCCGAGCGGCGGGGGGGCGCAGAAGGCCGGAGATCCGGCGCAATCGGGCCGCGCTTCGAATACGACAAGGAACAGAGCCCCCGCTTCCGCCGACTCAAAGCGCGCCGCGCCGCCGCCGCGTCGCCCCAGGGGCGCAACCAGCGGAGCGGGAAGGCGGTCGGGAAGCGCGGATAGGCAGCCGGAGAACGCGGGGAGACAGTCCAGAAACGCGACTAAACAGCCGGAGAACGCGGGGAGGCAGTCGGGGGACGCGGGTAGGCGGAGTAGCAGCGGCTCGAGCAAGAGGCGGACAGGCAGGCGCAGCGGGGCCCCGACTCGACCCGTGCCGCGGGCGTCTCCTCCGCCCATTCAGTTCGTGCGGCTGACAACTGCGAACAACGCGACTTGCCTGGACGGCAGGTGGGTGGCGGGCGGCTTGTGGGCGGCAGAGTGGGTGGCTTGTGGGCGGCAGAGTGGGTGGCTTGTGGGCGGCACAGTAGGCGGCTGGGTGGTGGCAGAGTGTGTGGTTTGACGGCGGAGTGCGCCTTTACACAGAAACAACGAGCAAAAGTTTCGTGTTTAGTTTGACGTTCAATGCGACTCATCCGTCTTGAATTTCTGAAGAATCTCAGAGCAAACGAATGGTTCGATGCGATGATCATCCGCCCGCATCTTCCCCCCATCCTCCCGCATCTTCCCCCCATCCGCCCGCATCTCCCCCCATCTGCCGCGCAGTCCCCCAGCGTATTACTACCGTCCTGGGTACGGCGTCGGATCGAACAAGTGGCTTATATACCTTATGGTGAGTGCGTCTTGTTATAAGCAAGCTCGCATTGGTGAGGGGGGATAGGGGGTATGTGTTTCGTTATAAGGCCCCGTTCTTTTGGCAAGAATTCGAACCTAGAACAAACGGAAACGTTTTCTTGCCTGCCTAAGTGAGCGGATCGATGCTTGTGAGCGGTTTTTTGTTAAAATTTTAAATTGCCCGCCTGATTGGATGGATAATCCACCCTTTGGGCATCCTCCCGTCTCCTTCCCTCCCCCCGTTTCCATCTCACAGCGGTGGGCGCTGGTGCCACCCAACCGTTGCCCACTCTTCCCAACTCCTACTCGCTCCCACGTCCCCCTCTCTCCCCCACAGGGCGGGCGCTGGTGCCTCTCTCCCATTCAGTGCCACCTACGGGCCGACACAGACCTGGGGTCCTAACACCGTTGCCCATTGCTCACCCACTCCTCCCCACTCTTCCCCACTCCACTTCACTCCTTCCCACTCCTTCCCACTCCTCTGCAGGGCGGGCGCTGGTGCCTCTCCCCCAGTCAGTGCGCCTACGGGCGACACCGTGTGGGCCCAGCTCTGGGACAGACCTGGGCACAGCCAAGGGCTGGCCCAGGCTAACCTCTTCTCCCACATTCCCCTCCGCCCTTCCCATCACTCCTTCCCACTCCTCTTCTGCAGGGCGGGCGCTGGTGCCTCTCCCCCAGTCAGTGCCGCCTACGGGCCGACACAGACCTGGGCTCAACCACGGGCTGGCCCACACCTGGCCCCTCTCCCATACCTTTCCATTCTCTCCCACTCCTCCCTGCTCCTCCTTACTCTTCCCCATCCCTCTCCACCCCTCCTTGCAGGGCGGGCGCTGGTGCCTCTCCCCCAGTCAGTGCCGTCTACGGGCCGACACAGAGCTGGGGTCTAGCAAGGGCTGGCCGAGGCCGGGGAATCCGGGATTTGAAAACTCGGTGAGTGCTTTGTGTTAAGTCAACACTCATCTCCCCCATTCAGTCAGTCAGTCAGTCAGTCAGTCAGTCAGTCAAGTCAAGTCAAGTCAATCAGTCAGTGCCGCCTACGGGCCGACACAAACCTGGGCTCCACCAAGGGCTGCCCGAGGCCGGGGGATCCAGGCTTTGAAAACGACGTGAGTGCAACTGCTGTTTTTTGGCCGGGCTTAACACTCGTTTACCCTACTCGGTCAGTCGGTCACTCAGTCAGTCGGTCGGTCGGTTAGTCAGTCAGTCAGTCGGTCGGTCAGTCAGTCAGTCAGTCAGTCAGTCAGTCAGTCAGTCAGTCAGTCAGTCAGTCGGTCATTCGGCCAGTAAGTCGGTCAGTCACTCATTAAGTCGGTCAGTCAGTAAAAAAGTGGTCAGACAGTCAAAAAGTGGTCAGTCAGTCAGAAAGTTGGTCAGTCAGTAAGTCAGTCAATCAGTAAGTCAGTCAGTCAGTCAGTCAGTCAGTCAGTAAGGCATGCCTTCACTCCCCCACTCCCCCCCACCTTTCTCCCCACCAGGAAATCTTGGGGGCATAGTTTCAGGTAATGAGAAGCCGTGTTTCCCCAACAAACCCTCCGTTTTCTCCCACTCGTCCCCTTCAACCTTTCCCCCCACCAGCTTGCGTGGGAGAGGGCATGCTGAGTGCTGATTTTTGCGAAAAATTCGCTCTTCTACCCTCTCTCACTTTGTACTTTAGCAAGCATAGGGGGGCATGCAGCCTTCCCTCCCCCGCTCCCCCCACCAGCTTGCCAGCATGGGGGCGGGGTTTCAGGGCATGCTCAGTGGCGATTCGTCAGAAAATCCGCTCTTCTACTCCTGGAACACACTGTGGTCGTGCTGTATTGCGACGGGGGTGCGTCTTTCCACCCTCAATGCGTACTGTACTGTATGCATTCCCTCCCCCATTCGTCCCCCCCTACCTGTCCCCCAACCAGCTAGACAGCATGGGAGCGGGGTTTCAGGGAATGCTGAGCGGCGATTCGTCGGAAAATCCGTACTTCTATTCGTGGAACACGGTGGTCGTGCTGTATTGCGACGGGGGTGTTTTCGCTGGGGTGAAGGGAAAAGCACTTTATGACCACTCTCAACCGTACTATCTCTCTGGACGACCGATTTTGAACTCGATTCTGGGAGGTGCGTTTCGTTTCTGCAACCTACAGCGAACGATTGTTCTGAGCTATTGAAGTTATAATTTCAGGAAGTTACCCAAGCGAAGGTAGTATTGAGGTTTCATGTGATTCTACATTTTGCAGCCTACAGAGAATGATGTCTTGAATTACGATTGATTTTTCTCGAAAATTACTCAGGGAGGGAGGCAAATATACCTCCCACCCTTCCCTATCCCACCACCCCACATTGCATTACCCATCTCCCCTGTTCACCACCAAACTCACGTTCCCTTCCCTCAAATCTCAACAACAAGGGCATGCAGCAAGCGGATTCTCTCTTTACAGGCTGCTCCGCTGCCCCATAGAACACACACCACACACCACTCCCATCCTCCCCCTCCCCCTCTACCCCACATTCCCTTCCCTCAGATCTCAACAACAAGGGCCTGCAGCGAGCGGATTCCGTCCTGCTTACAGGCTGCTCTGTATCGCAGATACCACACACACAACATGACATATTCACCCTTCATCTCTCCACGTTCCCCATCCCTCAGATCTCAACAGCAAGGGCCTGCAGCGAGCGGATTCCGTCCTCCTTACAGGCTGCTCCGCTGGCGCTATAGCGGTGTCCATGGCATGTGATGCCATGGCGCAGTTCCACTTCCCCCGAACGGCCAAAGTCAAATGCCTCATGGACGCCGGCTTCTTCATGGGTAAACCCAAAACTTGAAACCCTACCCTAGCTAATGGTATAACTAGTCGTCTATACCCCCATATACACGCGCACTTGCCCACACTTGGGTCAATTCAAACGCCTCATGGACGCTGGCTGGTTCATGGGTGTGTGTGTTGACATCGCATGGGCTTATGGGTGCTACAGCAGTGTCCATGGCATGCGATGCCATGGCGCAGTTCCACTTTCCTTGCACCGCCAAAGTCAAATGCCTCATGGACGCCGGCTTCTTCATGGGTAAACCCAAAACTTGAAACGCTATGCTAGTTAATGGTATAACTAGTCGTCTATACCCCCATATACACGCATAGTGCGTTGAGATCACATAGGCTTATGGGTGCTATAGCAGTGTCGGTGGCATGTGATGCCATGGTGCAGTTCCACTTCCCCCGAACGGCCAAAGTCAAATGCCTCATGGACGCTGGCTTCTTCATGGGTATGTGCATAGTCAAGATGGTATTAGTAGTTTACACAGCCCCCCACATAAGCACACTTCCCCCACACGGCCAAAGTCAAATGGCTCATGGACGCTGGCTTCTTCATGGGTATGTACATAGTCAAGATAGAAATAGTACTTTACACAACCCCCCACACAAGCACACTTCCCCCACACGGCCGAAGTCAAATGCCTCATGGACGCTGGCTTCTTCATGGGTGTGTATGTACACCCATAAACCTAGACATGTATATAGTTTTAGAGTTGCATATAGTTCAATATAGTTTTCCTCTTATTTTGTTGGTTCAGATTGTGCATCACCAGTATGGGCATTCCTTCCCATTTTCTGCTCGTTGCTTCCTCTCTTCCATTTTCTTGTGTTCTCATTCCTCCCCCCATACACACCAGACATCAGCAATCAGTGCAGCTTCCCAGGCATCGTGCAGCGAAAGTTGATGCTGACCCTCCCTGCTTTCGCCTGTCCTTCTCTTCTCCCACCTTCCTCCCCACTCCTTCCTCCCCACTCCTTCCTCCCCACTCCTTCCTCCCCACACCTTCCTCCCCACTCCTTCCTCCCCACTCCTTCCTCCCCACTCCTTCCTCCCCACTCCTTCCTCCCCACTCCTTCCTCCCCACTCCTTCCTCCCCACTCCTTCCTCCCCACTCCTTCCTCCCCCCCCCCCTTCCACCACCACCCTCCTTTCTAATTCCTCCCCCATACACCCCAGACATTAGCAGGCACTACAGCCTTCGAGGCATCGTCCAGCGAATGTTGTTGCTGGCCCTCCCTGCCTCCCCAACTTCCTCCCTCTCTCCTCTCCGTCCCCCCACTTTTTCCCCCTTTACTGCCCTGACATCCCAGATATCGCCAGGCAGTACAGCTTCTGAGGCATCGTGCAACGATTGTTGGTGCTGACCCTCCCTGCCTTGTCCTCTCTTGCCTCCTCTCTCCCCTCCCTCCCTTTCCACTTCCCACTCCTTGCACGTTCCTCCCCCAGACACCCCAGACATCACCGGGCAGTACAGCTTCCGTGGCATTGTGCAGCGAATGTTTCGGTTCCACTCCATGACTGCTGCTGCTGATGATGACTGTCGCACAGGTACGTTCAAAACAGTTGCTTGATAATCAACCTCCACAGTCTCCTTCATTATCTCCCAGTTCACACTGATTTCCCTCGGCCAGGATTTTTCTCATCCTTTATCTCACTCCTCTCCCTTTTCCTCTCTTCATTCCCTCTCCCTTTTCCTCTCTTCATTCCCTCTCCCTTTTCCTCTCTTCATTCCCTCTCCCTTTTCCTCTCTTCATTCCCTCTCCCTTTTCCTCTCTTCATTCCCTCTCCCTTTTCCTCTCTTCATTCCCTCTCCCTTTTCCTTCCCTTCCCCTCCTCCAATTTCCTTCCCTCCCCCTCCTCCATTTTCCTTCCCTCCCCCTCCTCCATCTTTCATCTTCTTTGACTTTCCCCATTGCCATTCCCCTATCAACAGCTTACTGGCGCGATAAGGAGCTTTGGCGCTGCTTTTTCCCACAGTACAACCTCCAATACGTTTCTACACCCATGTTCATTGTGCAAAGCACATATGATAAAGTCGGAGCCGGTATTTCATTCTCCCCGCCGCGACTCCCAGACAACAACACACTTGACAGGTGTATGACCCCGGGACTTAACAGGGTGTGTTCTGCACCCGTGTTACGATCCTTGGAGCAGTATCGACTTACATTACGCACGACAATAAATGGCGTCGTCGCAAGAGCTAGTGCAACTCGTAAGAGCAAATCCGCTTTTGTTGTGACGGATGATGTGCATTGCATGGCTGCATATCCGGACTGGAATAAGCGGCTTGGTAGGAGTGGTCTTACCCTTGCTATGGCGATTATGCATTGGTGGAGAACTTTCTAACCTTGGGTTGACAAATTTCTAATGCATTAATTCTAATTCTGTGTTCATCTGTAAGAGTTGTGTACTGGTGTAACTGGTTAGTCTTCTCAAATTCAAACTCTGTCGTTGTGGGACCTTCTGCCTCAGTTGAGCGTGAGTGTTGTTCTGTTCAATGCATCGCATGCGTGAGCGGCTACCTTCCGGAACCATTTCATACCATGCGAGAAATCAAAAGAAACAGCTGACTCGTAGCCCAACCGCGTAGCACCTTTGAATCTGTCACATGCGTGCGCGACATGCGGGTTCCCGCTCGCGCACCAGGTCCTGAAACTTTCTCATCGGGGTCATACTCGTTCATCTCCTCCCAAGGACACGAGGTATCATAAACGGGTCTTCGACGTCAGATTGTTCGATGATGTTGGCATGGCTGGCAACTTCAAGGGGGATGGTGTGACTGTGGGGGTGACTGGTCTGGAAGCAGGAAAACATCACTTGCTAGAAACACATCACGACCAACTAAGGAAGCTAAGGGCGCGTGTCTTTTGTAAAACCTATGCAAAACTCGAGTTTTGAGTTGAACTATGCGCAGTTGAGCCTAGGTCATCCTAGGCTCGACTATATGGGCAGTTATAACCCGAGTCGCTGCTCAACTCACAAGAATCAAAGGACACACGAAAGTTCAACTATGGAAGTTGAACTTTCCCGAGTCACGGTAACCTACGTATGTTACCTTGTTTTTCATGCGTTCGTGGCGACGCCAGAGAACTTTTTAGGAAGCCGTTCGTGCGTACGAATTGTGATGCGACCGTCGTCTGCTTCGCACGTATCTCGTGCATTGTCATGAGGACACGCGAATGATTTTATTGCACGCATGGTTTGGAATATATATTGCACTGCCTGCGTCAGCAGGCAGTGCAATCGAGTCAGCGCGGGCAAGAAAAAAAACCCCAGTCGGGGGCATGCCATCCGAGGGAGCCTCAACCCTAAAATTTTGGGCCATTTTCAGGTGCGATCCATACTTGCCAGGAAATCTACTCATGTGCGATCCATGTTATTTTGCAAGTACGAACATCCGATTCAGTTTTTAATCTTGCTGTCTAGTATGTAATTTATCTGAGGTCCGATTCAAATTTACACAATTAGTCGGAATCAAAAGAGATTTCTAATCACGCAAAGGAAAATTCGAATGGTCACATCATTTTGGCACAATTTCGACGACTAATTCTGCTTCGCACTAAGAAATTTTGTAAATGAATTCTTATGTCAAATCAACTATGTTGTTGACACATGTGACGGATATTGCGCAAGCCATTTCAGCATTCCCTTCTTTGGCGTGCACCCCAAAACAAGAGAAACGGTCTGGGTGATAATGAAGTTTACCCTCACTTTTAAAATAACCAGCTGTATTTTTTTCGCAGTAGACGACGCTGCCATAAAAATTATATATTTAACCCTGAACGAACCTGGAGATGTTTTAGGGAGCGATCAACCGTAAACACGGGAGGGAGCATTTTAGGGTTGATTCTTCCCGAAAATGCTACAGGGTCTTTACAGTGGGGTATATATTACGGTAAGGGTAAATTGAATTATTACCCGGGCACATTTTTCGTGTTTCGTGGTGCACGCCCATGAAGGGAATGCTGATTTGCCCTGCGCAACGTCTGTCGTGTGTCTCAACAATACAGGTGATCCGGCATAATTGTTATTTCATGAAATTTTAGTGCGAAGCAGAATTAGTCGTCGAAATTGTGCCAAAATGATGTGACCATTCGAATTTTTCTTGGCGTGATTCGAAATCGCTTCTGATTCTGACTGTTTGTGTAATTTTTAATCGGATCTCGGATAGAATGAGTTCATAGACAGCAAGATTTTAAACTGAATTGTATGTTCGTACTTGCAAAATAACATGGATCGCACATGAGTAGATTTCCTGGCAAGTGTGGATCGCACCTGAAAATGGCCCCTAAAAATTTAGGGTTGAGGCTCCCGAATGGCATGCCGTAAGCCATGGGTTTTGTTTTTTGCCCGCGGGCAGCGTGCTGACTCAGTCGGTAGCGCTACCGGGCGCTACCGACCGCTACCGGCTCTCGAAAGTGAAATGTATTGAGCTGAAAGTTCAACCCAGGTTTAGTGTACTACTTCATATACAATGTTGTACTCGGACACACGATACGCAAGCGAAAATATGAGCGAAATCGGAGAAAAAGGTTACCAGCAAAAGTTCAACCGAATTTCCGAACTTCTACAGCAAAAGACACGCGCCCTAAGCGAGATAAATGGCTCTCAATTCTCTACGCAGCGCCTTCACTCCTCCACGCGGGATTTTCACTCCTCTACGCAGAAGCAAAATGGCTCATTTTGTCGCACAGAGTCACCAGACGACAATTCTCCTCCTCCTGCTAGCCCTCGCTGTCGCACGTTTCCCTCCATTATGCGTGTGCGCCGCTGCTGCTCCTACTACTAACGACCTCCGCAAATTCCGGAACGATGTGGACAAAAAACAGAATCAAATTTCCTTCTTGCCTAGGGAAGATTACACTTCCGACACTCCCACGGAGCGTGAACAAAATTCCGGCATTCAGGAGAAACTCCAGGAGGCTTCAACAGAAGCAGACGCGACGATACGCGGCGGAGTTAAAGCAGCGAATCAGGGAGGAGAGGAGAGGGTAGGCGAAGGCAGTCTGAGAGGGAAGGTTAGAGGAAACAAAGTGATTCGGGGAGTGGAAGGCGAGGGAAGAGGGTGGGGAAGAGTGGCTCCAGACATGGCTGCCGTTGTGAAATTGGCCAATGACGAGGATGATAGTGGCGGGGATAGCAATACCGAGGATGGCAACGGCGGGGATGGCAATAACGAGGATGGCAATAACGAGGGGCTGGAAGAAGAGGGAGGAGGATGGGGAAGAGTAGCTCCAGACATGGCTGCCGTTGTGAAATTGGCGAATGACGAGGATGATAGTCGCGAGGATGGCAATGACGAGGATGACAAGAACAAGGGGGACAATGGCGAGAAGGACAGTAGCGAGAAAGACTATGGCGAGGATAAAGACGGTGTGAAGGACAGTAGCGAGAAAGACTATGGCGAGGATAAAGACGGCGTGAAGGACAGCGGAAGGCTTCGTCCCGAAACTGAAATTCTCACAGTCTGCACACCAGCAGGTGGGGAAATTCAGAGTGATAACTTTCACCACACAGTCTGCACTAGCAGTCTGTAGGGGTGCAATGGGATGAGGCACCGTTCTTAACCGCATCCCATCGTTGTGAATCCCACTTCGTCCCTTCCTAACTGCAATTCCAGGCCATGCTCAAGTGCGCATCTCCCCTGCCCGCATGGGGCAGACGTGGAGAGGATGGGGCACCTCGTTGGGATGGTAAGAACGTGGGATGGGTTTGGTTGTGGTACGGTGATGAGCGATGCAGGGGATTTATGTGATTCCATTGGGAGGGCTTTTCCAGTGCCTCAAAATTTGGTATGCTGATGAGCATTGCATGGGGCTTGTGTGATTCTAACGGGGGGAGGAGGGAGGGATGGGGGGGGGGGGTAGGAGTGGGTGGGAGTTTGGAGCATGGCGCTGCACTTTCCCTCCCTCTCAAGGAGGCAAGAGGTCACTATTGAGAATTCTCAAGTTCTTGACCCAGATTTACCAGTTGCTCAGGCCAGCGCCTCTTTTTCTCTTGTCCCTCTACCCTTTGCCACCTTCCCTCCTCCCTTTCCTTTGCCAACTACATTGGCAAGCTCCCACCACACCAGCTCACTTTCCTCCTCGACCTGCTCTTCCATCCCTCCATCAACCTTGGGTTGAACCTCCCGTGCCCCTTGCTTATCCGCACTTCTTTCCACCCCTTTTCACCGCATCCAACCCCCTGATTTCCCTTTTACAACCCTCTTCATCGCATTCAACCCTCCAGGTTCGCCAACTACATTGGCAAGCTCCCACCACACCAGCTCTCTTTCCTTCTCGACCTGCTCTTCCATCCCTCCATCGGCCTTGGGTTGAACCTCGCACGATACCTTATCGGGGGCAGCTTCAACCCCCTCCTCAGCCCCCAGTTCCTCACAGAAGCCTGCGAAGCCATGGCGATTCCCGGTTACCGCGTAACCGCGTCCGGGCCGTACGATTGGTCGGCGGATTGGCGGCAGAGGAGGGTATTGGCCGGAGCGATCGAGCGGGGAGTTGAGGAGGTCGAAGCAGTGGCTTACTCCCCCCCTTGGTGGATGACTGTCAGTGGGGACACTGCGGGGCTAAGTACCGGTAAGAGTAACTTAAAAAGAGGGTATTACTTAGCGTACGCGGGGTATTTAGCGGATGTGGTCGCACATTTCCGGGAGGAGTGGAACGTGACGTTCTCGACGCTGAATCCGGCCAATGAGGCGCTAGAAGGGTGGTGGGTGCGCGGTAACCGGCAGGAGGGGTGTAACTTCAACGGCACGGAGCTCAATATGCTTATAGCGAATGTGGTGGGGACGCTTAAAAGGAGGAGGCTGTTCGATCGGACAGGAGTCGCTGGTTTCGACAGTTTCGCCGGACGAACCTTTCGAAATTGGGAGGAATTTTCACCTTTAGTCAAATCGGCACTCACCCGAATCAACGTGCACGGGTATCTGTCTCCCCCGGGAAATGGCACAAGTGCGCGTGATTATATCGAAGGCAAGTTCGGTCCCTTGAGGGAACGGGCAGCAGCTTTGAGAAAGGAGGTGTGGGTGTCGGAAATGGGCCCCCTTTTTGTAACTGGTGATGATATGGCGGTAACCGCATTCATCGCGAGGTGTATTGTACAGTCGGTTAACATACTAGGCGCTTCGGCTTGGATTTTCTGGCAAGCAGTCAATAAGGAGGATCAGAGGGACCCTTCTGCACTCAATTGGGGCCTCTTTGTTATTCCTTATAACCGAATCCACGACTCCTCCGCTCCGCCGTTACAAGTTACGTTCTCAAAGAAATATTATATGTTATGGCAATTTATTCGAGGGGCTCCCAAGGGTAGTATACCCTTGAAAATCGACACATCTGAGGGGTGTCATCATTCGGTAGCTGCCTTTTTCCATCCCGGGCGGCACCTGTTGTCAGTATTCATCGTGAATCAAGACTCGGCGGGTTACAACGTAACTGTTTCTGTATCTTCTTTTGGAGTGTACAACCAGGCTCTCCCGGCTTCTATTGAGGTGTACAGGACGTCTTATAAGGAAACAGGGAGCCGTGTTTTGTCAGAGAACCATGAGGCTGTGCCTCCGTCTTTGCTTGTTGTGGCACCAGGAAGCAGTGTAACATCTGTACTGATCTCTAATGTCGTTGCTCTTGATGGGGGTTAGGGCCTAGAAGTTCAGTAGTTGTGATGTTGTAATAGCACTAAACAGCAGTGATGTAATGTTATAACTGTATTGATCTTCAATGTACGGTAATGATTCTTGACAGAGTTTGAGTGTCTACGAGAGTATCTTTATAAACTTATAATCTACAGCAGTTCGTGTGTGTGTGAGTGCATGCATAGGTGCGGGTCCATGTGTGTGCCATTGTGACTCTTGACTAACAAGCTGCACTAATTCCAAGGTGAAATGCGCAGAGATGCAAAACAATAACAATGTATAGTACAAATTATACCGTGTCTCAATTCAAACAAAACAGCTGGTTGATAACACTAACACTTACTATCTACGCCTGTGCAGACGGGCAGCAACAGCTGCACCATAGTACCACTCGCTAATAGCCCAAGGCAGGTTCTTGCCAGGCCACTGGGGCGAAACTACACTTCCCCATCCAGGATCCCCTAACATACAATGCGATTTTGTTTGATAAACAAACGAAGTAAATGCCGCTCCCCTTCGCTTTGCATTATCCACCACGCTTCGCACTGTAGTCATAACCCGAGTCGCGTACCCGCCGATAACGCTTCGTTGTTGCGGAGTGCAGTCGTTTAATCCTGAAGAGTAGAAGCAGTGCATAAGCGGGTGTGTAACGGGTTTACTTGTCCCGATAAGAGTCATCGCTATTGCCTTGTAGTCGATGTTGCTATTGAGGATGAATGTAGGCGTGCTGACGAAATGTAGGTTGTACTCTGGGAAGGTACACTTCCATGACTGCGTTGTTCCTCTGAAAGCTGTTTATAAGGGGTACGGGAGAAAGGGATGGGGAGGATGGAAGAGAAAAGGGGTTGGAAATGGAGGAAAGTATTTTTTAGGAAAACACTATAAAACAATAGCAAGGTTTTGCAAGTGCAAAACAAGGCTCTACAGAGGGAAATGCACGCCGTGTTTGAGATTAAGGGGTGATCAAAGTGCTGCACCAGCTCGACGTCGAGGGACGTCGGTGAATGTCAACCCTCGGATCAAAAGTTTCAACCGTCAGGATTCACCGAAATCCCTCGACGTCGAGCTGGTGCCTCACCTTGATCACCCCTTTAGCAAAGGAAAAAGATGCCACAAACACACACACAACCAGCAGCCCGCCCCTGGACATAGCTGGACCGTCCAAGGTCTGCTGTGGATCACAGTCCAGTTGGATCATTAGGGTATTTTTGAGAATTCTCAAAAATACCCTTCAGCATCATCGCTGGACCGTCCAAGGTCTGCTGTGGATTACATTCCAGTTGGATCATTTCTCCAACTCAAGAGTCACTCGCCCTCATACAGTCACTGTCACACTAATACCGTCACATTTGTACAGTCACACTCATACAATCGCACTCATGCAGTCACACGGCATGCAATCACACCCACATGCTCTCTCTCTCTCTCTCACCAGCAGCACAGCCCTGGTCGTAGCTGAGCTGCCCAAGGCTCGCCGTGGATGCCAGCTGGCTCATTCGACGGCGAAAGGCGTACGCGCCTCGTACAGTGGGGATGTCTGGAAGGAAGGGATGGGAAGGAGTGGGGGGGGGGGGGGGGGGGGGGGGGGGGGGGGGGGGGGGGGTTAAGAGAACAAAAATGGGAGCAATGTGAGGGGGTGGTGGTGGGGTCCAAGGTGTGCTGTGGATGCCAGCTGGCTCCTTCGACGGCGAAAGGCGTACGCGCCTCGTACGGTGGGGATGTCTGGAGGAGTGGAGTGGGGTGGAGTGGGGTGGAGCGGAGTGGAGGAGGGAAATGTGAGGGATGCGTAGGTCCCAGGCATGGTCACGAGCTGGCTCATCCTTTGAGGCGCCTCAAAAGGCATGGTCACCAGCTGGCTCATCTGACGGCGAAAGGCGTACGCGCCTCATACGGTGGGGATGTTTGGAGGCAATGAGGTGGGCAGGAGAGGGAAAGAGCAGGGCAGAGTGAAAGGCGTACGCGCCTCGTACAGTGGGGATGTCTGGGGCAGAGAGGTGAAGGAGAGGGAGGGGAAGGCGTTGGGTGTGGTGGGTTGGGGTCATTGGAAGGCGTACGCGCCTCGTACGGTGGGGATGTGTGGAGCAGAAGGGGATGAAGGAAGGAGGGAAGAGGAAGAAGGGGGACATAAGTGGGGGAGAGACACACATGTGAGAAACACATGTGAGGGAGAGACACACATGTGAGACACACATGTGAGAAACACATGTGAGGGAGAGACACACATGTGAGACACACATGTGAGAAACACATGTGAGGGAGAGACACACATGTGAGACACACATGTGAGAAACACATGTGAGGGAGAGACTTGACGGACAGCGTACAAAGCGTACGCGCCTCGTACGGTTGGGACGTCTGGAGCAGAGAGGTGAAGGAAGGAGGGAAGAGGAAGAAGAGGTGAAGGAGAGGGATTGGAAGGAATGGATCGAAGTGAAGAGGGAAGAAGAGAACAGGAAGGTAAGGAGGCGTACAGTACACGCCTCGTAGGGTGGGTTCTTGAGACGTCTCAAAAGTCGTCTACTTACACGGGGTGAGGAGGCGTACGCACCTCGTACGGTGGGGATGCATGGGGCAGTGCGGAAGGAGAGGGGCAGAGGGATGGGCTCATAAGTGGGGAAGACTCGGGGTTCAGGGGAAGACTCGGGGTTCAGGGGAAGACTCGGGGTTCAGGGGAAGGAGTACGTGCTTCGTACAGTGGGGGTGTCTGGCGAGGAGGAGTCCAGGAGAGGGATGGGAAGGAGCTGGGTGGGGTGGGGTCATTGGAAGGAGTACGCGCCTCGTACGGTGGGGATGTTTGGAGGAGAGGAGGGAGGGAATGGGGGATAAAAGACGAGAAGGGGGACACGCATCAGTGTATCCATGAGTCAGCTAGTTTTGGCTCCGAACTGAGCCATCCACTTGGCAACACCATCACTTGCCATGCTCACCCTCAGATACCCCCGTGTTACCCTGTGCAACCTAGTGGAACCGAATGCAACACATTCTTAACCATGAAGAATCCAGCGTCCATGAGGCATCGCGTCTTGGCTCCATACTGAGCCATCCACTTGGCCACACCATCACATGCCATGCTGACCCCTTGCCCCCCCGCGCTACAGCCGGTCAGCAGCACATCTGTAGCCTGCCCTAGCCTCTGCTTCGCTAGAAGCTCCTCCACTATCCCTACAAGGTTCCACCGCCCTTCCATGTAGACGGGCGGCTTGTTGCTGTTGGCGTTACGCGGTTGCACGACGCTGCGGCTGCCAGCGAAAGCAGTGCCGTCACAGTATTTGAAAATGACAAAGTTCCAGTTGTGGAAGCCAGGGTTGATCTGGGGTTAAAAAGCCAGAAAAAAAAGAAAAAAAGAAAGACAAAAAAAGAAAACAACGCACAATAATAGGTCAACCGGGAGTAGTGCTAGCCAAAGGTGACACTTGGGTAGTGCACCCTTTTAGGTAGATTCCAGTGAATGCTGCACCACTCGTGGCTTTAGAAGAGGCAGCCCCATTTGTTAAATTTTGGGGACGACCTACAGAGAGTGTATACCGTCCAAAAAATTACAGACAGAATATTGCTGTTAATGCTGTAGTGGTGATTGATTTTCACAGTTGATACCACACCATTAATATCCGTGTGCTCACTTACTTCTTTGTTTATTCATTCACATTATACATACCTGAGGCGCGCTGTTACAAAACAGGCAGTGTTCTTACCTTGATGTCGCTGCTCGCGATTCCGGCCAAGTCAATGTCGTCCTGATGGAATGAACAGCGAGGCGCGAAGGGTTGGGGCAGAAAAAAATGTATATATTGACTGTGCAATGTACCATGCGACAACAAGAGGCTGAAAGAAACCAGGACAACAGGAAACGGAGAATCATGAAGCATAATTCTTCATTGAAAATGAGAGCAGAGTGAGCAGAAGCAAAAGGAAAGAAGAAAAGAGGAGGGAGACAGGGGACAGGAAGCAGTGTGGGGAATTGGGACTGGGGGGGACGAGGGGAGGAGAGGGGGAGTGAGGGAAACGTGAAGCTGTGTGGGGGACGGGGGGTTGAGACTCAAATTGGGTGGGAGAGGGGGAGGGAATGGGGAGGCAGAGAGGGAAGGAATGGGAGTGGGAGAGGGAGAGAATGGGTAAGGGGGGGGAGAGCGAGAGCGAGAGCGAGAGCGAGAGAGAGAGAGAGAGAGAGAGAGAGAGAGAGAGAGAGAGAGAGAGAGAGAGAGAGAGAGAGAGAGAGAGAGAGAGAGAGAGAGAGAGAGAGAGAGAGAGAGAGAGAGAGAGAGAGAGAATGGTAAGTGGGAGGGGAGGGAAATCTGGCTGTTATCTCTTGTAACGGGAGAGCCAATAAAGAGTGACTGTACCGACTGGTTGTAGTAACGGGAAGACCCAAGCACAGTTTTGGAGCGAACGGCACACTGCTTTACACTAAAGCACCAGCCTCCGCCCTGCGACAGAAACGAATGTGGCACACACAAGTGAGACACAAACAGTTGGGACACAAACGAGTATGGAGCTCTATGGACCCACTCAAGAATATCTGACCGGATTATTCGACATAAAGTGTTTCTGAACTGCATATGTACAGATTCTACTGTGTTTCTTACCTCAAGATAAAAGATCCACTTGTTCACTCCTGTACCATATCCGTTTCGGATGACAAACGTGGGGGAGCTGCAATAACGCGGAACGCAAGAATGTTGGGGAGGAGGCAAGGAGAGGGGGAGAGGGATTGGTAAGTGACAAAACTGAGATGGAGGACTAGAGAGGAGTTAGAGACGTCGGCTTTTAGGCGCCTCGAAACCAGGTTACCACAATTATACTGATTCAACTGGAATGGAAGCGGGAAGCGTGACGGAGCGGAAAGGACGCGCATTGGCGGGAGCGTTTGAGAGAAGGGAGGAAGCGGTATGCCATCGACAAAAATTACGGCGCGAAAATTATCGACATCGTCATTCATTCACCTGCCGTTCAAGCATCGCCCTCGTTTCGTCCCATCCACAGACACCAGCTCCGCAAGCTACACAACCATGCACGGCCTAGCACACGTCATCATGGCAGCACCCAGCCTTAGAACATAACTTAAAGCCAAAATCATCTCGTGCAAGCATCGGCCTTCCCTCATCCTGCCCAGTGACGCCCTCCTCTATGCTACGCAATCACCACACTGCCCAGCAGTCACGGCCCGACAACTCAGCCTCAGTTACTTGGTAGCTTACCTGCCGTCCAAGCATCGCCCTCGTTTTGTCTATCCGAAGTTACAACGATTTTTAACCTAAGCAACCAAAGCACACCCCAGCAGTCACGGAACCACGACCCATCCTCAGTCATTCACTGAATAACCTGCCGTCCAAACATCGCCCTCGTTTTGTCTATCCGAAGTTACCAGGTTTCTAAGCTAAGCAACCAAAGCACACCCCAGCAGTCACGGAACCACAACCCATCCTGAGTCAGTCAGTGAATCACCTGCCGTCCAAGCATCGGCCTCGTTTCGTTGCGTCCAGCGTCACCAGTCTCGGCTTCCCCACCCACGGGAAAAGCGGATTCTCCGCAGCTCGCTTCCTGCCCGTTTTTCTGCCCGTTTTCTTGCCCGTTTTCTTGCCCGGTTTGTTCGACCTCGCGTGCGGTTTGTGCTTCCCCGCGCTCCGACTCCGCCTCCGCGTTTGCGCGCCTTTGTCGGTTCCCGTCGTTCCGCGAACGCCCCGCGGAGTTAGCCCATCAGCGGGGCTCCGCCCCTTCATCTGACTCCCTGCTGTTGCGACGCCAGTTAGCGACGAAATGCGACGCCCCCCAAACGCCACCGGTCCCCCTTCCTCAGTCTCCGCGCTCCCCACCACCTGCGCGGATGCTGGTCCCACGCGTCCTGCTGGTTCCGCGCGCCCCGCTGCCTGCGCCTGCCGCGGTGCTGCTCCGCCGACGCCTTCCGCCGATGCGCCATCGCCCGCGAGCGCGCGACTGGTGGGGTGACCTTGAAACGTCAGCAACGGCGAATCGGCATCACCGGGTGACCGAAAACTAATTGTTGCGACAGAGACATTCTGACCGAGAGCGACGCGAGCGGAGCAGCAGACGAGGAGAAAAAGATGGATGAGCGCGAGCATGCTGAGCAACGCGCAGTCGCGAGTTGTCAGCCGCATTCTGTTCAACGTGTCGTTAGGGACGACTGAAGTCAACGGTTCATAACATCAGCTAAGTCGAGGTTTTGCGCGTGGCCTGTTCAGAGGATTTACCACTAGTAGAACTGGGCTCTTGTGTTATCCGACCTTTATTGGACTAAGTCACTAGAACTGTCACGACTGATTTCGTAGGTTCTCCGAGCGATCTCGGACCAAGTCACGACTAGAACTGAGGTAAGCTGGTAAAGTGCCACGACTAAGGTTGAAGTGGAACTACACACGTCGAGTTTCGCCGAGTATCCGAGCTTGGGAGCGGGCTAAATCGCCACTAGAGATCTCGCACACAGGACTGACGTACCAGTGATGTCGAGGTTCAAGCTAGGTACTGTGCACTCGTGGACAAAGTATTTTCTTTCTTTCTTCTTGACAGTAGAAAAATGGTGGCCTGGATCTACATTACGCCAGTTCAGTTCTGCGTCGGTCGTGGGACTGTTACCACCGAGGAGGTTTGGGTCGAATCTATAGCGGACTAAAAAATCCACCCGGCGGTATTGAAAATAACCGGCAGAATGGTGACAGCAGAAATAATCTCAGCCTGGTCGCTGAGGAGAAATAAGCTATACGGGGATGGCCCATTATCGCTAAGACAATGACACGGATAACTCTTGTTGAGTCTCGCTCGAGTCGACTAGAATTACATATCCACAGGTGACAGGAAGTAACTGTACTATGCACGGCAGACCTGTGCGCGTGGCGTATGGCCGCTTACGCAATAACAGGACAAGGACAGGCATTGGCTACTTGTTTTGTGCGACTCGGTGGAGCCCGTGGAAAGCGGAGCGTTGTCAGGGGAGATCCTGGTCATGGGAAAAATATGTGAAGCCAGAAAGTGGCGCGATGTGGTATGTACTCATCAGAAAATGGCTTGATGTGGGCGTTCTGCGGTGCGGCATGGGACAAAGTTGGTGGAATGGAGAAGATGTGGAATGGAGATGATATGGCATGGGATGGGATGGGTTGGGATGGGGGGGTGTTGAATGTGGGGCTGGTGGATTGGATGGAAGATGTTTGGTTGGTGGTGACCGTGAACATTATAACGGCGTTAAACACGGTTCCAATCGGTTCATTAAGGCAGCCTTGTTAAATGCTGGTTGGAGCCTCACTCTACCGAATCGCATCGTCTTCAACCTCGTCATAATGCAACCCTAAACCCGTCCGTATCCGAGTAGAATCGCTGCACCTCCGCGGAACGAGAGGAGTGGGTGCGGGAAAAATTTGCTAGTCACGAACCCGAGATGTGCGCAATGTAGCGTCTCGGGAATCTCTTTTTGCGTGGTGCGGCGCGGACGAAATGTTTTCGCCCAGATTCGTGCCTGGAGAATTTCGCCCAGGTGTTTAGGGTTGATGCCTCCCTAACGCATGCCAGGCCCAAATGGGTTTTATTTTTGCCCGTGGGCAACGCAGTACAGAACTTAACTAATTTTCTGTTGAAGTTCATGATAACAACAAAACAGATCACGGTTCACGCGATCGAAGGCATGCCACGTGGCGATAATAAAACGAACCGCGATTCCGCGGGATTGAGCAAAACCCTCTCGTGCCTGGTCGTGCTGTGCTGGTTTGGACAGCCTTTCTAGGGGAACTCACAAAAAAAAAAAAAAAGCGGCGGTATACATTTGGTTTTACTGTTTGTTTTGTACAGTGTCCACCCCTTCATTTCGCCGAGACGAAAAAAACGAGGGGAGCGAGAATGTTGGCGAAAACCTGAGTCGTTTTTGTACGAATGAACAAGGGTTGGGTTGGCTGTGTCACAAATGTTGAGATGCCCCCGTCACCTCTCTCACCTGCCACTCTCACACACAAGTCCCAATAAGCCGCTAATAACTACACCAGAGAAAAGAAACCAGGGCACACGCTGGAGGGTGCTACGCCTCTGCGACCACACTCGAAGTCGCGTGTGAGTAATTAGTGGCGTCGGTTATTAGCTTAGGGCAGGAAACGACCAGCAAAATCCTACGTAGCGTCAGCTTGTACAGCAACTGTCTCGCGCTCGCCTGTAGCAACGCACGCACGCCTGCATTCAAAACGAGCCAGCACAGCGTGCTTCAACGAGGCGCGGGGAGCAGAGCAACGCGCGCCAGCAAAACGCGCGCAGCAAAACGCGTGTAGCAAAACGCACGCAGCAAGGGGCCACAAAATATGCATAGCGCGCGTGAGAGCACAGCGCGTATGAGGACAGGCACACGCGCCTCGCGTTCGTCAAGCCGTTGAGCCGGCGTCGCGCGCGTGAGGAGGGTCACACGCGCCGCATCGTTTTGCCCCCATGCACTCACACCGGAGCATAACACGAAGCATGCCCCTTTCCGCGAAATTCTCCCACACCCATTCCCATCACCGCATTCCCCCTTCCCCATTCCGACCTCTCGGTCCCGCATTCCCCCATCCGCATCCGCCTTCCCCCTTCCCCATTCCCCCAACCGCATTCCCCCTTCCCCATTTTCCCATCCAAATTCTCCCTTCCGCCTTTCCCCATCCGCATTCCCCCTTCCGCATCCCCCCATCCCCATTCCCCCTTCCGCGTTCCCCCTTCCGCTTTCCCCTTCCGCGTTCCCCCTTCCGTATTCCCCCTACCGCATTCCCCCATCCGCATTCCCCCTTCCCCATCCCCCCTTCCGAATTCTCCCTTTCGCATTCCCCCACCCGCATTCCCTCCATCCGCATTCCCCCTTCCGCGTTCCCCCTTCCGCATACCCCCTTTCGCATTCCCCCTTCCCCTTTCCCCCCTTCCGCATTCCCCCTTCCCCTTTCCCCCTTCCGCATTCCCCCTTCCGCCTTCCCCCTTCCGCGACGCCCCCCCACGCGTTCCCTCGCAAACGTTCCCCCTTCAGTATTCCCCCTTCCGCGTTCCCCCTTCCGTATTCCCCCTACCGCATTCCCCCATCCGCGTTCCCCCTTCCCCATCCCCCCTTCCGCCTTCCCCCATCAGCATTCCCCCTTCCGCATTCCCCCCATCCGCATTCCCCCTTCCGCGTTCCCCCTTCCGCTTTCCCCCTTCCGCGCTCACCCTTCCGTATTCCCCCTACCGCATTCCCCCATCCGCATTCCCCCTTCCGCATTCCCCCTTCCGCCTTCCCCCTTCCGCGACGCCCCCCCACGCGTTCCCTCGCAAACGTTCCCCCTTCAGTATTCCCCCTTCCGCGTTCCCCCTTCCGTATTCCCCCTACCGCATTCCCCCATCCGCGTTCCCCCTTCCCCATCCCCCCTTCCGCCTTCCCCCATCAGCATTCCCCCTTCCGCATTCCCCCCATCCGCATTCCCCCTTCCGCGTTCCCCCTTCCGCTTTCCCCCTTCCGCGCTCCCCCTTCCGTATTCCCCCTACCGCATTCCCCCATCCGCATTCCCCCTTCCGCATTCCCCCTTCCGCCTTCCCCCTTCCGCGACGCCCCCCCACGCGTTCCCTCGCAAGCGTTCCCCCTTCCGTATTCCCCCTTCCGCGTTCCCCCTTCCATATGCGCCCTTCCGCGTTCCCCCATCCGCATCCCCCCTACCGCATCCCCCCTTCCGCATTCCTCTTCGGCATTCCCCATTCCGCCTTCCCCCTTCCGCCTTCCCCCTTCCCCGTTCCCCCTTCCGCCTTCCCCGTTCCGCGTTCCCCGTTCCCCCCCTTCCTTATTCCCCCTTCCTCATTCCCCCTTCCGCATTCCCCCTTCCCCATCCCCCCTTGCGCATCCCTCGTTCACCCTTCCGCATTCCCCCTTCCTCATTCACCCTTCCTCATTCCCCCTTCCGCATTCCCCCTCCTGCATTCCCCCATTTCCCCCCCATGCCTCATAGGGCCCCCCATTCCATCCCCATGTTTCCCCCCTGTAGGCCCCATGTCTCTCACTGTCCTCACCACCTGTCTGCTCGTGCATGTCTCTTCACCCTCCTCACCTTTTTTTTCTCCCTGTCTTTGCCTCTCTTTTCCCTTCTCCCAACCTACCCACCCCCCTCCCTGTCCTGCTCCCAGCTGCTATCGGCCAAGCTAGCAGCAATAGAGCAGGACATGGTGGAGATTGCATGTTCGGAGATACCTGCCTCCTTTGTGCGGAACACATGGGAGCAACGGGTGGGTTGCTAGTCCACGCCATCCTTTTTCTGCCATCTCTGCCCCTGTGGCAGGGGAAGATGGAAATGAGGCTGTTGTAGGTGATACTGCTGGTGACGGTGCTTCAGGTGGTTGCGCTGGTCTCGGTGATAACCCCCTCTAAGGTCCTTGTTCCCCCCCTTCGTTCCAGCAACAGAACCTAGTGCATTGCAACACAAGGAGGCGTCCCGGTAGTTATCATAGACCCTGGTAACAAGGAGTGGCACGCGCATAATAATATTTAGATAAGCTGGACGCATGTAACATTGACAACCAACACTGGATTCCTCAGTACCAATCACGTTGCTACTCATATGCCCGTGCACGTTTGCCCTCGTTGCAATATCAATCTCGTCAGGCACGAATCCCCAATCTTCATTCTATGACCATCTTTAGGTTTGCAAATAACGCTGAAAAAAAAAAAAAAAAAAAAAAAAAAAACATCTTTCAAAGCTGTATGTGCACACGTTGGCGAAAATCATTGCCATGTATACACAACAGGACCATCCTACACTCTTGGTGTCATCTTCACGCCTTGACACACTCCTGGGACTTGATGCACCTCCCTTCACGCCGCCAAGCTTGCTTGGGCCAGGATTTGTAGTCCTGCTTGTAGATGGGGCAAAGCGAAAAGGAACAATTATACGGCGCTGAATAGAAAGCAAAGCTGGCTGCTTTTCCCTTGCATATAGGTACACTGACACCTGGTGTTGCATCGGTAAATAATGGGTCCCCACCCCCATGGATGGGGGACAGGGAGGTGTGATGGGAAGGCAGGGAGGTGTGACGGGAAGGCAGGGAGGTGTGATGGAAAGGCAGGGAGATGTGACAGAAGGTGTGATGGGGAGACAGGGAGGTGTGACAAAAGGTGTGATGGGGAGACAGGGAGGTGTGACAGAAGGTGTGATGGGGAGACAGGGAGGTGTGACAGAAGGTGGGATGGAAAGGCAGGGAGGTGTGACGGGAAGGCAGGGAGGTGTGATGGAAAGGCAGGGAGGTGTGATGGGAAGACAGGGAGGTGTGACAGAAGGTGTGATGAAAAGACAAGGATGTAGCAAGGAGGTGTGACGGAAAGACAGGGAGGTGTGATGGAAGAGGTGTGACAGGAAGGCAAGGAGGGGCACAAGGGAATACATGTGATTACACATGAATTAGGGGCGATTATGGGGCAAAATTGATGGCAGCACATGCACGGGAGCTAGAGTGCAGGAGGGGATGGGATGGAAGGGAAGGGAAGGAAGGGGAGGGAAGGAAGGTAAGGAGCAGGCTAAAGAAAGGAAAAGGAATTGGACGGATGGAGGAAGGAGAGGGCGGGAGGATGGGGTTGGTTATAGGAAGCAGGAAGGGAGGGATGGTGGTGAGGACTGTGGGAGTAAGAATGGCAGGAAGAATGGGTGGGCAGACGCCGCGAGTGTGACGATGGGAGAAGATTTGAAAAAGGGACGGAGAGGTGGCAATGATGGGGGAGCGAAGGCAGGGAACCGATGTAAGGAGAGATGTCAAGGAGAAAGAAGGGGTGTTATGTGACGACTCACCTGGTGTGAAATCACGATGCATGATGCCAGCGGCCCAGAGCGCCTGACTCTTCCACACTCGCAGCAGCGGAGTGGCGGTGGCCAAAGGGACACGACATGAATCAGGAACGCTGAAAACGGGGCGGGGATGGGGCGGAAGGTGGAAGCATGGGACGGAGGGGGGAAAAGAGGAGATGCGAGGAAGGAAGGTGGGAGGAGAAGGTGTTAGACGGAGGGAGGGTGGAAGTGAAAGGATGGGGACGGAAGGAGGGAATAGACGACGAAGAGATGAGGAAGTGGGGTAGGAGAGTTGAAGAGGGAGATGGGGAGGCGAAGTGGAGGGGTGAGGATGAAGAGGTGGGCCTGAAAGGCAGAAAAAGAGGACCTGAGAGGAATGGGAGATGGGGAGGCGGGGCAGGGAGATGGGGGAGGCGGGATGTTATGAACAAAAGGGAGGCAGCGGACAAGGGGCGGCCCAAAATGTTTGGCGCTGATGGGGGCGGTGCTGAGAGGATTGAGGTGAAGATGGGGCGGGAAGAGAAGGGAGGAAAGAGATCGCAGGGAGGGAAGAGAGGGAAGGGAGGGAAGGTTGAGAAGGGAGGGATGAGAGGGAAGGGAGGGAAGGGAGACAAGGGAGGGAAGGGAGGGAAGGGAGGGAAGGGAGATGCAGGGAGGGAAGGGAGGGAAGGGAGGGAAGGGAGAGAACGGCGGGATGGGAGAGAAGGGAAATCGCGGGGAGGTAGGAGAGGGAAGGGAGGGAAGGCTGCAAGGCTAGGGAAGAGAGGGAAGAGGAGAGAGGGAGGGAAGGGAGGAGGGAAGGAGGGAAGGGAGAGAAGGGAGGGAAGGGAGAGAAGGGCCCGGAAAGGGGAGGTAGGTGAGGGAAGGGAGGGAAGGGAGGCAAGGGAGGGAGGGGACGGAAGGGACTGAAGGAAGAGACCATGGATGGGAGAAAAGGGAGGGGAGGGAGAGAAGTGAGGAAAGTGAGAGTATGGAGAATGGGAGGCGGAGATGTGTGGATGCAGGGATGGGGTGAGGGGGGTGCAGGGATGGGGAGAGGGGGGTGTGCAGGGATGGGGAGAGGGGGATGCAGGCATGGGGAGAGGGGGATGCAGGCATGGGGGAGAGGGGGATGCAGGCATGGGGAGAGGGGGATGCAGGCATGGGGAGAGGGGGATGCAGGAGGGTGTAAGAAGAGGTAGGGGAGGGGAGGTGAGAAGAATGCCCCTGGTAGGGGGATGGGAGGTGAGCAAAGAGTGCCTGATAGGGCCAGGAGAGGTGGTAGGGGAGAGGCGATGAGATGGGAGTAGGTGGCAGGGGAAGGGGAGGTCAGATGGGAGTATGTTGTATGTGGTAGGGGAGGGGATCAATGATGGGAGGGAAGGCAAGGAAGGGAGAGAAGTGAGGGAAGGGGGGGAAGGGGGGGATGGGAGAGAAGGGAGGGAAGGGAGTGAAGGGAGGGAAGGGAGGGAAGGGAGAGAAGGCAGGGAAGGGAGAGAAGGGAGAGAAGGGAGAGAAGGGAGGGAAGGGAGGGAAGGCAGGGAAGGGAGAGAAGGGAGAGAAGGCAAGAAGGGAGAGAAGGGAGAGAAAAGGGGGGACGGGAGGGAAGGGAGGGAAGGGGGAAGGAAGGAGGGAAGCAGGGAAGGGAAGGAAGGAGGGAAGGCAGGGAAGGGAGAGAAGGGAGGGAAGGGAGAGAAGGGAGGGAAGGGAGAGAAGGGAGGGAAGGGAGGGAGGGAGAGAAGGCAGGGAATGGAGAGAAGGGAGAGAAGGGAGAGAAGGGAGGGGCGGGAGGGAAGGGAGGGAAGGGAGGGAAGGGAGGGAAGGCAGGGAAAGGGAGAAGGGAGGGAAGGGAGAGAAGGGAGAGAAGGGAGGGAAGGGAGGGGCTGAAGGGAGGGAGGGGAGAGAAGGCAGGGAAGAGGAAGAAGGAGAGAAGGGAGGGAAGGGAGGGAAGGGAGTGAGGGAGGAAGGGACAGGAAGGAAGGGAAGGGAGATTGAAGGAGGGAAGAAAGGGAGGCTGTGAGGGGAATGGGGGAATGGGAGAGGAATGGGGGCGGGGAAGGTAGGGAAGGTAGGAATGGAGCGGGGGACCGGACGAATGGGCAGCGGGATGTGGGAGAATGGGCAGCGGGAAGGGGAATAGGGCGACGGGAAATGGGTACTCGGCGGCGGGAAAGGGAATCGGGCGGCGGAAAGGGGGAATCGGGGTGGTGGCGGAAAAGGGGCATAGGGCGGTGGAAGGGGAATCGGGTGGGGTGGGGAAAAGGGGCATAGGGCGGCGGGAAAGGGAAATCAGGCGGGGGAAAGGGAAATCGGGGGGCGGCAAAGGGGAATCGGGGGCGGGAAAGGGGGCGGGAAAGGGGGCGGGAAAGGGGAATTGGGGGCGGGAAATGGGAATCAGGGGCGGGAAAGAAAGAGGGGGAATCGGGGGCGGGAAGACACAGCGTCGCCTCACTCGAGCAGGCGACAACTGCGATCGCGCGAGTGCGGCCCGCTATTCTGCACGTTGAGGCGCCGCGCGTCGTATTCACAGTGGCGTGAGGACGCAGTGTGAGGCGGCGAAGCCACGCCGCCTTGGGCGACGAGGGGAGGAAGATCAGCGCGATGAAATCGCCTAATTCCGACGATGAGAGGTGGGGATTTCGAGCAAGGGCTTGTGTACGGCGCCTTTCGGCAGCGTGGCGACGGCTCGAGCTCTGGGGTAGTCCGGCGTCAATGATCGAGCATGAGGCAGCAACGGGTCGTGGCCGCGAGCGAAATTTCGGAGTAGTACATGGACGTGAGAGCGTGGGGAGACTACGCGAGGCTGCTCGTGTGCTTGCGAGGCGGCGGACTTCCTACCGTGGAGAGTGCTAGACCATTTACCCTAAGCTCTCTCGATTAAATCAGTCTGTGCTCTGGTATGCCTACACGGGCTCCCTGGCGTGTGACCTAGACGTGAGCGCTACGCTATGGTCGCACGCCGTTTCTTATGCTAGAGTATTAACATATGCTGAGGAGTGGGCGAATGGGCTACGCGGGGGAATGGATCGAGTATACTTTTGGCAAAACTATAACTTTCGGCCCCCTGCTGAGAGTAGCAGGGGAGTGGAGGAACGTCGCCTGTTCTTTATGCTCGTGCAGGTTGTAATCTAGTTACCAGGGTGTACCTTTTATAAACTTTAGCGTTTGGCCCTGCCAAATGTATACAGCCGCTTTAAGGAGCTCAAGCCGTACTCCCTATATTGCACTGAAAATGTTAGAGGGGTGTTTACCGTTCATTCCGAACAGTAATTTCCAAGTCACCCTTATCCTTTTCTTCTCAGATTCTCTAGTGCCACGTGGCACTCTACTTTTCTTGCACTACAATTCTTGGTCCCACAATCCACTTTCCAACCTTGTTTCTTCTATGCTATATAAACCTTGCTTGTACTTGGCATTATCAACCAATTCTCATTCAACTCTTCTTCAATTACTCAGTAACTCCTTCGCCTATTTCGCTAGTAGTTCTTTCGCCAAAGTCTTCCGCCGCGCTTTATCCTCGACTTAGTCGACCCCGCTAATTCTTTAGCGGACTTAGGCCAGCGGGCCTAACACTTGGTATCAGAGCCTTCGCGGGGAGCGACTTCCAACGAGCGACCGTCGACGACGAGACTACGCCGTCATCGTCCCGCAATGCCGACTTGCAGACTTGGAGTCGTCGAGCAAACATGGACGAATCCATGAACGCTTTCCCCCACGACATGGGCAACACGCTTGCCGAGCTCATGCGTCAACTCGAAGAATTTGTCAGAATCAACAAGAGTGTGAAAGAAGAATGACGAAAGAGGGGTTTCACTAGCAGCAGTTGGGGTACATATAGCAAACCCTAACTGGGTTGTACTCGCTATAGAGCACCCCACTACAGGCTAGATAATAACATTCTGACACACCCCCATAGCCAAAGTGGGGTGTAATCAGCACAATGAGCAGACATAGTAATAGTTCACAATTATAAGCAAAGCTAGAGGCGATCACCGAGGGCAAGTGAGGAGGAGGAGGAATTGTGAAGGGAGAGAAGATGGGAGACGACGGCTGAAGCTGCAGACACACAGGCAACAGGAGGACTGGCACAGTGGCTACCGAGCGCACAAGGGCACCGGACTACGGGAGTATCTGGCTTCGTGGCTACGACGAGCGGCAGGAGCAACGGACCCACAGGCGACTGGCTGGCATAGCAAGGCTCTCTGGGCTACCGAGAGCGCGACGGCTCCGGACTACAGGCGCTGCAGACGACACGACGGCGGCCTCCGCTCAACCTCCCCCAACAGTCCCACCTCCTTTCCACACACCCCCTGCTGCACCCCTAGCTCCACTCCCACGTCACCCCCCTTAAACCCTAAACCCTCGGCTCCCACACACCCACCCCCCTCAGCGGCAGCTGCAGCAGTGGGAGACGGAGGAGGAGGAGGAGCTGCAGGTTACCCACACCGGTCACCCCCATGCCCGCCACCCCCAAACCCTAACGCAGGCAGGAGCGCGGGAAACAGCAGGGGCGGTTCACGGAGGGAAAGGGAGGCGGCGGGGTGTATCCTGGGCGCCACGAAGAAGCAGGGCGCGGGCCCCCCGAGGGCGCCACGGCGGGTGACGGGAGGGGGGCCGCGCACGGGCCCCCGAGGGCGGCTCGACGGGCGACGGGAGGGGCCGCGCGCGGGCCCCCAAGGCGCCGCGACGAGGCGACGGGAGGGGGCGGCGCGCGGGCCCCCAAGGTGCCGCGACGAGGCGACGGGAGGGGGGCGACGCACGGGCCCCCAAGGTGCCGCGACGAGGCGACGGGAGGGGGGGGACGCGCGGGCCCCCAGGGCGCCGCGACGAGGCGACGGGAGGGGGCGGCGCGCGGGCCCCCAGGGCGCCGCGACGAGGCGACGGGAGGAGGACGACGGGGGGCAGCGCGCAGGTCCCCGGGGGCGCCACGACGGGCAGGAAACCGCCGCGCGCCTCGGGGCGCACGGCGGGCAGAAAACCGCCGTACGCCCCGAGCGCACGGCGGGATGAAAAACCCTAAAAAATTTCGTCGCGCGCGGAGCGCGCGCCAGGAAGAAGACGGCGCGCGCCCGAGGCGCGCGAGAAGCAGAACAGCAGCGGAAGCATTAGGTGGCGGGCCCACCCACAGGATCGACCCAAGGGGGTCGACCTGCTCTGATAGCATGTCAGAATCAACAAGAGTGTGAAAGAAGAATGACGAAAGAGGGGTTTCACTAGCAGCAGTTGGGGTACATATAGCAAACCCTAACAGGGTTGTACTCGCTATAGAGCACCCCACTACAGGCTAGATAATAACATTCTGACAGAATTGACGTTGGAAAATCGTCAGGTACGAGCCGAAATGCAACAACTTCGCAATTTGGCTTCTAACCCCCATGGCCTTGCCGCACCAACTCCTGCACCCACCACGTCGACTGGCGCATAAGCGCTGCCGGAACGTCGAAGCGCGCTCAAGCCGCAGAAGCCCGAGTCGTTCGACCCAAGTCAACGCGACGCGAACGTGCGAACATGACTCTTCATGCTCAACAATTACTTCGCCGCGAGCGGGGTGCAAGAGGCGGACGCGCAGCAGCGGATCGAGTACGCCGTAACGCTGCTGAGGGGCCCGGCCTTGGAGTGGTGGCGCCAACTTACGCAGACTGCTGTACGGAGGGCTCAGTTAGACGGGCATCAACAGGGCGTGGGGCATGCAGCTGCAACTTCGAGCTTAGGGAGTTTAGCTTTGGGTGTTACCACGGTTCCGACGACATGGGAGGAGTTTGAAGCGGCGCTGAAAAGTAGGTTCGATTTGGTGAACGCCTCCGAAGCTGCTAGGAAGCGTCTGCGTCATTTCCGACAGATAGGAAACGTCCAGGAGTACACACGACGGTTCTTGAGCATCTGCAACGAGATAGACGACATCACGGAAGCAGAGATGCGCGATCGCTACCTCGAAGGGTTGAAGCCGGACATAGCGGAGATTATTGCGATTCACGGGTTGTCCACCTTCGAGTCAGTAGTCGCAGCAGCAGAACGCGTCGACGCAGTACGAAGCCGACGGGGTCGTGACGATCGCGATAGGGGATACAACAGACCGATCAACGACGCTCGATCGAGGGACGGACCGTCGCCCATGGAGATTGGTGCAGTTAACAGTGACGGCTCACAGCGCAACGGATTTAGGGGGAACTGTCACTACTGCAAAAAGCCGGGACACATGAAGCGGGACTGCCTACAGTTCAAGGAGCGGCAGCAGGGAAACGGAAACCGCCAGTAGATAGCGGGTCGCTAGCTGGTGTGGAGGTTCCCGTACCCGCCACGTCTACCAACGTAGAGGAGACGGCCTTGCAGCAGTCATCTACGGAGAACGAGGTAGACACTGTTGACCGACCAGTCGTGCTTCTAGGGAAGCTTCGCGGAGTTCCTGTTAAGATTCTCGTCGATAGCGGAGCTAGCCACTCGTTCGTTTCGTCTTCATTAGTTAGCCGTCTCCATCTTGAAGCAGATTCCTCAGTCAACTTCAAGGACGCTCGCATGATAGATGGGACGCCTCTCCACATAGGACCAGTCATTCGCAAGTTGCGCGTAGTGCTAGGACCGATCACAGTTAGGCGTGACTTCGACTCTGCGACGCTGGACGGTTACGATTTCATATTTGGGAGAGATTGGCTACGGACGGTTAGTACTCAGTTCGATTGGGCTCAGGGAAGCTGCAGCGTCAAGGTAGACGGGGAGTTCCGGGAGCTGCCACAGTGGAGCGATGGGGCCACATCATCCACAGCGATCATCAATGCTGTTCGTGTGCGACAGCTGGTGAAGCGAGCGGCACGGATCTTCGCGGTTTTCCTTGAGGAGGTGGAAGCTGAGGAGGGGAAAGGAGGGAGCGCAGCAGTTAGTGAGAAGGCGACTCTTCCTGCTGAGGTGAGTGCACTGTTAGCAGAGTTTGCAGACGTCTTCCCCGACGAGTTGCCCCCAGGGTTACCTCCCAGCCGAGCAGTAGACCATCGAATAGAGTTGGAGCCGGGAAGCAGGCCAGTAGCGAAGCCGCAGTGGAGGTTGAGTCCAGCGGAGAAAGAGGAGATGACGCAACAGGTAAGGCACTTTCTCGCACAGGGGTTCATACAGCCATCTAGATCGCCTTGGGCCGCACCGATCCTTTTCGCACCCAAGAAAGACGGAGGGTTACGGATGTGCATAGATTACCGCGCACTGAACGCCGCCACCGTTAAGAATCGATTCCCGGTGCCGAGAGTAGAGGATCTTCTAGATGCAGTGCAGGGCGCTAGAGTCTTTTCTAAGATCGACCTTCGTTCGGGTTACCACCAGATTCGCGTAGTTCCAGAGGACCAGCACAAGACGGCGTTTCGTACGAAGCAGGGGTTGTACGAGTTTAGGGTTCTACCGTTCGGTTTGACCAACGCCCTAGCGACCTTCCAGACGCTCATGAACATAGTTCTCTCCGACTTCCTAGGTTCGTTCGTTGACGTTTACCTAGACGACATCTTGATCTTCTCCAAGTCGAAAGAGGAGCACGTGCAGCACTTGCAGAGGGTCTTTGAGGTCTTGCGGAGGGAGAAGCTGTACGCGAAGCAGTCGAAGTGCGAGTTCTTTCTCCCCGAGGTCGAGTTCCTAGGACACGTCGTATCCGCTAGTGGCGTTAGGACCGACACAAAGAAGATCGCAGCGGTACAAGATTGGGTAGCACTGACCTCAGTCAAGGAGTTGCAGAGCTTTCTCGGATTCGCGAATTACTACCGTCGTTTCGTTCAGGGTTACGCTTCCATCGCTAGTCCACTCACCGACCTACTTCGGAAAGGCGTAGAGTACGTTTGGGGTCCAGCACAGCAGCAGGCGTTCGAGCAGATGAAGCAGTCGCTCACGTCTTCACCGACACTGTCGTACCCTGATCCCACTCGCCCATACGTTGTAGTGACCGACGCTTCAGATCAGGCCATAGGAGCAGTACTTCTTCAGGACCAGGGACGCGGGTTGCAGCCGATCGCGTACGAGTCGCGTAAGCTGAGGGGAGCGGAGTTGAACTATCCCATACACGACAAGGAGGCGCTCGCGATCATCCATGCGTATAAGGTGTGGAGGTGCTACCTAGAGGGGGCAGATAGTGTTATACGCACGGACCATTGCTCGCTTCGTTTCCTCAAGTCGCAGCCGCAACTGACTCGTCGCCAGGCTAGATGGATGGAGTTCATGGAGGGGAGTTTCCACTACAGGATAGAGTACAAGCCCGACGTTCGCAACCCAGCAGATCCGCTCACTCGCCCTAGTTGTCAGCTCGCTAGCCTCACAGTCACTGCCGGCCATCCACTTCTCACAGCACTCTTCGAGCACGGTTACACTGTAAATTCCGACTTCACACCGCAGCCGCCCGCAGGAGCAGAGGTGCAGGGTAGTGTTTACATACGGAAGGGTACAGCACGGATTTGGGTTCCAGCCTACCGCCCTCTTCGACAGCTCCTTCTCTCAGAGGCGCATGACGTAGTTAGTGCAGGTCACTTTGGAGCAGATAAGACGGCTAAGACGCTTAGTCGCACGTACTACTGGCCAGGGCTTGCAGCAGACGTAGAGGATTACATTCGCTCGTGCGACACGTGTCAGCGTACGAAGTCTTCCCGCCAGCGCAAAGCAGGTCTTTTGCAGCCGATTCCACCGCCCGACCGCCCTTGGCAGGTAGTTACGATGGACTTCATCATGGCATTACCGCGCACAGTTAGGGGTCACGACGCCATCTTCGTGGTAGTGGATAAGTTTTCTCGAGCAGCGCATTTCATCCCCACGCACGGTCAGGTCACAGCAGAGGAAGCCGCGACGCTGTTCGTAGATAACGTAGTCCGACTGCACGGGGTTCCAGATTCCATCATCTCAGACCGCGACCCTAGATTCACCTCGAAGTTCTGGAAGCAGCTTTTCGCACTGTTTGGGACTCGCTTAGCCATGTCGTCTGCATACCATCCAGAGACAGACGGACAGACTGAGCGCGTGAACCAGACCTTGGAGCAGATCCTTCGCAGCATCACGATGCACGATGCAGCAGCATGGGACAAGAAGCTGAGCATGGCCGAGTTCGCATACAACAACACGCACCACTCCGCCACAGGCATGTCACCGTTCTTTGCACTGTACGGTCAGCACCCCAATGTCCCCACTCGTGTCGATCTCACACCCACTGTCCCTCGTGCACATAACTTCCACCAGCATCTCACCTTCATTCACGATCACGTGAGGAAGCACCTTGAGCTCGCAAATGCACGCATGGCACGCACTACCAACCGCAGTCGTCGCGAGGTGTCGTTTTCAATTAGTGACCGTGTCCTTCTCGACAGCCGCAACCTCCGACTGCCATAGGGCAGCAAGCTTCGCCCACGTTTTATTAGTCCATTCGTCATTGAGCGCGCACTTGGTCCAGTCGCATACTGCCTTCTCCTTCCCGCTCATTTCCGCATGCACCCATCATTCCACGTGTCTCTCCTTCGGCCTTACACTGATCCCAACACCACCTTCTCGGGTCGTGATCGCACTCCACTGCCGGTAGCTGTTGACACCGACGAGCCCGACTACCAGATCCAGCGCATCCTCAGGCACCGTCGCCGTCTGCAGGGAGGTGTCTCTTTCATCGACTTCTTGGTTCGTTGGCGTGGTTACGATGCAGCCGACGACAGCTGGGTTCCTTCGTCCTCGCTGTCTCCCGACAACGCTTGCCTCAAAGCGTACCTTCAGTCTGCAGGCGCCGTGGACGTCGCTTCCTTGGGAGGGGGGTCGTGTTAGAGGGGTGTTTACTGTTCATTCCGAACAGTACTTTCCAAGTCACCCTTATCCTTATCTTCTCAGATTCTCTAGTGCCACGTGGCACTCTACTTTTCTTGCACTACAATTCTTGGTCCCACAATCCACTTTCCAACCTTGTTTCTTGCATGCTATATAAACCTTGCTTGTACTTGGCATTATCAACCAATTCTCATCCAACTCTTCTTCAATTACTCAGTAACTCCTTCGCCTATTTCGCTAGTAGTTCTTTCGCCAAAGTCTTCCGCCGCGCTTTATCCTCGACTTAGTCGACCCCGCTAATTCTTTAGTAATTCTTTAGCGGACTTAGGCCAGCGGGCCTAACAGAAATTAATTAAACCTGTCTTCTGTTTGCCCAGAGTTGCTCCCAACGAGCAACCAGTTGGTGCTGGTAGGGGCTCGTCTGTTGTTGGCTGGGAAGTGAGCGGGACAATTTCCGACTCTCTGTTCTCACCTGGTTGAAAGAAAGGGTGCTGGAAACTCGCATCAGAACCCAGCTGCACTCCTGGGCTGACAAGCGAGGTTCACCGCACAGATGAGACGCTTCATTAGCTTCTCCGTTTTCTCAAACAGGTCGCTCCCTTACGGTTTCTCCCTAAGATCCAGAAGTCGCCATCTGTTCTGACGTGGATTCTTGAGGTACACATGTGGAAAAGTGATCCAAACTTCGGAATGGCCGAAGGCTGGATTGATGTTGTCGAGGCGTTTCTTACAGTACGGTATGTGTGGCCTGACACACGGAACCATTCAACCCTATCTCACACCAGGCCTGCCACTCCACCCCATTCCACTCTATTGATCGAATCGAGGAGCGACGCGTCTCGTGCCCTTCACGCTGAAATGGCTGCTGCTAGTAGCTTGACGTCCACCGCGCGCCCCCTTTCGAGCTTAACATGTCTCGGGGGGATGTCCGGCGGCAATCGCGGAGTGGCAACATCACATTCCGTGAAATTTCACGCGCCAATTTCTCAATCGCGGCGCGCCGTACGATCTCTGGCGGAACGGGTGGACATTAGCGCGTCGTCGCAGACGGTTTCCACGAATGAAACCGTCGCGCTGGAACCGTTACCTGGTTGCCAGTCCCGGCGAGCGATCCTTCTCGGAGCTGCGACAACAGCCGCTGCCGCGGTTGTCACAGCGGGAATGCCTTGGGTACAACCTCCTGAAGCTCTTGCAGTACGTTGATTTTCGAAGGTAATTTTTGAGTCAACTAAAGGATCACCTCCATCTAATGTCACGCAAATGCGATTGTCACAGCGGGGATGCCCTGTGTTCACCCTCCTGAAGCTCTCGCGGTACGTTGGCATTCTATCCGTGTCATCCCTACGCCGCATATCAACCATGTTGCTTTGTAACCATGACATCCCTAAGCCGCATTGTAACGACGTCGCGTTATGACCGTGTGATGCCTAAGCTGCTTCTCCTATTGTAACTCGAGAGCCCTACCAGAGACCTTCTTGCGTTGCGGTGTTTATGTCCCCATCCTATCCCTTTCTCTTCTCCTCGCAATTCCGTCCAATCTCTTCGCAATTCTTTCTTTATCTTCTGCGCATTATGTCATGTGAGTGTTCTTCTTTACTCAGCAATATATGTTAAAACCGGAGTCTCAAGTTACTCTTTGTTGCCTCATCCTTCCTACCTTGGTTGGGTCACCAGGTCCAACCAACCTTCCTACCTTTGGTTGAGTCACTAGGTCCAACCAACCTTCCTACCTTTGGAACCTGTGGACCCTGGGTTTTAAGCATTACAGTGTTGCTACACCTCCAAATTCACCTCCGCCTCCTTTTCCTCCCTCACTCCCGCCCCTCCCTCATCCCATTCTTGTACCCATTCAAGGTGGTTACAGTGGCACTTAAAGACCTAACCTACCGTCCATGCGCCAACCCGTACACGGTTGGGCCCGGATCTTCCTTATACAAGGCCAAGTGCTTTAAGATTATGGGCACTACAGTGAACAAATCAGGGCGGCCTGTCTATAACGCGGATGTATTTGGGTTTGTTCTGGATGCTTATGACGAACCGGCAATTCCGAACAGGGGGAGGTTGGCGAGCATCAAAGAGATACCTGTGGTGAGTTGTACATGGAAATTCGAGTGTGCTTGAATGAACAAGAGACAAGAGAGACAAGTGTTGTGGAATGCATATGCCGCTGCACTGCACGTGCAACCTAAGTGCCATTGGTTTGTGCTATTTTTGATATTTCATTTTCAGTGCCTCACTAAACCAGACGTTTATGTTTTTGCTCTGCAGGGAGAAGGGACATTTGAGATCGAGATTGTGGTACCGGCAAGCGAGTCGCTTCCACTGACACTGAAGAACTTCAGAGCTACTGGATTTCATGGAGGTGTCCAAAGAACAGGCAACCCTTACGACATTTTTGAGGAGGATAAAAATGGTGATGATGATGACATCCCATTCTAAGGGCGTGTTCCTACGCTCGCTTCAGGCAAACCTCTTGTCAGCGTTGCCTGGTAAAAGTAGCGAGGGTTTTCGGGTTTAGGGAATTTTCAGTGTGTTTTGACAGAAGCGAGCTTGATAAGAGGTTGGCCTGATAAGGGGCCGTAGGAACACGCTTTCCAGTGATTAAGGACTGTTACTCAGTCTGCTTGCCCTCATAGATCATGTGCAATGATATAACTTATACAAGGAGTCAAATCTCGAATTATATGTGGGAGTGAGTAGCTACTATCGTATGTTCGTTTATTTTACCAGAAAGCAAGCTTTTGAATCCACAATAACCAAGCTCGGTTAGTGAGTGTTCTCCATGTATGTTAGCGATTTCCAATGCGTAACAGTGACAACGACCATCAAGGTTTCGTCTGACGACCACACGATCGTGTCGGCTCAAGGAAGCGGCTGGCTGGGGGCAAATCGCGGGTTGCGCAGTCTGCCGCCAGAGGCGACGGCCTCGAAAGCTCTGCGAACCATCCTTCAACTCCCTCACAGTCGCAGAACGGCTCTCTCTGACCGACAGTCCCGCCCGCCTCGTCGCGCGGCGCCAGAGTCCTGGCTTGGCAGTCGGAAAGTGTTACTGTGCGAAGAGAACTGCGACAGACAGACGGAGATTTGTTGGGGTTCCCATTTCTAACGCGACTGGCGACTCGGTCTAGCTGTCGGCCCTCGGTGCCCCAAGCCGCACATCGAAACGTGCGGGGCAATCAGCGGATTGTGTTGGACTGGAAGGGTGTGTGTGTTTGTGTAGGCAAGGCGCGTTATCCTTGGGCAAAGCGCGTTATCCTGGAGCAGATTTTGGCCCCTCTCCCTGCGCCACCTCCCCTGGTTTCCCTCTTTAACACCCCCCACTCCTGCCGACCTTCTGAACACTCTGCACCGTTTCGAAACTTCTTCAACCCTCTCACATACTGTAAACGGTGACGCGCAAGTGAAATCAGGTTGCGCGGTCCGCTAGGAGAAGCGACTGAGCGCACCAAGAATTCGCGCGAGCTTATTCCGTCCATCACCGCTAGGGGAAGCGACTGAGCGCACCGAGAATTCACGCGAGCTTATTCCGTCTGTCATTACTGCTAAATTACTTGCCTAGTTTCCGTGTCTCCCTACTGCACAAAGCACCAAGAGAAATGTCATACCTGCCGCAACGAGTGACCAGACAAATATCCGATCATCCGACACAACACAAAGTATTTTGCCTCCGCCGCGACTCCCGAATCGGAACAATCTCCACACGCTTCGGACCGCGTCAATTGCGAGGAAGCCCATCCAGCACCAGCACCTGTCGCTAGCAAGCAGTAGTCAGCACGGCACGCTCCTAGTCTGGGAAGTAATAGTCGAGTTTTGCAAACGTCTCATACTCACAACGGCACTGCACGTTCTGATAGTCCGTCCCTGCAGGGGTATATCGAAAAAAAAAGGCACAACGCTTTGAGTTGCCTTATAGTTTGATACTCTGTCGTCTGAAAGAAACCATCGTACTATTCTCGAGAGCCATTCATTGAGGAATAGCACGAAGAGATATCAGCATACACTCAGCTCGCGGGTGGCAGACGTTGTTGCTAGTTCTAGAAATAGGTCGAGCTACGAGCAGTCGACGACAAGTCGCAGAAATAGTTGTCCCTTTTGGAAGCCAGAGAACACCAGTATCCGAGTCGCGAGTCGCGTCAGTGACCAGCCCTCTCGGCGTATCCCGTAACAGTTTTTTTTTTTTTTTGTGAATTCTAAATAAAATCTCCCGGCGTATCCCCATAACAGCTCTCGTAAGGGTCGGGCTTCCAGCACAGACGATTTTTGCGCGCACGACTGGCGAATCCTTCACGTTCTGTCCTTCCGTCATCCCCCAGACGATTTTTTGCGACCCTTGGGAAACCATACGACAGTGCTGAATCCCTCACGTCTCCCCACCTCCTCGTCCCGCAAGAGAGAATGAAGCCGTCGGGAGGAGCCGCGTCGCTGAGCAAGAGCCACTCTCTCTCGTCACACGATGCTTCCGAGAAGTTTCAACAACACCCGCCGAATTCCTCTCGTGTCCTCCTCCAGCCCACGAGAGCGAAGCAGTCAGGAGGAGCCGCGTCGCTCAGCAAAAGCCATTCCGTTTCCTCGTTTATCGTGCTAGATGCCCCCTCCCTTCACAACAGTCACAGTAAATACAAGCACGATCGCGGCCCGTCGTGGTCTCTCCTCGTCCTTGCCTGCGCGCTCACCGCGATTGTGTCCAGCCTCGCGGGGTCCTACACTTCGTACGCGTTAACGAGGAATTCGTTACAGTTCACGGATATTTCCGTAGCGGCTTACTCGTCTAACTCCTTTGACCCCAACGTTGGACTGTCCACTATCACTCCCCCTGCCGTCACAACCGCCGGGAAAGCTGCCGCTGAATCCGCCGTCACCCATTTCAGTGAGACCAGAGGAGATCCACAGGCAGAAGAGGACGCGGTGCCGCTGTACTCGCCAAAAGCGTCCCTGTTATCGCGATACGCGGACCTCATTGGACCGAGCAGTCGCGGTCGCGACGCCGGCGCTGGGAGCGGAAGACGTGGCGGAAATCACCAAGCTGACTGGGTGCGGCGGCTGGTTGAGTCAGCAAAAGTCAACGGCAGCCTTTCCGGTCAGCAGAGGCCGAGCGCGGTGCCACTCGCAGCCGTGAAGGACGGGCAGAAGCAGAAAGAGTCCATGGTTGTTCTTGTAACGGGGGCTGCCGGATTCATCGGGTCGCACCTCGCGCTTGCTCTTAAAAAGGAGGGTCACGGGGTGGTGGGCCTGGACAACTTTAACGACTACTATGATACTACGCTGAAGGAGGCGCGCGCGGCGCGGCTCTGGTCTGCAGGGATTGAGATTATCCAAGGTGACTTAAACAACGGCACGCTTCTCGATGCGCTGTTCGCTACAGTCACATTCACCCACGTGGCGCATATGGCGGCACAAGCGGGGGTTCGGTACGCGTTGGAAAATCCGAAATCCTACGTGGACAGCAACGTCGCAGGGTTCGTGAATCTGCTGGAGAGGTGTCGCAGGGTGCCTGGGCGACAGCCTGCGATCGTCTGGGCGTCGTCCAGCAGCGTGTACGGGGTGAACCGCGAGGTTCCGTTTTCGGAGTCGCACAGGACTGAGCGACCGGCGAGCCTGTACGCTGCGACGAAGCTGGCTGGCGAATCGATCGCACACTCGTATAATCACATCCACGGATTGTCACTAACCGCGTTGAGATTCTTCACTGTATACGGGCCGTGGGGAAGACCCGATATGGCGTATTTCTTTTTTACGAAGAACATATTGGAAAAGAAGACGATTGAAGTGTACATGGGAGCGAATGGGGTGAGTCTTCGTTCGAATGTTTTACCGCTTTGACACAATTCTGTGCATTGCCTCTTCCGAATTCTCGTCTCTTCCTTCCCCACTCATCTCGTCCCATCTTTCCCATCATCATTCCCCACATCTTCCCCCTCTCCGCCCCCACCCATCCCCTTTCTCCCCTTTTCCCCCATACTCTGTCACTCCCTATCCACAACCGCCCACACCTTCCCCCCCGTGTGCTTCTGAGCCGAGGTGCTTCTAGAGCTTCCATCCCCCCTCATCCTTCAATGTCCACACTCTCCTTTCTCCCCTAGCCCCGCTCCTCCCCCACCCTCTCAGTTCCATCTCCTCATCCCCCTCTTCATTGTCTGTTCCACCCATAGCCCCCCGCCACCCATACCCCCTCCCCTTCTCATCTTGCATTTTCGCTCCCATATTGCCTCTTTTTCTCAGCCTTTCTCTTTCTCCTCGTCTCTCCACTCAAACCTCTTCTCCCCTTGCAGACCCTTGTTTCTAGGGACTTCACCTACATAGATGACGTCATTAAAGGCTGTGTAAGCGCCCTCAGAACTGCTACGCCCAGCACCGGCGTCCAAGGCAAGAAGACAGGTCCAGCGCAGCTTCGGGTGCTGAACCTTGGGAATACCCAGCCAGTTTCCGTGCCTCAGCTGGTTGACTATCTACAGTTTCATCTGAAGGAGAAGGCCTTGAAGCGGACAGTGCAGCTGCCTCATAACGGGGATGTGCCTTTCACTCATGCCAATGTGTCACGGGCAGAGCATGAATTAGGGTATCACCCAACGGTCAGACTCAAGGATGGTATACAAAAATTTGTAGAGTGGTACTTGAGATTTTATGGGAGAGGTGGTAAGAAGCAGGTGGAAGGGGAGAGGACGAAAGGAAGAGGTAGGACAGGGTCAAAAGGGAAAGGGAAATTCAGCTTAGATAAAGCATCATTATAGGTTATAGAGATAGTATAGATGAGTACTAACATATCTAATCGACTTGATTTTGTTTTGTGGAAAGTGCTAGTGAAATATCGGGGTTTAAGTTCTAGACTGCCTGGCGTTATCCCTTGTGGCCCTCTAAGGAGGATAACTAAGTCAACCAATCCATGCTTCGTGAAAGCTGATGTGGACCTTGTAGGATTCTCCGTGTCACCAGGGCGGAAGCCAATCAGGTTATCTTGATCTTGCTGCACTGGTCAATCAGTACGGTTAACGAAGCAGTACTCGAGAACACTCGCAAGAGTTACCAGCAAGTAAGGACGTGTCTCACTTCGACGAGTCTGCGAGCCAGTCCGCTCTTGGAAATGTTGCTCCCCAAAACCGAGGGCTGGTCCGCCGGACCAGGTGGGGACCCAACTGGCGAGCCAGCTTCGGACGGGTCCGCTGATGAAATCTTCAGTGGTGTGTAGGCGAGAACATTGTATGTTTTGCCCAACACTAGGTTACTATGACTCAATAGGGCTTTCTGTCATTGGGCAATCCACCATCGCGCGCTGTCGAGTTTTGCGACATCTGTGGGGTGAATTCGTAAGTATTCGTGAAAAGCATGTCTGTTTATGAGTCCGACGTGGACCAGCTCGCCGAACCAGACAAGACTCCCTTTTCTGCGTTAAGACACGCGGGTCCACGCTCGGTTCCGTGGTGGTTTGGTGGACTGGTCCACGT